GGGGAGACCGTACCTGCATCAACGACTGGATGAGCTTGACCTGGCGCGCGTCGGGCCACACGACATCTCGCTGGTAGTCGGGATTGAGGTCGACGGTACCCGTCTGGATGAGCTCTGGGTGTCAGATTCGGTCGCGCGATCCGCCACACGCCACACGCCACGGGGCATACACGTCGAGGGCGCGCCGGTACTCACCAAACAATGACTTCATGGTGACCGTCTTGAAGCGTGGCTCGTCGAGTATGCCCTTGAGGATCTGGCCAATGGTGCTGTTCGAAGGCTTGACATCATCGTCGCTGCCGCTGGCGGAGGCCAGCTCGTCATAGTCGTCGTCCGAGAGGTTATTCTCGAGGCGCGGCATTGTTGATACCAAAAGTCAGGAGGCGGTGGTGGAGGTGAGAGGTCGTGGCGGCGGAAGCAAACGAGGGGCTCAGGGCTCGGACAAAAGGTGTGTGCCTGTGTAGTTTTCACTTTTCAGATGTGGTGGCAAAAGTGAGATAAAGGATGCTCAAGAGCAGAAAGCGAGGTGGGAGAGGATGATATGCAGTGGATGGGGGGAGGGGGAAGCTGAGTGCTATCGAGGAGAGTGAAATGAGAGAATGGGGGGAGGATGTGGGGTGGTTGATGGGTGGTGTGGGGTGGGTGGAGTGATGTGAAGTGAGAGGAATGAGAGAGATGGGGAGAAGGAGGATGCATGTCCCTGTCCACTCTTTTATCCTCCACCCCCCACCAACTGTCCCTCTGCCTTCCCTGCCCACCACACAGATCCAGGCCTTTGTCCCCCATTGGTCCCATGACCTCCTGCCATTTACAGATGCACCCAAAGCAGCCTGCAATGTGCATCAATCCACACCTTCAGAAAGCCTCATACTCCGCAATTGGCAATGCGTGCACTTGAGTGTGCTCATGTGCTCCACGATTGGCAAATGCATGCATTCATGGAGCTTCAAAGGCCTAAAACAAGCAGCTAATTTCAATTTCCTGCCAATTCTGCATGCATGCAGCTCCTTTTCATGCATCTGAGAGGGATGTCATGCATTGAGCCTCGACTTTCTTCCATCGCCCTTGCTTCTATGCATTGGGAGAAGGCGGAAGGAGAGGAAAATTAGTGGGTGGCAAAACAGATCACGTGACTAGTCACTCTCCCCCTCGATGACTTGTCTTTGGTGTGCTCGTCTCCGAATCTCGTCTCACGTATCGTGCACCTTCTGACTCGTCTCGCCGCGGTTGTGGATGATGTGAGATGCTCGAGGCACGAGGTCGATCAACAGTGCAACAGCACCATAAGAACGGCAATCACGAGGCAGGCCCCGTGGCGACCCTGGCACCCAGGCCTTGGACCACTTCGCATTCCCTGCCTGAGTATAAGCCGTTGCATGCATGTTTACTAGCTATCAATAGTACAACGCCGTCTGAGCAAGCGTCAGTCCAATGCCACTGCTCATCTCCCGCCATCACCCCGCGGCGCCGAGTATTTCCTACTCGTCGCTGTCGTCGTCATCGTCAGACATGCTCTCCTTGAGCATTTCGAGAAGCTCGTGCGCCTCGGACAGCTGCGCGTTGAGGATCGCCTGACCCTCTGGAACACTGCCGTCGTCGGCGAGGAACTTGCCGTCCTTGCGGAGCGTATCGATCTGATGCAACGCCATGTGATAGGGGTAAAGGTCTCGCGGGCTGTACGGGCCGCCGTACTTCAGCACCTCGTTGAGGCACTTCTTGATGGTTGATAGCTTGTTGGCCTGTACGTCAGACACTGAATTATGCAAACGGCTCGGGTCTCCGACTCACCACCGGCATCAGCTCCTCCGAGATGGGTTCAGATTCGGCCATCAGGCGATAGATGAGGCCGTAACACCTGCGCAGGAGGTAAAGAAGAACCTGCAGTCAGCAGGGAGCGAAGACATCAATCGACATACGTATTGGCCCTCAGCCTTCTCTCCTGCGGCATTGACAAACTTGCCGTCGACACGCTTGGAGTCAATTTCGCGCAGTTGCAGCAGGTAGCTAGTTGTCAGTGCGCTGTTGGAGTGGTAGACTCACTTATACAGATCCGTTTCGCGCAGCGTCCAACGGTGAGTGAGAGCTGGGGTCAGCAATGTGGACGTTCGGAAATATGGGTGGACGAGACCGCCCGTAGAGGCCAAGCATCGGTCCGAGGCCATAGCGTGCAAGTAAACAGCGACGAAAGGCGCGCCCGGTGTCCGGACCAGACACAGAGGATAGTCTCTCACACAGGCCACGCGTGAGCCGTGCATGCGTCGGGGCCTGCCCAGCCGCACGCGTGTCGCATACCTGCCCGTCCTCAACTGCATGCCCACCTCTCACACCATGGTACTCACTCAGCTGCTCGAGTTGCTGCACCAGTTGGGAGAGTCGCTCGTAGATGGGCCGCAGTGGCGGGCTGACTTCGTCCTGCGCCTCACGCGCCTTAATGTCCTGCACGATCTCAAAGCACGAGTCAATCATGCCTCCGAGAAGTGCCTGTCCTTCGGGCACGGACGAGCCGCCAGGGCCGAGGAACTTGCCGTCGACACGCTTCCTGTCACCGTCAGCAACGTGCACCGATGTGTCACCCACGAGTCAATTTTACGGAGCTCCTCCACAATGGGCTTCAACTCGGTTTTGGGAACCTTTGGCTGACTGGCAAGGGCGATGAGCTGCTTCCGCATGGCCACTAAGCGGTTGTGAATGGGGACGAGCTCGACGTTGAGCACACCGAGCGACTCCATGAGATTCCTAAGGATGGCGTCTGGTACATTAGCGACAGTTGTCGAGGCAAGGCAGCCACGCACCATTGCCGTCGAGCTTCCAGGACATGTACTTGAGGACGGCCTCGGGGTGCTTCTGCTCATCACGGTCGTGCTTGATAATGTCGCGAAGCTGATCAATTCGGTCCTTGAAACCCTGGAGATATGCCTCGGTGTAGATGCCCGACTCATCAAGATGAGTCAGTATTTGCTGCGAGGGGTCAGCGACGTAGACAATATTGACCCGGGTTACAACTCACCCGCATGCTGGCGATCTGGCCATAAATTGCTGGGCTCTCGCGGCTCTTGCCCACGGTGAGGAACATGAGGCTGATGAGAGAGAAGACATCGGCGATGATGGTGTCGACGCGGTTGGGCTCAAAGCCGCCAGGTATGGGAGTGTTGATGCTTGATGAGCCCTCAGTGCGCTCCTCGCGGATGTCCGTGAGCTTGCCCACTGCATGTGTAAGCGTTGCGTCAAGTGGCGAGTTTGGTGGCTACGACTCACACTGCTTCACAATCTCCTTGTAGATGGCTAGGACATCCTGCGCGCGAATGAACTTTGTGGAGTCCTGAGAACATGTCAGTGCCTGCTGTGCGATACCCGTCTTAACCTCGACCCCGCCGCCGCAACAGGAGGAAGGAAGGCAGGGGACAGTGGAAGCATGGACGCAATGCTTACCTTTTTGAGCGCTGTGAGGCGGTTGCGAATGTTGATGAATGATTCGAGAACCGGGAGCTCCTCCTGAACTGTCAGCATGATGGATGAAGAAGAATAGAGTAGGGTGGCGTGGGAGATGGAAGCGCGCCGACTACGTACTTGGGGCACCATGTTGGATGCCATCGAGTCGTTTGGCTGTGGGCGCTAGCTCCGCTGTGTGTGTGTTGAATGTTGAAGAGATCAAGAGGCCAGAATCTGGCGGAGGAGACCGAGTGCGAGAGATGGAAATGTGGGTGCACGTCCGGACAGGGAAGAGATGAGGATGGGTGTGGTGGGTGTGGAGATGGAGAGGTAAAAGAAAGAATGCCAAGGCTTGTGGGCAGCTGGGCGAAGATGAGATTGTAATCGAATCGTCACTACCTCGGCCAGGCGCGGGCCGGCGGAGGGCGGGGGCCGAAAGCGGACCGGGGGCGGGGGGCGGCGGGGGAGTACCGTGGGGTGGGGTGTGATGTAAGGTGCGAGATACCGCGATCGAACCTGCTGGATGAAGCCACTGTTCCTAAGCTTGTAATATCGCGCCTCGCGTCGTGTGATCGTACGGCTGAATTTGTAGTTTTCAGTGGTTGAGGACGCAGAGATGCACAAGTTGAATGAATGTCAACAATTGAAAGACAGGCGGTGAGACGAGGGAGACATAAGAGGAGAGGTGGAGTCGGAGTTGACTTGGGATGGGGGATCGAATAGTGGCTGGAGGCGCACGGCTGTTGTTCCGGATGGCATCGCTGGGCCCGATCGGACATGACTGGACTGAGACATGAGACATGAGCAGGTCGTCGCTGAGTCTGCTGATCTGTTGGCCAGCTGCTGGGCTAGATGGCCTGCTGGCTGCTAGCTGCAACAGCTGAGCAGGTACGAGCCACAATTTCATTGTCACTCTGCTGAACGCGCTCAATTATCAACTGTGAAGCCAGTCTGGACTTTCATGTCGATCATATTATATCACACATGCTCAATGCTCATAGCTAACAATAACACGATGCGACGTACGTAGTGTCGCGTGTCATCTCACTTGCGATCACTGCGCAACTCGAGAGCTCAACGTCGTGAGAGGGGTACGCGTATGCAATGTACACGTCACGCAGCACGCAGGCAAAGCACAATGCACGGCACGGACTTCGGGCCAAGCGACGGGCTGAGACCGAGCTAGGCCCAGCACGGGCAGCATGCAGCACGTCACCGCTCAAGCTTGCTATCGCGCCATGGCGCATCCTATCGCCTCGTTCCAAGCAGCCCGCAGCACCACGAAGTCGCCGTATCGCCGTTGTCGTTAGGCCTGGAAGCCACACGTGTCGCGCCACCCGATTGGACTAGAGGTGCCTGATGTCAGAGCCGCCACACAAGCGATCCCTTGCAAAACCCCGAATCACCACGCCCGAGGCAGCCCGCAGCCCGCAGGCGCGCAGGCAGGCGCGACAAGTTGTTTGTGCTCAGGGCGCAGTTCCGTCCAGGTAAGACGGGAGAAGCACGGCAACCGATAGAGGCTCCAAGGATCCAAGGCAAAGCAGGGAGGTGGTGGTGGAGGTGTCAGGGAATTCGAAAGAGAGGTCGGCGATGCCAAGGCATGTCATCCGAGGGCAAGAGGACATGGTGCCCTGATAAGCCCTGTCGTTGAGCAAGGTGGGCAGGGAGGCCTAACGAGAGGGCTAGGCTTGTCAAAGGAGGAGGAGAGGCGAGGGCTGCATGCACGGACCATCCACACACGCACACTTGAAGCCATCCGCGCCCCTCTTCTCGTCTGTCCTTGGGTGACCCGCCTTGGGCACCACAGTGATCTCCACCCTGGCTATCCGAGCTGCCCCGCCCCGGGCATTCCGCCAAACTCGAAAGCAAGAGTGAGATCCCTCACCCAGCACGGCCAGCACCCACCACCCACCACCCACCACCATTACCCAGAAGCCAGAAGCCAGAAACGGACACGACTCGGACCAACCACACGGCGGCTACCAACAGACCACCCCAGGCCTCCAGTCATCAACGCGCCAACAGCACCACTTCAATTTAGCTCCCGCCCTCCCCCCCTAGACTCACTCCCCCCTCCACCACACACCACCCACACACACACCAAAACGCACCGCACTCGCCGCCCCTCCCCCCCCCCATCTCTCGCCTCCCTACAGCCACCCCACCCACCCACCAACCCACCAACCCACCCACCATCACCCACCACCACCCAACCCCCCCGCCTTTTGACTCCTTCTCCATACCTCACTACAACTCTTATTCCTCTTCCTTCCATCCTCCTCCTCCCCTCCCTCACTCCCTAAACCTCTTCGTAAGTCACCCTCCTACCCCCATCCATCGCCACTCTATTCGTCCACCCCATCGCCGCTCCTCTAGCCGCTCTCAACATCCATCTCCCTCTCGCAGCGCCTCGCGGCTCGGCACCCGGTCCCTTCACCGCCCCCTTCTCAAGGGGAGGCGCGGGCGCGTCCCCACTCAAACACACCTTTCCACTATCATTGCGCCCTCTCCCCACAAGGTGCTCCTCTACGCACCTACGCGCCGAACGTGCAACGCGTAGGCGAGGCAACGGGTCGCGGAGGGCGACAATGTACGCTATCGGGGCATTATTGGCGGCCATCCACGTCACACGCGTGTCGGTGATCGTGCTGTGGTCGGCTCTCCTCCTCCCCCTAACCATCTTCCCTCTAATCCCCCCTCCCCCCACCATCCGTCACCACCCAACCCCTCCCCCAATTGAGTGCCATGCTGACGTCGCGTTCCCATCCATCCCACCGTGTTTCATCCACCCACTGCTTTTATCGTTTTACCCACTCTATCATCCCATCGCTCTCTAATCCCCTGCATAATACGCATACAACAATCCAGATCGCATCACTGTGAGTATCAAAACACACCCTCCTTTCTTTGTCAAGATGTGACGTGGCCGGCCAGGGAAGGGCACGGAAGGCTCGGGGAAGGCGGGGCGAACAAGACACCTGGCGTCCGGTTGCGTCCCGACGACTGCGAAGCGAGCTATGGCCATGTCGGCAGCCTCAAAAGCGAAATGCATCGAGGCTGAGCGCGCGTGGCTTGAGCGAGCAAGCAGAAGGGTGGATGGTCGTCTTGTCGGCATCGTGGGAAGCAGTGCTCTGAGAGGCGCCATCGACCCGAGCTGCCCAGCACTCGAGCTTCGCGCCCCGCCCTCCCCCTACCCCACCTCCCCCCGGTCTTCCCGCTCGCGCAACGAAAACCCCGCCTGTGCGTAAATGTGTGCTGACGCGCTTCTCTTGTTCTCTCGTTACCTCGCTGCTATCGACAACCTTCCTTTTGTCCGCTCATCCATCTCCTTCAACCGCTCTTTTTTTTTCTCCTCCATACAGATGTCGACCTCCCGCGAAGACTCCGTCTACCTCGCCAAGCTTGCTGAGCAGGCTGAGCGCTACGAGGGTGAGTAAAAGAGCGGCAAAATGTGCAAGTAAGCACACGTATCTAACCACCTTTGCAGAGATGGTCGAGAACATGAAGGCCGTCGCTTCCTCGGACAAGGAGCTCACCGTTGAGGAGCGCAACCTCCTCTCGGTTGCTTACAAGAACGTCATTGGCGCTCGCCGTGCTTCGTGGCGCATCGTCTCCTCCATCGAGCAGAAGGAGGAGTCGAAGGGCAACGAGGCCCAGGTCGCCATGATCAAGACCTACAGGGAGAAGATCGAGGCCGAGCTGGCCAAGATCTGCAAGGACATCCTCGAGGTTCTTGACAAGCACCTTATCCCCTCGGCCGCCTCGGGCGAGTCCAAGGTGTTCTACCACAAGATGATGGGTGACTACCACCGCTACCTTGCCGAGTTCGCCACTGGTGACAAGCGGAAGGACTCGGCGGACAAGTCGCTTGAGGCCTACAAGGCGGCTTCGGACGTTGCCGTCACCGAGCTCCCCCCGACGCACCCCATCCGTCTCGGCCTCGCCCTTAACTTCTCCGTCTTCTAGTGAGTTTTGACCAGGGGGGCGCCTTTTTGGGAGCCTTGAGAGACGCAGTTCTTTGGCTGACCTTTTTCAGCTACGAGATCCTCAACAGCCCAGACCGCGCCTGCCACCTCGCCAAGCAGGCGTTCGACGACGCTATTGCCGAGCTCGACACCCTCTCGGAGGAGTCCTACAAGGACTCGACCCTCATCATGCAGCTCCTGCGTGACAACCTTACGCTCTGGACCTCTGACATGCAGGACAGCGGTGAGTATCTACAGAGTATGGAAAGTTGCTGACAATTAGCCGAGGAGCCCAAGAAGGAGGAGGAGTCCAAGGAGGAGGCTGCCTAGGTGTGATGAGAGCATAAACGACGAGACCCGGCAATCAGCATCACTCGGGACTACCCTGTTCCCCAATCTCGCCTCGCATTTTGTCTCTGGTGCTTCGTCGCCTCCCTCCCGTTACCCTGTGGTGTTTTCTCTAGTTCGTCGTTTCCTCCTTCCTTTCCTCTGCAGCCACCGACGCCAATGAATACTATTTCAGACAGCTGAGGTGTGTGTAGGGTTCTTGAGAGAGTTTAATGAAGAGTGTGAAGCAGTCTAGTGGGAGGTGAGCGGCGAGGATGGGGGCGAAGCGAGTGGTCGAGAGGAAGCAATCTGACTGACTGACTAACGGGGTGACTGTGGGTGGTGAAAGTGGGAGCGCGGACATTGCCGCTGAACGCGGCGCGCATTGAATGAGGTCGCGTCAGAGCGCGTCGCGCGTTGAGGTACACAGGCGCTCGTGGGTGACGGAATGGAATGGAATGGAATGGCTTGACTGTCAGCTGTAATGCCGAGAAGCATGTGCTGGGGTGGTGGCATTGGTGGCCATGTGCCCAAGTTGTTAATTGTTGAATTGTCCGTTGGCTATATACTGTAGATCTAATCATTCCCTCCCAGCCAGCCAGCCAGCCAGCCAGCCAGGCCGCCGTGACAGGTCTGGAGCTCTGGAGGTTGAGGGTGCTGCCAGGTGATCCAGTATACGCCAACCACCTTCCTCTCCATCGCGCGTCGCCGTCGCCTCCGCTACCGCACACGTCCCGCCTCAGTTCTACCTTCCCACCTTCCCACCTTCCCACCTTTTCTGCCGTGATCAGCCAAGGCAGCCAGATATCCAACGGACTCGCCGCGCCGCCGGGCCCAGCGCCCGGCCCGGTCCCACGCCAACGCCCACAACGTTCAAAGCCGTCTCTACTTCGGAGCCTTGGCCACTACCTCTCCCGGTCTGCATCTGCTGGGCGCATCTGTTGGCCTCCTCGTCCCCCCCTCTCAGCGCTCTGCACTGTTGACTCATGCGACGTACGTGCCGATTCAATGTGCCACATGTCCAATCCCGAGGCCGACGTCATTCACATTCCGCATGTCGAGTCGGTCGTCAGTCGCCAGTCGCTAGATCGCCAGCCAGGCAGGATAGGATCGAGTCCACGAGTCCATGTCGTGCTCGCGTGCTCGGTCGGGAAGACGACTGTACGCGCATGTACGCTTTGATGTCGGAGCGAATGTGTGTCTATGGTGCATGCGTGGTGGCGTCATCGTCCAGAATACTCCAGACCCCTGACTCGCCGACTCGCGCACTCCGCAGCGGAGCGCTGATCGCTGAGCTGCCTGGCCGATCCGTCGGCTCACTCCGGTGAGTCCACTCACAACCCCAACTGGTGATCTGGTGACTTCTTTCATCTTTCACTACTGTTCTTCAACTACTATACACTTCATGCTACGGACCCCATGCGATTACGTGTGTTTGGTGGTTTGAGCGCGGATGCGCGAATGAGTCTATGGCTGCTCACTGCTGCGACGTGTCAGCGCTTTCCAATCGAGGCGAGGAGGGACGTGCTGTGACCCGCGAGATTGCTCAGAAGGCACGCCCCGGGTGTATCGTCACACCCGGCACCCGGCACCCGGGGTTGGGGCGGGGCGGGGCGCACGGATCGCTCGTCCACTCGCACGACCATACTCACAGCAGAGAAGCCCGACTTCTGACGAAGGGGGCTGGTACCGAGGACAGAGTTGGCGGGGGGGCTCTGGGCGATGCCGTGGCTCGTACGGGCGATGTTCGCGAGGTCGACACCGTTCTGCTTGAGCCCGCCCTCGCGGTAACGGAGGGCGTCGGCACGCTCCTGGTCCGACACTTGGCTCATCCGGCGTTGGGGCGCGGCGGGCGTCTCGCGCTCGGGCAGGTCTTCGACCTTGTCACCGTCGGCGGGGGCCGAGCCGTCGTCGAACATGGCAGTCTCCAGCTCGGCGTCGAGACGGCCCTCGTGCTCGGCCCGCTCTTCGTCGTTAAGCGAGCCCCAGTTGTGGGCGCCGGCTCCGCCCTTGCGCTCAAACTCAGACTTGGTGAGGCCTGTACGCGAGTGGCGGTCGCGCATGATCGCGGCGGGAGAGGTGTTGCGCTACCGGTGGAAGCAATGGAGCGGCAGTGGGCGCACGTCCAGGTCGCACGAGCGGGGTGGGGTTGGAGGAGACGGGGGACGCCATTAGTGGTGACGGAAGGAGGAGTGTGCAGTAGGCGCAAGAAGCGGAAAGCAGAGAGACACCGGGGTGAGTAAATGTACAGGTTACAGAGGAGTCATGGTCATGCGAGTGACGTGGACGTGGACGTGGATGTGGATGTGGAGGGAGGAGGGCAAGCGTCAGTGACGGGTCTTAGTCCGAGGTCGCGAGACATACCTCGGTACGAGTCATGTTGGGCACTGGTTAAGGTGGTTGTTGTTGGGGTTGGGTGGTGAGGTAGAGGTGCTGAGAGCAAGTGTTGATGGAACGCTGGTGGACGTCTGTGAGGAGAGAGGAGAGAAGTAGAGAGGGCTTTGGGGCTTTATAGTGGGAGGAGGGGGGGAGGTCAGGTGGTGTCGATGGTGTGAGTGGATCGGCGTTGACGTGGGCTGGGGGGAGTGTCGAGTTGCTGGAAGCATGTGGCATGTGGCTCTTGTTGCTCCTACCAATTGCTACCAACGCTATCGACTCGGCACGCCTTCCCCAGCTATGAGAGCGAGGAGAGCGAGATCGGGTATTGTCCTCGTGACCTTCATCCCCCCCGTCCACCCCCTGCCACTGACGTCAATGCCAACCTTGTCCCCACCGTACAGTCCAATTACACTCCTCCATTCCAGGGGCTAATCATCCCATTAACAATCCATTTCAATATCTCTCTCTCTTGGCACTCTAACCGTCCTCGCCCACGCTCACTCATCCATCATCCACCTGCACATCTTTCACATTCACATCCTCTCTATGTCTCAAGCTCATCTCTCTATAACGACCATGTCGTCGCTCTCTCTATTAACAATATTGCTACAGTCAAGTCTCGGCGCGCGCTCACACTCTCTCCTTGCTCTCCACCTTCTTCTTACGCTGCTGCCACCACCTCTTCTTCTTCTTCGACTCATCCTCCTCCGTGTTCTCCTCCTTGACATTGTTCTCACGCACAATGGCGAGGAAGGCCGCCTCCGTGGACGCTCTGATCGGTTAGCCCTGTCTCTCGTCTCTCTCTCGTCCGACTCGTTGCCTCCTAAGCTGCTCCTAACCCCTCGCGATCGACAAGGGCGCCGGAGAGAGGCGCAAGCGGGCCCCAGCACCGCTGCCCTGTCTCCCCCGCATCGTGCACTCATGCACAGCCGGTAGCCGCAGCTCCTCTGCTGCCACAGCCAATGGCGCGGCGCGGCGCAGCTTCGTTCGGCTTCCATCCGAATCCGAGGCCTCAACCCCCGCGTCGACGCAGGGTTTTGACCCAAGCGGGCCCTGCGACGCCGCCCCTTGCCCCTAATCCGATCGCAATCGGCCCACCAACCGCCCAGTAACCAACCGAATCCACTCACTCATGCAGTGTCATCTCGCCAAGTGCGAGGTCACGCTCCGCCGCTCGGAGCGCGCCGAGGAGCGCGTCCAGCTCATCCTCGCGCACGCCAGGCACCGAAATGCGCGTGAGCGTGTCCGTGGCGACTTGCGCCGAGTTGAATCCACTCTCGCGGAGGTACGACACGAGCGGCTGCACGTCATCCGCGCGCGCGTGCACCTCGTATGTCGCGAAGCGCGACTTGAGGGAAGCCGGGGTGCCAACCGCTGTGTGTTAGCACGGGCGTGGGCGCGGGGCAAAAAGGAAGGGGGGAATTGACTCGGCCGCGCAGGCCGCGGAACTCACCGAGTAGCTTTGACGCAATAATGCCGACGCGGTTCGAAAGCGCATCGACCTCCTCCATGCTGTGCGTAGTCATGACGACCGCGCGGTCGCGTGTAAGCGCCTCGAGCTGCGGTCAGCGCATATCTTCCTGAATAACTCACAGTGTGCCACGCCTCGCGCTTGCTGAAGGGGTCAACGCCGGACGAGAACTCGTCAATGAGGATAACCGGGCGGTCGCCGATGAGGGCGCACGCGAGAGAAAGCTTGCGCAGGTTGCCGCCACTGAGGGAGCTGGCCAGCTCGTCCGACTTGATTGTAAGACCCGAGACGGCGAGGAGGGCGTCGACGTCGCGACCAAGCTGTGCGCGGGGCACACCCTTGAGGCGGCCGTACAGCCACAGGTGTTGGCGGACAGTCAGGTGAACATCGATGGCCGAGTGCTGGGGGCACACGCCGAGCGACTCGCGTGCCTGGTTGCGGTCGCGCACAATCGAATAACCAGTGACGCGAACGTCGCCGCGCGTCGGGCGCTCGACGCCGCGCACGACGCCGAGCGTCGTCGTCTTACCCGCGCCGTTGGGACCGATGAGGGCGAACGTGTCGCCCTGCGCAACGCCAAAGGTCACGTCGTCGACCGACGGCTTGGCCCTCTTCTCGAACTGCTTCGTGAGGCGGTCAACGATGAGCGCGTCGCTCGAGCCTGCAGCACGCTTCGCCTCGTCAATAACGTCCGGCGAGCGGTCGGCGTCGGCACCCTTGATCTTCTTGTTGCGCTGCGCCCAGTGGGGGATAGGACGCCCCGAGTCGAACCACACGAGGAGCATGAAAGCCACCACACCCTGCACGATCATGTAAAGGATCGGGCCGCCGAAGAGGGTCATGTCGCCGAACGACTTTTCGGTCCGGCCGCCGCGGCCGTCGCAGAGGAGGTTGAAGATGTTGACGCTGACGAACGCCGCGCGCACAATGCTCGCGACGGGGTGCAGGACCGCATAGCCGAAGTGCGCGATCGCCATGTTGCGGTCGGCGCTGCCCGTCTTGTCAGACATGGCGATGACCTGGTACACGACGACGTAGAAGAGGAAGATGACACCGTTGATCGAGGCAATGGCGGCCCAGGCCCCGAAGCTCGTCTTGAAGAACAGGCTGAGGAGGTAGGCGCAGCACGTCGCGCTGATGCCGTACAGGACGAGGCAGACCCAGAACTGGCCGAGCGCGGTGAACTGGCCCGCGCCCGCCGCAGCGACCGTGACGATGGTGGCGACGATGAAGATGCCGGGGAGCTCGAAGGCGAGGTGTCCGGCCCAGAGGGCGGCGGGACGCGCACCGTTAGAGTACTGGTTGATGCGGACGCCCGCACGCTTTTCCGTCGCGGGGTAGATGGCCGCAAACGCCGGCCAGATAGCCATGACCATGCCGAAGAAGGTGATCCACAGAAGCGCCTTGCCCGTCGGCCCAAAGTCGGCGTACGGCAGCTCCTCGTAGCTCACACGGATGCGGAACGGGTCGCTGGCCGGCGCGAGCTGCTGGAACATGGCGTTCGAGTAGAGGTTGAGTGCACTGAGGCCCTTGACCTGGAGGATTCGGCGTTCGGGGTCGCCTTCGTACGCGACGAGGCCCTGGCCGAGCGCGATACCGCCGAACGTCTCGTTCTGCATGTTGCTGCGGATGGCGGACTCGAGCGCGGCGCGGCTGTCGACAGTCCGGAAATTGAGGCCGGGCGTCGATGCCCAGTCGCCTAGCTGCGCGTTGTCGGGGGCGAAGAGCGGCTTTGAGAACTGCGGCATCACAGCAAACAGCGAGGACGGGTACGTGAGGTCGCGCAGGCCCTCGTCTGTCGTCGTGACGGGCTCGCAGCTGGGCGAGCGCCCGTTCATGAATACCATGGGGACGGTCGCGCCGAGCGAGATGGCGATGACCGCCGCGATGGGGATGAGCCACGCGCGCCGCAGCACCCACAAGCGCTTGTGCATGACGCTCGCGGCCATTTCGGCGCCGGCGCGCCACCACGGCCGGTTCTCACACGGCGTGAGGTACAGCTGCTCGCCGGCGGCGACGCGCGAGACCTGCATCTCGATGTCGTCCGGCTTGTCCGTGGCTTCGGAGGGGGCCCCGCTCGCGTCGCGCGACAGCGATGCACCGCTGCGCGGCGACTCTTCGTCGCCGTTGGCGCGGTTCAGGTCGATGAACACGTCTTCCAGCGTCGTGCTGCCGACAGTGTACCGCAGGTCGGGGTCGCGCGCGCGCTTCTCTGCCAGGACGCGCGCAAGCGCGCGGATCTTGCCCACGTCGTTGCTGCCCGTCGTGTATAGGTGGCGGCCCTTCGTGGCGCGCATGCTGATGCTGGGGTCGTGGACGCGGAGGGCGTCGAGGATGTCGAGGGCGGTTTGGGATGCGTTGGCGCGCGTGTCCTCGACGGCGAGGATGAAGCCGTGCCCGAGGCGCGTCTTGAGCCCCACCGGGCTGTCGACGGCGAGCAGGCGTCCAGGGGCTTTGAGGATGGCGATCTCGTCGCCGAGGTAGTCGGCCTCATCGAGGAAGTGGGTGGTGAGGACCACGGTGGCGGGCGAGCCGCCGTCGAGGCCGCGGCCACGCACGTCGGCGAGCACCTTCCAGATCGCGCGGCGCGAGAGGGGGTCGAGGCCGCTGGAAATTTCGTCGAGGAGCAGCAGGTTGGAGCCGCCGGCGAGCGCGCACGCCAACTGCAGCTTGCGCTTCTGGCCGCCACTGAGTTTCTGGGAGAGACATTTGGCCTTGGGCGCGAGGTCGCAACGCGCGAGGAGGTCGAGGTCGAGCGCCCGATCGCGGCGCCCGTCCGTGCCTTTGATGGCGCGCCAGACGGCCGCGTGCTGCTCGCAGTCGAGGTCGTCCCACAGCACATCCTTCTGTCCTGCGATACCTACGCGCAGGTCCGGCGCGTACTGCACGTCGCCGGAGGTGCGTGAAGTCAAGCCGGCGATGATGGACAACGCGGTAGACTTGGCCGCGCCGTTGCGGCCGAGGAGGCAGAAGATCTCGCCGCGCGGCACGTCAAAGCTCAGGTCGTCAATGGCGAGCACCGACTTGCGGCGCCCGAAGAAGAAGAAGCGGCGCGAGTCGTAGCTCTTGCGCAGGTGCGAGACGTGGATCGCCGTGCCCGGCGCCATGCGGCCGGCGTGCGTCGCGCCCGCGATCTTGAAACGCGCGGAGAGGCGACCAAAGAAGCCGGGCGCCTTGTCGCTGTGCGTGCTCGGCAAACCGAAAATGGCGCGCTCGGCGATAATCGCAATGAAGGGCCACAGGAAAATGTTGATGATGCCAAGAAGAATGAGGAGGACGGCGCTCGCGTCACCGTCCGGGCTCTGCTTCACCCAGCTGAAAGGCAGCTTTGCGACCTCCCAGCTCGCGGCGTTGCGGTGGACGAAGATGACCAGCGAGGTGGGGAGGAGCATGGTGAGGACGCCTTGGAGCGCGGCGCGCGACTCGACGAGGATACCTGCGATCGCGCCGAGGAACGTGAGGCCAATGGTGGCGATGGCGGCGAGCGTGGGTTTCTTGGCGAAAGGCACGGCGACGAAGAAGGTCCAGCTCGCGATGCTGAGGCCCATGACGATGTACGCGATGATGAGGTAGCCGAAGTTGGTCTCCTTGAAGATGATGGCGCGGTAGATTGCCGCCATGGCGATGAAGGAGGGGAAGTGCGAGGCCGTAATACTCAAGTGCCACGAAAGGATGCGGGCGAGGGCGCCGCATCCCATGGCTTCCAAGAGTTCTGTGAGGCCAGCGGCGCGCTCGGCTGCGACATATCCGGGGAGGTGGTAGGCGAGGAAGAGGAAGTTGACCACAAACGAAATGACCAGCACGCCGCGCATATCCTCGAGGAAGTCGATGCGGATCTTCTCGTCGTACCCGTCGTTATCCAAGGCCGTGTACACCCAAGCGTCGGGGCGCTCTGGCGCACTCCCCGTCACTTGGTTCATCCATGTCGAGTCAATCGCCCACTGCAGCGGCAGGAGGCGGCGCATAAAGTCGTCCTTGGTCCAGTCGTCGACGTCGACGACATCGAGCCCGAGGTCGCCGCGCATAGTGTAGTTCAGTTCTCCGGTATCGGCGTTGACGGCGTCGAAAAAGACGGCGCCGTAGCAGTCGCTGCGCCCGTTCAGGTTCGAGCGGCACGCGCGGCTGATGTCGTCCTTGTTCTCGATCGTCTCGATGTTCACGCCCGAGTCGACGCCGGCGGACGCCAGCGCGCTCTGCAGCAGCGGCGCGCCGCTGCCGCTCGGGTCGTACATCACCAACTTGTAGCCCAGCAGGTCCGAGGGCACTTCGGGGAGCACGGCGATGCGGCCTGCTCCGCGGTTACCGGCGTCCTTGTAGAACTCGCTCGTCTGCGCCACATAGCTCGAGTATGCGGCGGGGATGATGAGGCAGCGGAACAGGTTCCACCACTTGTGTCGCCAAATAATGATCCTGGTTGTTAGCTCTGCGTCCGCGTCGGAGTTGGCGGGTCAGTGGGGTATGTGGCGCTCACCAGTTCTTGCGCGTCAAGGCCGCTGTCTGCGTCCACACCTTGCTGCGGCTGCGGTGGACCTGGACATCGGCCTCCTTCTCGCTATGGCTCTGGGAGCGTTTGCTGAGATTCCAGCCCATGGTGCAGTGATTGTTCGGGATGGTCGCCAGCGGAGGGCTTTAGTAGCTCAGCGCCGGCGAGAGGGGTACGGTGGAATAGGTTGTTGGGGCGCGAGACGTCCCGGGGTCCGACGGGGCCGGTGGGGGGAGTGGGGGCGGCTCCGGAACGCGGTGCAGTTGCGATCTGAGGAGGTGAGTACCGGCGGGTGTTGCGTCGTTGTCTCGAAAAATGCGGTGTCCGCGTGAGTGTCAGTGTGTGGATCTTAAGTACTCTGGCTGCTGGCAGTCCGGACTCGAGGCGCAAAAGTATCCCGGCATCGCGAGGGTGTGAATGCGCTACGGCTCTTGGCAGGTGATGCCGGGTGCGGGGCGTGCCTCCGTGCCTGAAGGTTTATGGAACATAAGATGTCTTGGCTGCTGCGCTGCCCAGACCGGCTTATCCCCCCCGCCCCTTGCGCCGTTGACGTCACAACTCTATCTTGCCTCGCCGTAGAAGCTCTCGCGACCTGTCGCTTCCACCCGGCGAGGCTGTGCTCCTTCGGATCGCGCCAACGCTGTTGAGCAACGACGGCGTGCTAAAATGGGACTGGAGCGCCGACACTTGACTGTTGACTGTCGACGGCGACTGCTGCGGGCCGTACGCGGCGCCACCGATCGCGCCACGCCGTACGATAGCTGCGGCGAGAGCTCGAGGCAGCAAGGCTTCCATCAGGGTTGGCTCGGCGTCCATTTCCGCAAAAGTCTTTCTTAACAACAATCTCCCATGCCGATGTCCACCGCCTCGCTCGACGGGTCCGATACTTTGTAGATTCAGCATCTGAGGTGCGACAAGATGCGTGTGCACTAGCGCGAGGCGGTGTGGGTATGGGAAGCATGCAGTCGCACCACCGGGCCCGTCCTCCGCAGTTTACAAGAGATCCATGGAAAATAGTGCTCGCGCCCATCCGAACATACGCCACTGTCGTGCGCCCAGCTTCCACAATCAACGCGTCTAGGTCTGGTGGCTGCGCATAGCGTCGTCCACATCGCGCGGGCACTACTGGTTCAAAATGGCCGTCGGCCAGCGACTGCGGCAGCGCAAACGCGTCAGACGGAGCGTGGCGCCGGATAAATTGGGGCTGAGTCTTGGCGTCCTCCGGGACGGAGGACAGAAAATACGCGCACGTCGTGCGACTGGGCCCCCGTCCGACCTGTTAGTGATAGGTAGCGGCGTGATGAGGCGCAGTACAGACGGAGATTTTCTAGCTTGAGCTTGTTGACGTCAGCCAGAGGCCCCCCACCACCGCCGTAAAGTGGCACTGCCGATCAGATTGATCAGCAAACGTCGGCGAGATTGCCAGTCCTGATCGTCGGCCCCTTCCTTGCATCGGGGATCGGCGATGCTTAAACCCCCTCAGATCTCACAGCCAGTGCAGAACGCTAGACAGTCCTTCCAGACTTTCCGGACTTTTCGAGATGCTGGGCAGCGTCTTACGAAAGAGCTGCGACCCAAACGTGCACACAGCAGATCGAGAAGGCGGCCACTCCGTCATCTCGACCTTCAGTACCCCATAGATACCAGCCCTCCGAATCATGCTGGCCTCCAAATAATTGGATATGCTGTTTATCTCGTCCGTGGCGACACCAAGTAGCAAGCCGCTGCCACGGCCGGGAGCCCAAACCTCACGCAGCCACGGTCTGCAAAAGACTGGGGCACCTGAGATCCCGTCCTTTGAAGTAACAGTTGAATTTGCATTGTCGTCCCGGAATCAAACGTTATCTCGCCGTATCAGTATGAGATTTCGCTCTTAGAGTTAGGTACCATACCAGCATCCCTTCGGCGTACTACTTCCTGGCAAGCACCGACCGCCATGGCATGGATGTCGGACATCTCTCGGACATGCCCGTCGCGCAATGCGCCGACGCGACCGGCCCGCGTCCCGCACTCGTCGTACGAGCCCCGCCTCACCAAGCCTGAGGCACGCGGAACGTCGGATACGATCGTCGGCAGCTTCGCCGAGCCCGCCGACCTCCCCACCCACCCTCCACCCTACACCCTGTGCTCCGCGTGATACCGGCGCCGCAAGCACGCCGCGCCGAGCGTCTTGTCGTCTGACCATACATAAGGCGTGGTGCGGGGCACGACACCCCGCAGCCAACATGACCCGCGCCCCGCACACCCCCGACTCGGAGAAGGAACGGAGCCTGTCGCTCGAGGGCCAGGTCGACGACCTCGCCGGCAAACCGCGCTGGTATCGCTTCGGTGTCAACTCCTGGAGCCAGATCACGCTTGTGAGCATCATCTGCTTCTTCCTACCGGGCATGTACAATGCCATTGCGGGACTGGGTGGCTCGGGCCAGCTCGACCCCACGATCGGTGCCAACGCCTCGGTAGCCCTCCTGTCCGTTGGCGCCGCCACCGGCTTGCTGGTTGGTCAGCCCATGTTCGACATCTTCGGCGTTCGCTGCATCATCATCGGTGGCTGGACATATGCGCTCTACACCGGCTCCCTCCTCAACTACAACCACCGTGGCAATGGCGCTTTCGTTATCGGAGCTGGTGCTGTGCTGGGTTGGGGCGCCACCTGTTTGTGGGTCACACAAGGCGCCATCATGCTCTCGTACCCTCTTCCGCACCAGAAGGGCCGCAGCATCGCCTGGTTCTGGATGATCTTCAACCTTGGCGGTGCAATCGGCTCGTTCATCTCACTCGGCATCAACTACAACCGCATCAAGGCCGGCACGGTCTCCGACTCGACGTATGTCGCCTTCATGGTGCTCATGCTCTTCGGATGGGGGTTGTGCTTTTTCCTTGTCCCGCCACACCTCGTCCGCCGTACGGACGGCTCTCGCGCAGCCCCTCCCAAGGTTGCTTCGGAGGGCAAGTGGTACGACAACTTCACCCAGAAGGCCAAGGACGAGATTATCCACATTATTCAGCTGAAGGACGAACCGCGCATCCTCTTCCTCATTCCCATGTGCTTTGCCGCCAACTGTAAGTCTCACTTACGGCCCAAAGCTGACACTCAGGGTTCTATTCGTACCAGCAGAACATCGTCAACGGCGGCTCGTTCACGCTGCGCGCGCGCTCGCTCAACTCTGCTCTTTACTGGGCGGCCCAGATGTTTGGCGGAATGGCGATCGGCCTTATTCTCGACATGCCGTGGTTCAGCCGCCCTAAGCGCGCGCTCTGCGGATGGGCCTTCGTCTTCGTAACCGGCAACGTGATTATGGGTGGCGGTCTCGCCTACCAGAAGTGGTTCGATGCGCAGGGCAAGAAGAACTTTATCGACTTCTCCGACTCGAAACTTTACGTCGGCCCTTGCTGGCTCTACATCTGGTACGGTGCGCTCGACGCGTTCTGGCAGGGCTTCGCCTACTGGATGCTCGGCGCGCTCTGCAACACGCCCAAAGAGGCGGCGCGCTTCGTCGGCGTCTACAAGTCGATGCAGTGCGTTGGTGGCGCCGTCGCGTTCCGCCTCACTGCCAACCACCTGAGCTCGATGAAGCAGTTCATTTCGAACTGGGCAATTGTCGCCGGCGCCCTTATTTTCGCCCTTCCCGCCGTTCTCCGCGTCACGGAGCCCACAGAGACTGAGGCTAAGGGCCTCTTCGTTTCGGAGGAGGACGACCGTCCAGGCGCGCAGAACAAGAAGGCCGCCGAGGCCCGCCGCGTAAGCTCTGTCGCGTAGGGGGTTAGGAGGGGTAGGACAGGGCGAAGTGAAAGTGTTATCGAATAGCTCTCGATATTGAAAGTAGTTTTTGTCCGCGAAATAGCGTGCATGTAATTCTTGACCGGAAGAACGAAGGTGACGGTGTGGGCAATGCCGGTGTAATTCACTGCTTGAATTCATTGCAACTTGGCGTCACACGAGCTCTGTCACACGAGCTCTGTCATACCTCCACTGTCTCACAAACATTGTCATACCTCCACGGTCACACGAGCACGGTGCTACGTGCACGGCTTAAACAGCGTCAAGAGTTGGCCTGCAGACTGTTCGTTGGTAGAACACCAAGTTTCTCCTGGGAGCAATTGCCACATCGACGATCACAGACCACCTTCCCGTGCCTGCTCACCCGTGCAACCACACACACACACAAGGGCGGAACGAACTTTATTAAGCATTCTTAGTCTTATCAGTGTGCACATGCGTGACAGTCTGGCGAGACCTTCCTCCTCACCTTCTACATCAGCCGTGGATAACGTAAACCCCAGTCTGCTGCGTGGAGGTGCTTCTCCAGGGCAGGACACTCTCAAGACCTCGCTCGAGCGAAAGTTGGGGTACTCTCAGTGCAGGAAAACGCAGTCGGCCCGCTGCCCGCTAAAAAAGCTGGGGAGTCGGGCAAAATGCCGACCCCTGATCGGTGACTCCCACGAGCAGTCCAATATCGACAAAGCCGAGATAATGACGCTCGCTTACTCCAGTCTCCACCATCTGTGATGCCCTACCACCTCTGCATCGACGGCGGGGGCACGAAGACGAGCGCCTTCCTCGCGCACGTTGGGACGCGCACTGTAGTTGCTGTGGGCCATGCTGGCCCGTCGAACTTGTGAGCCTCGTCCGACAGCGCTGACGGCAGGACTTTCGGACTGGACGCATGCCTCGCCGCAACGCGAGAGGCAGTTGCAGATGCCGTAGAGGCGCTTCACCAGATGGATCCCGACTCAAGGATCGCCTTTCCCCTCGGCGACGTGAGATTTGACCGCGTCTGGGCGGCCTACGCTGGATGCACCCGCCAGAGTGACCGAGACGCGCTTCTCCCGCCCCTGCAAGACATGTTCGGGGAGGTGCGGCTCACTGGCGACGGCGAGCTGTTGACGGCCCCGGCGCTGGGTGGGCCGCCACAGCGCTTTGTTACGCTCATCTGCGGGACGGGATCGCTTGCGCTATTGTGGACCTACAGGGACGGGCGAGCGGAGCAGCTCGCGCGCAGCGGCGGGTGGGGGCCACTCTTGGACGACGCCGGGAGCGGATGGGCGCTCGGCAAGGAGGCCGTCAAAAGCGTGCTTACATTTGTTGCGAATAAGCGCGAGCTGAAGACCTGGCACCGCGAGGTGCTCGCGCACTTCGACCTTGACCGGGAAACGGGAGCCGATCGGCTCATCGCCAAATCCTCGAAACTAGATCCTCTGCTCTCGCCTGCAGATGGCGATGCGGAGCGCAAAAAGCGCATTGCGGAGTGCTCCCGGCTTGTCGTAACTGCCGCGGAGAAGGGGGATGAAGAAGCGCTCCGCCTCCTCGGAATTGTTGCGGAGCAGGTGTGCTCAACGCTTGCCCCGCTGGTCACGGAGGCGAAGAGGCTCGGGGAAGAGGAGGAGACTATGCTTGTAGTTGCCGGCGGACTGGGACAGGCGGAGGCGTTTTGGAGGCACGTTGAGAGACTGTTTAAGGAGCGCGAGTGGCGATTCCGGACAGTCAAAGTGCCCGAACCGGGGAGAAGTGGGCTTGAGGGGCTGCTTAAGTAGAGGTGCGACAATGTATGTGACTGCTGTATGTGGGTACCATTCGCTCGTGTGGGCATCAAGTCGGGTGTAGGGCATGATATCTGCACACTCAAGGCCATGTTGCCCCAACGAGCGGTTGTGTAGCCAGCACAAAGATCGGGTAACGGTGCGGTCCGTGATTAACACACTCCAAACTCGCAAAATCTCTGGTCGAGTACATGTATCGGTAAGAACAGTCTATCAATTTATGTGGTGTGGACCTCTGCCTCGAGCGCCTTCTTGAGTATGTCTTCAGCGGCATCTAGCCGCTCTGTAGCTTCCTCTGGAGAGCAGCGCCACCGCGCCGCCACCATAGCCTTTTTCACGCTCCCATCGCAGGCGTCAATCAGGTGGTCGATGCCCTCGCCGTCCTCCAGCGACACAGCAAGCTCGACTTTCGCGGCATAGGGCTCGAGCACAGCCCTGAAGATACCCCTCGCGCGGTTGATGAGCTTGGCATTGGAGCGCTTGACGTCGACCATGAGGTTGCCGTACGTCTTGCCGATGCGGAGCTGCACGCCAGTGCTGATCATGTTGAGGATCATTTTCTGTGCCGTCCCGCTCTTCATGCGCGTACTTCCCGTCACGACCTCAGGGCCAACAGGACACTCGACGATGTCGACGCACTGCGCCGCCATGGTGGATGGCGCAACGCAGCATATTCCAGCAGTGTAGATGGCGTGTCTGCGTGCCCACTCGAGAGCGCCGAGCACATAGGGAGTGCGGCCCGAGGCAGCGAGGCCAATGACCGAGTCGAGCTCTGGGCACAGCGGCGGGGAAATGGTCCGGAGGTCTAATTCCCCTAGCTCGGGGCTGTCCTCAGCCCCCTCGACCGCCTTTTGGATCGCGCGGTTGCCGCCAGCAATCAGCCCAATCCACTGTCCGTAGGGAGATGAAAACGTGGGTGGAATCTCGCTCGCATCCAGGATCCCCAGACGCCCACTCGTTCCTGCGCCGACGTAGACGACGCGACCTCCGGCGCGGACTTTAGGCGCGAGCGCGTCAATCACCCGCGCGATGGTGGGGATGCAGCGCTGCACTTGAAACGCGACAGTCTGGTCCTGCTCGTTGATCATCTCTGAAAGTAAGCCTCCACTTTCTCGCGCCTAAACGTACCACACATCTCCTCCGTGCTAGCAACGTCGATGTTGTGTGTCTTGAAGTTCCGCCCTTCGGTTTGCAGTGTAGAGAGATCAATGAAGGGCACGGGCGTTGAGACACCACTGGGGGATGGAGATGTGTATGGGTTAGGGGATACGCCGATGCGACCGTGCTTAATCGTAGCCAGCGAGGCGTTCAGCTTGGCCATCACCTCGCGACGGGGCGGCGATCCGAAAGAGTCGGACGCCGCACCGGCGTGCCCGCTTGGGTGCCCGTTGGAGTGACTGGAGTGACCGTTGGCATACCCATTGAGGTGGGCGGCCTTGTGCGGAAGCGTCGAGGTGGGTGCGGGCATCGTGGCTGCTGCGCTCATGATAGTATGGGAAACGGCCCTAGTTGCCGTGCATGTATATTATCTACGTCGCAGTTGGCCTCGGTAAGACTGCCGAGCCACAGTCCCCAGACATATCGTCCAGGCACATAGCGATGATCATGAGACTGATCGGCGGGCGGGCCGAATTCCGACGTCTAGACGGGTTTGGCACGGCGGAACAAAGTGAAAGAGAGACGATATCAAAGTGATTGAGTGTCCTCGCGCAATTGTCCCGCTCAAGTCCCCGACATGAGCGCAAAAGTGCATGCATGGCCTATTCCTGCAGCCTATCATATTATCTTACTGCCGCATACCCCAAACCTGCGCCCACTGCCCCTCTACATGCAAAGGTGTGCTGAGCACATCAGTCTGTGGTAGACCCAGCACGCCATTCAAATCCGCCCAGAACGAGTCGGATCCGGTATATGCCATGACGGCGGGCAAGTCAAGGTCCGGGATGGGCGTGAACGTAGATTCGACCGGCGGCGCGACGCCATGCTCCTGTTGCATCCGTTCCATTAGCCGATGGAGTAGCTTACTGCCCGATGTGAGCAGCATGGGCGCAAGGGCGACGAAGAGGTCGTGAGCAGGGCGCACAAGGGCGTCTGAGTTAGCCTGTCCTATGAGAGACATACCATCTGTGGGGAGAGCAAGGGCTGCGACCAGCGCAGAGTGCAAGAACAGCTTGGGCCACAGATGCAGCGAGGTGCTCCACCTGCCTACAACGAGGTCAAGCAACTCGCGGCAGCTCGTCATGTATTGCGCCGCATCTGGCTGCGCCGCCTGATGCAGATATCCGTCGACGACTACCGACGCGACGCGATAGTACAAGAGGACGAGGTCGAGTAGAAACTCGCGCTCGCTGCCGGTGGGCAGCTTGGCGGCGTCTGCGTCTGTTGTCAGCTTTGGAAGCGAATGGGCCGCACTTTGTATTTCATACAGCCACTTCGGACGCCAGGTCTCCAAATCGTCGCGGCAGCGCCGGAGTACCATCACTTCGGCGTAGGACAGCTGGGTACCCCCCTGCCCCATGAGGGCAGTCATGACGAGAGAGCGTGCGCTCGTGATGGCGCGGTTCAGGTGACCCAAGTTGTCGAACAGCTCGTTGAGAGCTGAAAGAAGGACGTGGCTTGCGCCGCGGGCGGGAACGCCGGGGGGCGGCGTCTCCGGCACGATAGGCACTGAGAGGTGCAGAATGCCGTGCGACACGGTCGTCATCTCGATAAAGTCCCACACGCGGCGGTCGCGGAAGTCACCCCTGTCGGGGGTTGACGTCTCGACGAAGGCGCCGTATACAAGTCCGCTGGTGATCTCGTCCGCCTTCCAAAACCAGGTGCGAGCGATACCCAGCCCGACGACGTCATCCCACGTCTTTGGGACGGTCACGTAGAGGAGGCGCACGAGAGCGCGCTGGAACAGTTCCTCCCATCGCTCGACTGGGGTGCGCATTCGCCGACCAGTTAGCCGCTTCGCTGAGGCCGTCACCACGGCCGTGAAGAGAAGTGGGGAGGGCGTGGCGAGCTCAGTCGACGCTGTGAAGCCATGGAAAATGGCCATCGAGTCGTAGAAGCTGCGTCAGCTACGGCGGGGGATGCACTCACTACTCCCAGAGAACGGCTGCGTCGTCAATGCTCACGTCGAGTGGAGTCGGGCGCTCCAGCTCCGCCAACGCCGGCTGCAATATATCTCGCAGCGTGCCAAGATGTGCGGGCAACGGCGCCGGCGTGGCTGTCGGCATCGTACTCGGCGGCGAGGGCGGCGAGGGCACAGCCCTGGGCGTAGAAGTGTCCGCGTGCAGTGAAGTATCTAGCAGCTGCCGCTGGAGCTCGGCGTTCTGCGCCTTCACAGCCTCTATCTCGCTGCTCAGGCTCTGCAACCGAGCCTCAACGGTTTGTTGCCACCTCAAGTCGTCCGTGAGGATTGCGGCGTTCGCGCGCGGGCGCACGATGCACTCGACGTTGTCGTCCCGGCATCGGCTGCAGGGTTTGTCCGGCGCTCCATCGCACTGCCATCAGCCATGACCGCCGAGGGCCCACCTTCAGCTTCTGTCTTCGACAGTGGAGACATGCGCTTGTCCGCTTCGGCTTGGGCGCGGGCGAGCTTGAGTCGCGCGGCATGGTGGCGGAAAGATCACCAGGAGAGTCGAGGGGGTGTCGGCCAAATGGCCGGTCTTTATCTGTTGGTGCCGTCGTATACCGCTCGCCCACCCTGACCCGTGCCAGATGTCACATTCCGCTGTGTGCGGATCGTTCTTGGCCTTGACCTGCGACATCGTGGGAAATGTAGCCCTTTGCTGATGTGATGCACGGACTAAAGAAGCGGCGATCAGTCGATCAAGAGCTGCGCAACAATGCCACTTCCAAGGAATATGTGGAAATTGTCTCGATTCAGCGGCAACGATCAAGTGCTGCTAAATCATCATAGGTGCCGCTGGCTCTGCCAACTTCATTAGAAATTCAAACGGTTATAGGGATGATGTAGTCGAATGAAAGTTGTCGAGGGGAACACCGTGCAGAGGCGGGCCCGATCGAGTCGAACAGTAGTGCCATCGGCGACGCAGAGAAACTGCCATGGAGGCATTACAACGACACCATTTTCACCACTACCAGTCCGTTGCGCGGATCCACCTGGCTGCCATCGCGCCCCTCTACCAGCTCGTACCCCATCTTCTGATAGAACGCCATTGCCCGCAGATTGTCCTCGAGCAGCCACACAGTGCGCGGTCCCTCAGTCTCGATGGTGCGCATAAGTGCCTGCGCTGCACCAGTGCCGTGGTGTGCGTCGAGGACGTAGAGGGAGTAGACCTCCGTCGCGTGCTGGTTTGGGCCGTGCAGGATAAACCCGATGATGCCGGAAGGCGAGTCGGCGACGAAGCATATAGTGCCAGGCTGCGGGAAGCCGTGTGTAAGCGACTGGGACCATTGTGCCTGCCGCTGCGCGAGGGTGCGGCTTGCGAGGAGCTCTGGATGGTGCGCGTAGGATTCTTGCCACGACGTGTGGTGGACGTGGGCGATGGATGCGGCGTCGGACGATACCGCGGGACGGGCTGTAAAGTAAGAGGAGGTCATGCTGCTGTAGCAAGATGGAGGAGTTGTGGCGAGGGCTTTTCAGTCGGTGTTCTATCCAGGCAAGCTTTGTTTGGTTCCGACTCAACTTCCGAGTCAACTCATGATTACTGAAATAGATCACATCGAATATCCGCTACGTCCCTAAATATTCGCGCTGATGACGTGCACTGCTGTGGCAATATGTCGACTGCGATGAACGAAACCAAAAATGACATTCAATGCATGTCGCTACGCAATACCCGTCCGCCTGGCCGTCGTCCCCCTCTAAGTCGTCCACCCACTACGTCGGCGCAACTCCCAACGTCGTCCCGCCGCACACGTACATGACCTGACCCGTAACGAATCCGTTTTCTGCGTCGAGGAAGAAGCCGGCGGCGCGCGCAACGTCCTCAGGCGTTCCGAGGCGCTTGCACACGGTACTGTTGATGATAGCCTTCGTGGCGGGCGCGTCAGGCGGATTCGAGCTCATGAAGAGCTCGGTCGCGATGGGTCCTGGGGCGATCGAGTTGACGGTGATGCCGTGCACGCCGAGCTCCATAGCCAGCGTGCGCGCCATACCGATCATACCGGCCTTGGTGGCGCTGTAGACGACGCGGTTGGGCTTGCCGAGCGCGGCGCGGGACGCGAGCATGACAATCCGCCCAAAGCCCGCTTCCTTCATGGCCGGTAGGGCGGCCTGAATAAAGATCAGGCTCGCCTTGAGGTGGAGGTTGCAGACGAAGTCGAGCGACTCGAGCGTCGCGGTCTCAGCGGTGCCGGGGCGCGTCGCGCCGGCGTTGTTCACAAGCCCCACGATCGCGTACTGGGACGCGAGGCGCGCCGCAATGTCCTTGGTCTGCTGCTCGTTCGTGAGGTCCGCCTCGAAGACGACCATGCCCTTGGGCGTCGAGGCTGGCGCCTTCAGGTCGACATTGAGGACGGTGTGACCCTGCGCGAGGAGGAGAGAGGCGATCGCCGCGCCGATGCCGTTGCTCGCTCCTGTCACGAGGTACGCGCGGGGCTTGGACATGATGAGTGGAGAAAGTCGACATCGTTTGGCGGCGCTGCTTGGAGGTGTGCCCACCGCTCGTCGGTTATCTTTCCGGATGGCAGAGGGCCGGCCATCTCCGGCAGTGACATCCGGCAGGTTTATCCGGCACCTCCACCACTTACATCCATGCTCGACGTCGGGGCGATGCATGCTTGAATGAGAATCGGTTGGGCGGACTGCGTCCCATCTAGCGCCGAGCGCTGCACGTTGACGAGTGTAAGGAATGGAGGGTGACGTAAAGTTGTGGGCGCGACCTGCTGCGGGGATCGCGGGAGGCAGCGGAAGCGATCATGAGCGACTGCGGAAGGCCAAACAGCGCTCTCTTCTCACATCATACACGTGCTACTCAACTCTACTCATCTCTTCCCTCCTCCCTCCTCCTCATCACCATCACACATCCCAATGCTCAAACTCGCGATCCTCGCTCTTTTCGGCTCTGCAGCCGCCGAGACTGTCCTCATCCACCCGGGCGACCAGGGATTGTGCATCCGCGCCGACGCGCCCTCAGAGCGCGAGCAGCTGAGCCTGTGGGTTACCACCTTCCTTCCGCATTCATCACTAATGACAGCGGGCGCTGCTCGACGAGCGCAGCAGACGTGCGTCGCTGGGACATTGATGACGACGGCGCCTCAACCCTCATCCGCTTGCATGGCTCGAGCGTCTGTCTGACCGGCGGTGTCCGTAAGTCCTTCCCGAGACATATTTGACGTAGACCGGACATGGGACGGCGAGCTCGAGTTTGACCCCGAGGACGGCGACCACGTCGTGCTCCGGGCGTGTCCTGAGGGTCCTCACATTCCCGCTGGCTACGCATGGGTGCGGCACGACAGCGAGAAGGGTCTCTCGTTCAGACTCGACCTCGGCGAGGACTGGTACCTGGACGCGAGCAACGGGGCCGCCGTGTACATCTCCGACAAGGAGCCCGAGACCGGGTGGACACTCGAGGCTGCCGACAGCGACGACGGCGAGGAGGAGGAGGACGCAACAGGCAAGCAGCGGATCAAGTTCTGGGAGGCGGTGGGCGACATTCTTGAGGGTCTGTAATGCGCAGCGGGTGACGGTGCAGTGTGTGCAGCGAGAGTCTTTCGATAGCGGCAAGGTCAGCAGCTGAGCAGGTTGGGTCTCTAGAATGCTATTTCGGTCCGAGAGTGCCCACGGGGGCCAGGGGCGGAATCGGCATGCTCAAGAGGTGGAGCGCGTCGTAGGACATGATCGACGCGAGCAAAGAGGGTGACATCACATCGGCGACCAAAACCTCCGAGCACTCTTCTCAGTCTCCATATCTTCACATCCAGACTCTGTTGTATCTCTTCGCATAGCTTCACCGGGCTCTGCGATCGTCCAGCAGCCAGCTCTGCCAGGCGGAATCGGCGACATGCGCTCTCTTGGTCTCACAAGAGGTCCGCAAAGATCTCTCCAAAAGCCCGGATCTCGGGCGCCCCCGAGAATGCCCCGAAGACATGCCGATCTGGCAGAACGGCCAAGCGGGCCGATGACCCGCTGCCATCTTCCGGACGACAGCCTGTCAGCCTCCCAGACACGATAAATGCACACGATTCCCACTTCTTCTCCTCCCACTCTCACACCTCACACCTTCTTACGGCTCACGGCCCACGAATAGAACCATGGCCCAGCTCAAGTCTGACAACCCCAGCTTCGTCCTCCACGGCGTCGAGGATGTCAAGATCGAGAACGTGAGCGCTCAGCTGGCTTCGCTGACGCGCAGCGCCCCATCCCCGAGGTCGAGAATGACGAGGTCCTCATTGAGGTTGCCAAGACGGGCATCTGCGGCTCGGACGTCCACTACCTCCAGCACGGTAGAATCGGCTCATTCGTGGTCAAGGAGCCCATGTGTCTCGGCCATGAGAGCTCGGGCAAGGTCGTCAAGCTTGGTCCCAAGGTGACCGGCCTCAAGGTCGGGCAGCGCGTTGCCCTTGAGCCCGGCATGGGCTGCCGCACTTGTGATATGTGCAAGGGGGGGCTGTACGAGGTGAGTTTGCGCCAGGATCTTGTGGCGTGGGCGTGGGAACGATAGCGGTGAGAAGGCGTCACTCACACCAGCTTTGCCCGGACATGACGTTCGCGGCCACACCGCCCTACATCTACGGCACGCTGTGTCGCTACTGTAAGACACGCTCCCATGCGGTACTGACGTACAGACAAGCTGGTCGCGGACATGCTGCACCCGATTCCTGACTCGGTGTCGGACGAGGACGGTGCCATGATGGAGCCCCTATCGGTTGCTGTGCACTCTGTCTCGAAGCTCGCCAAGTGCAAGAGCGGCGACAATGTCGTCATCTTCGGCGCGGGTCCCGTCGGGCTCCTTTGTATGGCGGTCGCTAAGGCGCTGGGCGCCGCGCGCGTCGTGGCCGTCGACATCCAGCAGGAGCGCCTTGACTTTGCCAAGTCGTACGCCGCGACCGACGTCTTCCTGCCCCCCAAAAAGAATGAGGGCGAGAGCACGGAGGCTTACGCCGAGCGCGCCGCCGCTGAGCTCCTCAAAGAGCTTGACATCCCCGCCCTTGGCTCCCGCGCACTCAACATCTGCATCGACGCGTCCGGCGCCGCGGTATGCATCGCCACGGGCCTCCATCTCCTTAGACCCGACGGCACCTTCGTCCAGGTAGGCATGGGTGCCCCGACCATCCCCATCCCCATGTTTGCGATCGTTGTCAAGCAACTTCGCGTCCTCGGCAGCTTCCGCTACGGTCAGGGCGATTACCCGCTCGCCATCAGCCTCGTGTCGCGTGGTCTTGTCGACCTCAAGCCTCTCGTCACGCACCGCTACAAGTTTGCGGACGCGCGCAAGGCCTTTGACCTCACCAAGGCAGGTAAAGACAAGGAGGGCAAGCCCGTCATCAAGGTCATCATCGACCCTCCCCAGTAGCCTCAGCGCTTGGATCTGTTCGTTCATAGTAGTATAGGGTAGGGGAATGCTCCGTCACAGGGCCTGTAGGCATGAATGTAACATAATGGATGGTGGTACATGATAGTACAGTCTATGGTGAACCAGCTGTGAAGTCTAACCAGCTGTAATGGGCCCCTATTGTCAGAGCCGCCAGCAGTTCAATCTACTGCTTGCGTGGCGTGGCCGCCTCCTTGGCCGCCTGCTGCACGGCCTCCCCTTCGCCAGTGTACGCGAGCCGCACCATCTGCGGCAATGGCTCGGGCTGCTCGTCCTCGCCTGTATCGGCGTATCGTTCTGGTATCAGCCAAGCAGCTCCCACACCCAAACCCACTCATTTGATCCAAGATGTGCTGCACATACGTCCAGTGCTGGAGCACGCGCCCAATCGCTGGCGGTCAGCCTGGTCGCAGACGGACTTACCTTCGCCGCCGTCAGCCATCATGTTGCTCTGCTCGGCCAGGGTGTTCGCCTTTGACAGCATGCCCTCGGTCGCCTCTTTGAGCGCTTGCAGGCCCGAGTACTCCTGCTGCTTGTGATAGAGGCGGAGGAGGGCGGGGTTGTTGGCGACTTCTGGTGGAAGGGTGGTCATAGCGTGAGAGCGGGAGTGAGCGAAAAGATGAAGGAAAGGAGTTCGCTCGCGAAGATATGGCGCGTGTTGACGCGCTCCGGGACGCGTAAAAGTCAAGTTGGAGGTGATGTAGCGTGAATGTCGATGAGCTGAAGGTGAGGTCAGACGAATGTTGACATGTTCTGTGGTCAAGGGGCCAAGGGGAGTGGGCCGTGGGAAAGCTACCCACGCGAAGCGACATCATCGCAACCTCCACCTCCACCGTTCGCTTGCTTGTCGTCTACCGTAACTACAGTCAGCATCACCTCCTTCTCCATCTCCACCGTCCTCTCCACTCTCTCAGACCACTTTGATAACCATGGCGCAGCGACAGAAGTGGGTTCCTCTCGAGGCATCGACTGAGGTACGTCCAGTCAACTCGCCAGGCCACTGACTCCAGGTGTTCACCGATGTGAGTCTCCGGAGACGCCACTCAAGTGTTCCGTTGGCGCAAGTGGAGGGAGGCCGGACTCCGCCTCCTCTTCTCGTGAATGTGCTAACGACAGTGGGCTCGCCCCCTCGGCCTCCCCGAGAAGCCTCTCTCTTTCCAGGACGTGTGGTCGCTCGACGAGGAGATGCTCTCCTTCGTCCCGCAGCCCGTCAAGGCTGTACTCCTGCTCTTCCCTGGCCGTGGCAAGATCCAAGACTTGAGGATCAAGGAGGACGCTGTGGAGGGCAACCGCTTCAAGGGTGACGTGTGGTACATCAAGCAGCAGGTGGGTTGCACTTTGGCAACGCTAATTCAGATCCCGAATGCTTGCGGCTCTATCGGCCTCCTCCATGCCCTCCTGAACCTTCCGGAGAGCGATCTTGAGAAGGACAGCAAGCTGTTGCAATTCAAGAAGGCGTCGCTCCCTCTCGACGGTAAGCTTTCGCTGAGGAGGGGCTGACCGCAGCCCAGAAGAAGGCCGATCTTCTCGACGAGACGGACTTCTTTAGCGAGGCTCACACGGCCACAGCCCAGAGTGGGCAGAGTGAGGTGCCGAGCGGCGCCGCGCTTGACGTCGACAATCACTTTATTGCTTTTGTGCAGGCCAAAAACGAGGCGGGCGAGACGCGCCTCGTCGAGTTGGACGGCAACCGCGCGGGTCCATTTGACTGCGGGCCGAGCACAGACTTGCTGCGCGACACGGCCAAACTTGTGCGCGAGAAGTACATTCCCAACGCCGAGGGTGATGTGAGCTTCAGCATGATTGCGCTGGCAGGTGAGGCCGAGTGAGCGGTGTTGGGCGTAAGTATCGAAATGCGAATGAGGTTGTCTGCAGTGAAATCTGATACCCTTCGCAACGTGATCCATCCGCAACTGACAACTGTCTACCGGCGCTAACAACCATCCACCAACGCTAACAACCTTCTCACGCAACAACGCCATCCTTACTGTTGCTCCCCAAAACACCCCTCCCTCTTTAGCACATGTACCGGAAGTGCCGGTTCTGGATGTCGGTAAGGTCCGACTCGCCCGCCAGCCAGTTCTGGTGCTTGCGCTCCTCCTCAGACAAGCCCGACTCGGCAAGCTCTGCCTCACGCTTGCGGTTCTGCCGGACGTAGTGCCACCACCATGCGCACGTGTTGACCATGCACAGGATGAGGATGACGGCACACACCGTTAGGCCCTTGATATACTTTGGCGCGTCTGACGGCCGCATGACCTGTGAGCCGACAATATTGCCCACGCAGTATACAAGACTGGGGTGAGCACAGACCACTCCCTAAACACTTACAGACTGGTGGCGCCGAAGAACGACTTCTTGGTGCGACCCGCGACGTTGACACTAATCATGGGCCAAGCGAGGATGAACGAGCCGATCGAGTACACCAGAGAGAACATCCACACACCCCACTTGGCCCACTTTCCAACTGGTGCCAGCCCAGCGAAGAGGAGCACAAATACACACATAGCCTGCACGAGGAGGACGAGGGGAAAGCGCGCACGGGGGAAGTAGCGCACCGTGATGGCGCACGCGATGACGCAGCAACACGTTACGGCGTACATTGGCAGCGAGTAGAGGACGGTCTCGAGCGAGTCGAACCCGAAGCCCTTGTATATGAGGTTCTGGAAAGTCGTGAGCGCGCCATTAGGGATGTTGCCGAGGAGGTTGAAGAGCGCGGCATACCAGTACTGGGGGTCGACGAGGCACTCGCGGACCTGCTCCCAGCGCCAGGGCGCCTGCTCGCCTGATCCAGTAGCATTTTCGACGATACGCGCCTTCGCCATCCGCTTCTCGCGCTTGCTGAGCCACCACACCTCGTCCGGCGTGCCGCCAAACACGAGGAACACGAAGCCCATGCCGACGGTAATTGCGCCGAGGAAGAGGTTGATGACGCGCCACGCAGCGAGGCCGCCGCGCCGCGCCTGCCCGTCCGCGATGTAGTATATCCCGACGCCGAAGACCATGGCGAAGAACGAGTCTGCGTCAGCGCTGCCCCGGCGCGCACCCACTCATAGCATAGTACAGGCCCTGCCGCAGACTCTGCTCCGTCCGGAGATACCATGACGCGGTGAAGATGGCGAAGCCGGGGGTCACGACAGCCTCGAACCACCCCAGCCACACGCGCACGGCAGCCAGCTGCGCGTAGTTGTTGCATGCGCCGAGACACATGACCATCGCGCCCCAGATGATCGTGCACACCGCGAGCGCGCGGCCCAGCGGGAACTTTTGGAGGAGGTACGCCATAGGATACTGCGCGAGCGCATAGCTCATGCTGGTGTGAGCGGAGTCGGGGGTGACGCACTAGAAGAACGAGGTGAGGTTGGCGAACTCTTGCGTCGTCAGCCCCGTGTCCTCCTTCAGGCCGAAGACGACGCCCGAGGACAGAGACGTCTTGTCGCTGTACTGCAGGCCGTAGAGAATCATGAGCATGGGCTGGGATCAGTTGCGGAGCTGGGTGGGAGGAGGGTGGGGTAAGCGTGGAGAGTGGCGCACCATGAGGATGAAGTCGACTTTGCGGGTCAAACGCGAGTACTCTTCCTGCGTGAACTCGTCGTGCGCGCGCACGCGGTCCTCCGCGACGTCGACCTCCCGCTTGTCGATGGACGGGCGGGACACCGTCACGCGAATGTCGTTCTCCTTATCCATGGCGAGATGAGATTGAAGACGGACGAGATGCCAGGCGGCCTAAGTACTTTCCCTTCCCGAGGTGGGCTACAGCAAGCCCCACGAGCATGTATAGGCGAAACACGGCTTCTCCGCCTATCTGCCCCGTTACCAGCCTGACGCCGTGCAGTGCGCGCTGCAGCACTGCTGATACGCCGAAGTCAGCGCTAGCGTTCATCAACACCTCGTTGGAGCCAGGAACCGGTCACATGTCACTTCCTGAGCCCGGCATCTCGCGGCACGACGGCACGGCGGAGACGCCAAGGCGCTAATTCAAGCGCTCACGCGGGCACGCGGGCTAAACGCTGATACGACGCGGCATGCGTCGGAGGAAACCGAGTGTCACTGACACTGCGTCGTTGGTTATCGCCGTGGAGCTGCGCACTAGACAGTGTGCATTCGGCCGGGCTTATCTTCCACGCGCGCCAGCGCCAGCCATGGCCTCACGTCTGCATCACATCCTAGCCTACCATCAGCGGCGCACACCCGCTCACACCTTCTGCGGCGTCTCGTCCTCCCACGCGCCGTCCCATCCGAGCGCGGAGCGGTCCCACTCGTTGTCGTTGCCGTCCCCGCCCCTGGCCGACTCCTTCACCCAGCCCGTGTACTTCATTATCTCGCCCGCGATGCGCACGAACACCGTCCCGTCCACCGCACTGATGCCGGGCACGATTTCCGAGCCGTCCGCGTTAAACGCGCCCGGGACGGTGCCGGCCGGCCGCCACCCGTACAGCTGCGAGTAGTGCAGCAGCGAGCGGATCGACTTGGGCACGTGCGAGTCTGGTGTCAGCATGTCATGGCACTCGTCCAGGTCTCCAACCGTCTTGGGCGCCGCCACTCACCGTATGCCACAAGGGCGTTCTCCACGATCCCGAACCACGGGTTATCCTCCGCAGCGCTTCCATCGCCGATCATCGGGAGCTTGTGCTCCGCCGCACCTTCTCCCGCGCGCGGAAGGGGTCCCGCTGCGTCCACGGGATACCCCATCGCAACCTGCGGGAAGAGCGCTGGTCGACCACGCGTCGAGCAGATGTGGAAGAGCGTGAGCGCGTACGACTGGAGGATGATGCGCCGCTCCTTGTCGTCCAGACGACGCATATAGGCGGGCAGGAACAACGACGACGTGAGGAGGTGCATCTGGTGTCAGCTCGAGCGTTCTTGGGAGGAGTAGCACGCACCAAGAAGAAATCGATACGCGTCTTGTATCCCGGCCGGCTGGTTGCGCCGCACAGCAGCGTGGCGACCCACGCCACTTCCTCGAGGCGAGCGGCGAGACCCTTCTCTGACAGGTCGGAGGTATCCCACCGCGCTACGAGGTCGTGAAGGACAGGGGTGCGCTCGGGCGTGACAGCCTGGCGAAGGCGGTCGTTGATCAGGATCGTTGTGTCGTAGGGCCCTACATCGAGGACGGGGTTTGCGAGGTACTCGACATAGAGTCCGAGCAACGACTTGTTAGGCTTGCCACTAGTATTCTTCAGCTGTGTCTTGGGCCAGTCCGCCGGGTACAGGGCGCGCGAGATGGACGGGTCGTGCTGGCACGCCTGCGCGAGTCCCTCCGCGACGACTAGGGGGTCGTCGAACTCGAGGCCCAAGCCGATGTGAATGAAGGGGTGCACGACGCCAGCGAGCAGCGCACATAGCATGCTGGGACCATCGGCGTTGGCGGCGGGAGAGAAGAGATACTCGCGCAGCGCGCCGTCGATGCCCAGGCGCTGAACTTCGCCGTGGAAGAAGGGGAGGTAGAGCGAGTGCGCGCCTCGCTTCCCGAACACGGCCTTGTCGCGCCAGTTGTCGCGCGTAATCTTGTCCGGCATGCCCTGTAGATCGTTCTCACGACCATCCTCGCGCGGGTCAAGCAGCGCAATGTATCCGCGGTCATACTCCCAGTCGGCTTGGAGGAGCGCGGGCGGCGCGCCGAGCGCGTACCGCGTCAGCGCCGAGTGCGCGAAGTGGTTGTGCGCATCTGCTGTCAGATGGGTGGAGGCGACGACTCACAGCGCCGCTTCTTCTCCCACATGTCATAGGCATGGTCGTTCTCGGTGAGCACGCGGCGCACTGACTCGGTGCTCTGCGGGGTCACGCCGGTGAAAATAAAGTATGGGGAAGGCTTGGCCTGCGAGGATGGGAAATTGGACGCCAGCGCAGGTGGGCGCTGCAGCGGCGCCTTTACCTTGAGGTCTGCGCGCTTGGGAGGCACGAAGTGAGCCTTGCCGTCCTTGCTGTGAGTGATCATTGATGCGAGTTGGCGGCGAGCCGAGGGCAGCATACGTGGGGGGGCGGGGTAGTTGTGTTTGTCAGAACCGTGACAGGTCAGCCTTATGAGTGAGGAGAGAGTGGGAATGCGGAATGCTTGGTGACCAGCCACGTCTAATAGGAAGCTTCGCCGTTTGTCAGCTGGGTCGGGGACGACTTGGTCGTAACCGAACAATGAGATCGACCACCGACGACGGGACGGAGGTGGACGAGACCGATTCGGTTCATGACGTCATGGCTGAGGTGCGGGAAGCCTTCGCGACGCCTGTCCGTGGAGGATGTACGCAAGCGCCCTCAGCATTGCATACTCACTCACATTATTCATCATGGCCGAGAACACACAGCAGACCGAGCCATCGCAAGTGGCGGGGCAGATCAAGGTGAGTCACTTCGGCGTCCGAGGCGGCGGCGGTGGCTGCGCCGCTGAGTCTGACGTGGTGGATTTGGCATCTGACTCTAGAACGCACAGGGCGCTGTGTACAGTGCCGTCGGCTCTGTGCTCCCCGCCGCAACGGGCGACCAGTGGGTGGCCGATGGCACCGCGCTTCAGAAGGAAGGTCAAGCCGAAGTTCAGGCAGCCAAGGACAAAGCAGCCGCCGACGCGACGGTCGACGCGACCAAGGCCAAGGCTAAATCGTAAGTCTTGACCGTTGCGGAGCTGATCCAGCGCGTGGGGATATGTGACGGGAAACCAGGAGTTGCAGACGGAAGGGAATGTCGAGAATGAGGGCGCGCAGTGGAAGTACAAACAAGCGACGAGCGATAAGGTGGTGGATGTGCCTGTGCCTTCGGTCGAGGGGGTCAAGGGGAAGCTTGAAAGCGTGGCGGGCATGGTGACGGGAGACCAGGGGAAGCAGATGGAGGGAAATGCGCGCGCTGAGAAGGCAGCTTGGAAGGATGGTGTTTAGTGCGACAGATGCAGTGCTGCTCGCTGCTCGGAGGCCTGTGCGGGACGTGCCATCGAGGAGCTTCCTCGACTTTGGTTAGCTTACGCCTTGCCTCGATGGTTGATTGTGTCACCAGTCACCATCTGTCGGCGTAGGTTAGTCGATGCTTGGTGCTTGTCGATCGCGTTCGTTGCCAGCGGCAAGTCACCCAAGCCTCAGAGCTCATCACGACGTATTGATGTTGTTGACACGATGAAGACCACGGAGATGACGGAGACTGCAGTGGGTGAGGAGAACGCCACACAGGATAAATGCCGTGATTCCGTGGTATGGAGAGATGGAGGCGCGGATGACGCCCGCTGCACACAGAGGCTCGAGTTTGTTTGATCCCCCCCTCCGCCCTTGCCCCGGTCGCCCTTGTACCGCTCCTTGAGTGGTCCCCCCACCAGACCCACCGTAGCAGTGACCATTCGGCTCGCCCACGCTACCCACCATCCCATCACCACCTCCCTCCTCCTGCTGTCCCTCCCTCACTTATCAAGCGCAACCACATAGATATTGCATCTCACTCGCACAGTGCATTTGACGACCACCAACGACACGATCTCTTCTATCCCCCGGAACCCCCCCCCCCCCCCCACTTCGGTTCCCCTCCCCCTGGCATCTTGTACGAAACAACGCCACACATTCGGCTCGGTCGCGCGACTCGCGACCTTCATTCATCTTCCATCCTTTCTTTTGCAACTTCTCTCCCTCTCTGTCTTTTGACAACATTCTCAAGCTTTAATTCACTGGGCAACACCTCGACAAGCTAGCGCATTCAGTGCACTTGCCCTCGCTCGCAAACGCAAAGCAGGAAGCCGCCGCGAGCAACACCTCTCCGTTGTCCGCCAGAATGCGCCCTGCGCGACGGGACTTCAACCAAGGGTACCCACCGTCGTCCTTGTACGGCGGCGGGCAGGGATATCCTCTCGCTGGCGGCCAGATGCAGAATGGCGGCGGTATGGGTAACCCTCATCATCAACAGCAGCAGCAGCAACAACAGCAACAACAATCAATGATGCAGCAGCAACAGATGCGGGGCGGACAGATGCAAGGCGGGCAGATGCAGGGCGGGCAGCAACAAGGGCCAGGCTCTGATATCCAGTCTAATGCCCCCTCTCAGTCCCAACAGCCCGAGATGAACCTCGCCAACGTCCTCCATTACCTTCAGAGCGAGTGGCGCCGCTGGGAGCGCGACCGCAACGAATGGGAGATTGAACGCGCGGAAATGAGGGTGTGTGGGACATCGTCCGCAGGCAGATGGCCTGGCTCCGTTGCCGCTAACACACCAGGCGCGCATCGCCATGCTCGAAGGCCAGCGCCGCTCGGCCGAGAACTTGAAGGTCGACCTCCTGCGCCGCGTCAAGATGCTTGAGCATGCTCTGCGACAGGAACGGTACGTAAGACCGCTGATCTCTCTGGTTAACATTCCCAGGGCTCATAAGGCTGGAGGTCGTGCGACTGCCGGCGCAGCACGCCTCCTTGTCCTCCAGGACGAGGACAAGATGAGCCGCGACGACAAGGAGGGCAGCGGAAGCAGTGATGGTGGCGATGACAACAGTGGTAGGTGCCCTGCTGGCCGCAAAGTTTGGCAGATGCGAAAAGAAGCTAACGGGGTAGAAAGGCCAGAGCGCCCACCAAAGGCAAACGGCACCCACGCTTCGGGCATGGCCAAAGCGGCGTCGACGGCGCACCGCCCAGTCCCTGACACGAGCGCGTGGAAGAACCTCGCCGCTCCACCGCGAGACCCAAAGGCGCGCGCGCGCAGCCGCGAGTACCTCAAGCAATGCCTGCAGGAGATCACGTACCTAACTTCGCCGGGCGCTCTGAATCCCCTCCCGGCCCGTGCGCCGGTCTCGATTGACGAGTCGAACGGAGAGGCTGGAGTCCCTGAGCGTCCGCGCAAGACGTTGCCAGAGCAGCCGATTCCATCCATGGTCGTCAATGAACCAGAGGCAAAGAGCGAGCAGCCCGCTGCTCCGTCGGCCTCGGCCTCGGGCGCTGCGCCTGTGGAACCTACAGGCCCCACTTCCCAGGCCATAAGCGAGGCTGCGGCTGCGGCGACCGCTACCACCGTGCAAGAAGCAGTTGCGAATACCACCAACCGAGAGCAGACCGCATCGTCGGTCCCAAACGGATCGGCGGAGGGGAATGAGACACGGGAATCCTCGGCGGCAACCATCGGCGATGCCCCTCCTTCCTCTCCGGCCCCGCGCACGGTTGCACTGCCTGAGAACGAAACACCTGCAGGCGGGTCGCCCCCGGGGCTGTCTGTCATTGAGCCGCCAAGGCAGCAGCTCACTGCCATTTACAAGCCGGAGAGCAAAGCTGCGTGGCGCGAGGAGTTGCGCGCGGCCAATGAGGCGGCGAGCAAGGTTCCATGGCCTCCGCGCAAAACAACGGACGAGGAACAGTTGGCCGGCCTCACCCTGATCGACGAGGACATCAAGGCGGAGGAGGCTGACGGCGACCGTGTTTGGACGACGCGTCGAGCGCTCAAAAGCCACCTAGACATCGTGCGTAGCGTTGCTCTTGCCAACGGTCCGGACTTGATTCTCGCGACAGGCGGAGACGACTGCACTGTCAAGGTATGGGCGCTCGATGCACCGAGCGTCATGTCATCCACATACCGCCCTCTTGCCGCATCCGAGCAAGAGCCCGCTGCCACGTACCGCGGCCACACGGAACCTGTCCTTGCTGTTGCTGTGTCAAGCACTTTGGGACTAGTCTTCTCCGCATCGGCCGACTCGACAATTCGCGTGTGGGAGCTGGCAAGCAGAGGGAACGACCCGTATGCTCCTTACGATCCCTCAAAGGCTGTCGCGACCCTTGAGGGCCACACAGAGGCTGTGTGGGACGTGTGTCTTATACCCGCACGGCCGAGCGCCAATGGAACGCATGGCACCAAGCCCGGCGCCGAGAGCCAGCTCGTGTCTGTTTCTTCCGACGGCACTGCGAAGTTGTGGATGGAGAAGGACGGCCGGTGGTCACTACAGGCTTCGTTCACCGACTTTGGTGGTGCAACACCTACATGTGTTTCGGGCGACAACCAGGACTTTGGCCGGGTGTTGGTGGGGCTCTCGAATGGTCTCGTCAAACTGTATTCACTCGAGGATGGCAGCGTCGTGCAAGAGTTCGGCGAGGAGGGGTCGCAGGTCAACGCCATCCTCAGCCATCCGACATTGCCGCTGGTCGTCACAGGCCACGAGGATGGCCATCTCCGCTTTTTTGACTCAAAGACTGGTGGGTGTGCATCGCCATCGACAGCTAACGGTCCAGGCGCACAGAACTCGAGCCTCCTCGCCCACCCGAAGCCTATCACGTCGCTCTCGCTTTCCCCCCTGTCGCCGACATGCGTGTTGTCCGCCAGTGTGGACTGCAGCGTGCGGCTGTGGGACCTGCAGCGCAAGACATCGCTGCAGGACTTGAATGGGCATCGGCAGCGTTCGAACGAGGGCGTGACGCACGTCGCGAGCCACCCCGAGATGCCCATCATCGCGAGTGCCGGTGCGGACGGCGTCGTGCGCATTTGGGGCGCGGGGTAAGGAGGCGGAAAAGCATTATGCTGCCTCTCGCGCGGAGTACGCGAGGGCAACATCATCATCAGCATCGAGCACCTTTTTTCTAGACTAGTTTATCAGTGGTGGGCCGCATCGTCATTGTCGTGTGCATGATGGATTGTAGTCGCATGAGTACTCTCTCCTTCCTTGGTTTTTTGAGGGTTGCAGTGCAACCTTGGATGCAAAGTCATAAGAAGTTGAATCGGGCATTAAACATCCACGAGTAACATCCACATGATGCGCCGCGTACTATTCTACTCTACTCAGCCTTGGACTCGTCCTTGGCGTCGGCCTTGGGCTCCTCAGCCTTGGCCTCCTCGGCGGGCTTCCTGCCCGTCAGCTTCCCTTCTGTACTGCAACTCACTCGTCCTTGGCCTCCTCCTTCTTCTCCTCGGCGTCCTCCTCCTTGTCCTCGACAGCCTGGTTCGCCTCCTGCGCCTCCTCGAACGCCTTCTTGAAGAGGTTGGCGTTCTCGGGGTTGGCAAAGCGGATAGCGAGGAGGTCGGCGCTGGGCGCGCCGTCCGACACGTCGGCGGTCGCGTTCCAGACCCAGCTGCGGTCCGAACCGACGTTGGGCGCGAGCTTCATGTCGGCCGAGACTGCGTAAGCGACTCCTTTGGACATGACGCACTGGTGTGGTTGGCGCAGACCTTGAGCGTCTTATCCCGGCGCATCAGGACACGCGTCTTGCCCGTCACCTTGTGCTTGAGCAGGCGCACTTCGCCGGTGCCGCGTTCCTTCCACTCGCTCTCGGTCTTGTTGAAGCGGAAGAGCTTTGCACGCCTGTGCGTCAGCGGGCGCGGGCGGGAAGGGGGATAGCGGCGAGGGGCCCATTTCGAGAGGCAAATGCCAGTGCGAGTGCGAGCGCGAGCGCGAGCGAACTTGGCAGGACTAGCGCCCCCGCCCCCGCCCCAGCCAGAGAACCCCGGAGCCAGAAAACAGTTGTGCAATCGCGCAGAGCGCATGCTCAACCGCTCGCGGTCCGTGCGCACGCCACCAGTTTCGCAATTCCACCACAAGATCCACAACTCACATCTTGAAGACGGCGTCCTCCTCGTCCTCGCCCGTCTTGATCTCGACGGTCTCGGTGAGGCGGACGACCGGCTCGAAGTGGGGGTCGTGCTCCTCGGCAGCAGCCTGGCGTCAGAACAGCGCGCGCGCAACGCACGGGCTTGGGCTCAGTGTCGGCCATTGTCTGGTGTCAGCGGGGAAGGCCGGGCGCATGACTCGGCGCGCTGCATGCGACCGAACGCTGAGCGGCGTAGAGCGTACGCCGCGCGCCAGCGCGCCAGTGCTGCAGTGCAGCGTGCACTCACAAGATTATTGGGAAGTGGGCGATGCAGAAAGGAGCACTATCACGACGTGTACCACACTCGCCGCTGAACTTTGCACCAACGCGTGGCGCTGCCGCGGGCCTATTTCCGCGGGAGGCGTGCCGTCGCGTGCCACGTCTCGATCGTCGATCTCTGCCATATCCGCTTTCGGCGCGTCACTGCCATCGCTGCTTCAGCATAACTCACTCACCATGCTCCGCTGGCTCCTCCTCCCCTTCCTCGCCGTCGCGCTCGCGCACCGCATCGAGGTTGAGCAGGGTGACCGCCACTGCTACTTCGAAGACCTGCAAGCACAGGACCGGGTTAGCTCCACCCGAGGCGCCGCTGACTCCAGATGACTGTCACGTACGAGGTCGGCGGGAGCACACAGGGCGGCTCACTGGACATTGACTTTTTCGTGCGTCGCAGGAGGGAGGGTATGAGCTCACCCCAGGTCGTCGGACCAGGCAAGGTCCAGGTGTACAAGAGCCTCAGCGAGGCGCAGGGGACGTGGTCGGTCACAGCACCCTCGCCGGGACGGTACACGTACTGCTTCAGCAACGAGGTTGGCAACGGGCGCAAGACCGTCTCGTGAGTTATCCCGGGGGTGCGCTAAGCCAGCTTCAACGTCCACGGCGTCATGCACATCGACGAGGAAGAGCAGATGGCTCCGGTCGAGCGCGAGATCCGCAATCTCGCCAGCGGGCTCCAGATGGTCAAGGACGAGCAGTCGTACCTTGTCGTGCGCGAGCGCGTGCACCGCAACACTTGCGAAGCGACGGTGGGCTCGAGGCAAGAGAGGGGCTGACGACAGAACTCGCGCGTCAAGTGGTGGGCAATCGTCCAGATCATCTTGCTCTTCGGCGTGTGCGGCTGGAACGTGCACTATCTCAAGAGCTGGTTCGAGGTCAAGCGCATCCTTTAACGACCTATGTAGCATGCAACGAATGCGACGATGTTGGGTGGTGTTTGCACGCGGATGTGTATGTCGAGGCAGCCGTCCGAGAGACTAGCGACCAACGATAGAGTCTACTGCTGACGTTGGTCTGCAACACTGCCACTCCACACTTCTAACCACGCCTACAACTCGCCCACACACCCTGAAGCGTGATCAATGCATACAGTGTCTAAGCGGGGGTGGACTCCTTGGGCGCGGCAGCGGCCTCGGCGGCGTCAATCTTGGCGCTCTCGTCCCGGATGTAGAGGTTTGCGGCGGCATTAGCGAGCGCCGCCTCACGCTCGTTGCGGCGGCGCGCAATCTCGCGGATAATGTTACCCTGTTCGTCAGCGCGCTGCCCATCTCCTTCAGCTGGACACTCACCGCGTTCGCCGTCGTCTTGCCGCGCCAGCGCTGCCCCTTCATGATCTTCATGAGCATGCTCTTCTGGAACGTCTTTGCGCCGTCGACGAGGAACTCGCCCTCGAGCGCACGCTCGCGCGCCTGCGCCTGCGCCTCTCCCGCCTCCTTGCCGCCCCACGTGCCCGCGCGCATCTCCTCCACATCGTCGGGGTAGTGGAACGGCTCCTTGAGCCCGACAACTGCGCGCTTGAAGTTGTTCTCTGCGCCGCCGAGGCGCACAAGCTGTCCGCGCCGGTTGCGCGCGACAGACCCCACGCGCAGCTCGGTGCGGATGAACGTCACCTCCAAGCCATACACGGCGTGGAGGTAGGAGCGGAGGTCGTTCTTCGTCATGCTGGGCGGGATGCGGAACGTCGCTGTCCAGGGGTCGTACGCCTGCCCCGGCTTCGTCGAGTTTCGGACGAGGCGGATGGTAATGTTCGGCAGCCAAATCTTCTGGCCCGGCACGGCGGTGCCGGCCTTCGGCGCGCCCTCGGCGGCGAAGTACTCGGCCCAGTCGCCGTTGGGGGCGCCGCGCACACGCGACCGCCACGCTTGGTTGACTTTGAGGAAGGCGCGGCGCGCACTCGTCTCGTCGCCTTTGTACTGCCCGGCACGGCGCATCTTCTGGAACAGCTTCTCGAGGTGGTCGGGCCATGCGGCGCCGTTCTCGAACACGCCCGGGTTCACGAGCAGCGACTTGCGCTGCGCGTGCGGGAACTGCTCGCGGCGCTCGCGGACCGCCAGCGGCGCTGAGGCCGCCTGCGACGCCACGGCCTGCGCGGGCAGCCCGATCGAGGGGCCGGCGCGCGCGTACGTCGCGCTCGAGGTCGTCAGCGCGCGGGCGAAGAGGCGCGACATGGTAGATGGGTGATGGGGGCTTGGCTTCGGTGCTTTGGCTGGAAAATGTCGGAGGAGAGACGGGGGTGGACTTTGCTGCGCGCCTAGGGGTGGAGGGCATTTAGGAAATTAGGTCCGCGACGGCCTTTGTGCTGTCTCCTACCTGGCCCCACGCCTAATTTGCGGGAGCAAAGCGCGCCTGCCCTCGCGCCCCCGTCCCTCAACAACAACATCCGGCGCGCAAACAAGCACAGTCAATCACAAGCATCACTACCGACCCAATCCGCCTGTCTCACTTCCACCAACCCACACTGTCGAGCAATGGCGCCCGCCGCAAACATGCAGCGGCTCGAGGCGCGCGTCGCCTCCTTCTCCGCCGTGGTGCGCCCGAAGCGCGCCGCGAAACCCGCCTGGCCCCTCGCGCGCGACACGCACCCAGCACTGACGCCCGCGGCGCTCGCCGCGGCAGGATTCTACCACACACCCGTCGCGGGCGAGGAGGACGCGTGCATGTGCTTCCTCTGCCCGCTGGCGCTCAGCGGGTGGGACGCAGGCGACAACCCGCACGTCGAGCATGTGGGGCGTGACACGCCGTGCGCGTGGAAGGAGCTTGTGTGTGCGCTCGAAGTGGACCGGCTGCGCGGCGGGCCGGGGCGCGCGCGCACCGAGTTTGCGAGCGCCGACGAGCTGCCTTCTTCGGAGGCGCGCACAGCGCTGCGCGTCCAGACGTTCGGGGATTGGTGGCCCCTTCAAGCGCCATCACCGCTTGATGTGAGGATCCGGGCGACGTAGAGGCTGACGCTAGCTTGCGCGTGCGGGGTTCATTAGCACCCCGTCGAAGGAGTCGGCGGATGGCACGACATGCCCGCTGTGCAAGTACGAGGTGGTGGAGTGGGAAGAGGACGACGATCCCATGTGAGTCCAAGGCCACATCGTATGCTGACCCCAGGGCGATCCACAGGCGCAAAGAACCCGAGTGCCCGTTCTTCACTGCAACAGTGAAGAAGGGGCGGAGGACAACCAAAGCCGCAGCGGCGCCGAAGCGCGCGCCGCGCGTCGACGACTCGGTCGAGGTCCCGCCAGAAGACGCGCCAAAGCGGCGCGGGCGGCCGCCAAAGTCCGCCGCATCGTCCGCCAACTCGTCGATCGTGGCGAAGCCGCGGGCCAAGCGGAAGACGGCGGCCGAGAAGCGCGCTGAGGCCGAGGCTGCGGCGGCGGCTGCAGAGGCTGCACAAGCGGCTGAGGCAGCGGGGGCTGAGGCAACACAAACAGCGGTAAACGAGGAGGCCGAGGACAGCCTAGAGCTTCCCGACATCCCGGACGACTCGGTTGTGCTCCTCGAGTCCGCACCTGCACCCGCACCTGCCGCGCCGCCCGCGCGATCCACCCGCTCCCGGTCGTCCTCGAGAGCACCGGAGGAGCGCGCGACCAAGCCGCTTCCACGTAAGGGGCGAGCGCGGAAGACGACGCAGAATGAGGCCGAGGCCGTCGCGGACGCGCCGAGCCGCGCGACGCGGTCCGCACCCGCGCGGGAGAAGGGTGCGCTCGCGCCGTCGGACGCCGCGAACGTGCCGCCGCCGGCCCGGGCGCCCAAACTGTCCAAGGCTTTGCCGGCACTACCCCTATCACCCGCCCCGGCATCACCGAGCGTCGCACGCGCCGTCGCGGACATGGTCAAGGCCACCGGTGGATCTGGGGCCACATCACTCAGCGCAGAAGAGCGCGCGATGACGCTGGAAGATTATGTGCGCAAGCAGTTCCAGATACGGCATGACGAATTGCGCGCAGAAGGCGAGGCAGCGATCGCGGCGTGGGAGGCACGGGCAAGGGAAGCACGCGAGCGCGTAGAGCGCGCATTTGCGTAATGTACATTAGTTGTGGTGGTTTGGACAATAAAGCATGCATGTGGTGCCGGCCACATCTAGATTCCGGCATACAACGGGTTAGACCTCGTAAGCGGGATGCCTGCCGCCATCAACATCGCGCCGGCCGACGAGAGAGCGCTTGGCGTAGTCGCGGCGGTCACGGTCGTCGTCGTCCTCATCGCTCTCCTCTGGGAGCTGGGTGAGTGCGACACCCTCCTCCTCAAATGCGTTGAACAGGGTGCTGTTCTGTTCACGGAACAAGCGCGACCTGCGCCCATGCTGCGCGTTCTGCCCCTCGGCATATGCGGGCGGGGCCTGCCCGACCGACGCATAGTTCCAGAGCGGGGCGCCCTGTGACTCGATGCTCATGCGCCCACTCATGCTCATTCGTGGGTTCATGAGGCCCGTCTCGATTGACGAGGTGTGGTGAGGGGGCTCGGGCTTGCGGCTCATGTTGAGCAGGAAGACGCCCATGAAAATGATGAGGAAGCCGCACAGCAGCGAGATTGTGTTGACGGCGTCAGTCGTGTTGAACCCCTGGAACAAGATCGCGGACGCAATAATCGTCGCCGTCGTGAAGAAGACGTAGTAGATCGGGTTGACTACGTTGGTAGAGAAGGTGTCTAGGGCCTTGTTGAAGTAGGTCTGGGGTGTCAGCCAGTGCTGCCGGCCACAGTAGCCGTGCGCTGGAACTCACCATCTGAACCAGAATGCACCCAACCACCACAGCGCCAAACAGGTAGGTCGTAAAGTGCGTGAGCTGGTTATTGCCCGCAAATGTGAGCTTGAGCGCAATGCCGAACCCCTTGATCGCCATGACCGAGACACTGCCGACTAATGAGCAGATGGAGAGGTAGACCATGGGGTTGGTCTGGCCGTATCGGGGGGCGACGCGGAAGATCATGAACGTGCTGAACACGGTGACGATGGTGAGATAAGTGAGGAAGGGCAGCTGTGCCGCGAGCTTGAGGATGTCGTCGACCGTGTCCACCTCCTTGTCGCTCGGCGCGTGCAGAATGATCACGACCGAGCCGATGATGCAGGACGCGCACCCACAAATGCCCAACCTGCCGAGCTGCTCGTCCAGGAAAACGGACGCTAGAATGGCTCCGATGATGACACTCATGGCGCCCAGCGGCGTAACTAGGATCGCGGGCGCGAACGTGTACGCGGCAAAGTTGGCCACTGCGGGTTAGTAGCGCTGGGGGACGTGCGGAGCACGAGGAGTAGAGGGGGCAGGGTGGGACGACTGTCCGATGGCGGCGCGGCGTTTGCCCGCCCCCCGACAAGAGTGGTCTCACCTTCTCCCACGACCATCGTAATCATGCCCGCCCACCAGATCGGGTTCTGGAGGTATGCAAAGTCCTCGGCTGGGGTTAGACGCGGTTACGGGCGCGGGGTCGGCGTACAGGCATTGCGCGACTGCGTCTGTCGCTGATGGCTGTGTGGGTAGTCTGCTGGTCGGCTTGCTGCGTCGTTCAGGCCCTGATGTTAGCTATGCACGAGGAGGAGCAAAGATGCGAGAAGGTGCATCCACACCCCAACGCGTGAAGACGAACCTTCTTGGTGATGATGAACGAGGTGCTGCCGTCAGCTCGTTCGCGTGTTGTGACTAGCACGGGCTGAAGCCGACACTCACCCAATAGCAGCTGACGAGCTGATCGCCAGTCCGAGGCCGATGTACTTCTCCTCGATCATGGCGCTGGCGGGCGGGGTAGGTGGAGAGGATGGAGAGAGAGGGAGAGGAGGAGGAGGAGGAGGATGGAGAAGAGGAAGAATGAGATTGATGACTCGGGCAGAGAGTTAGAGAGAGTGGACAATCCAGGGAAGGGTCGTCTGTTGTCAGCGCTGAGCCTCGGGGCTAGGGCGGGGGTTGCGGGGGCGCGGCACGGGTCCTCACATCCCGCAATGCTCTTGATCAAGGCTGCTGCATGCATCGCCTCCTCTCTCCGTCTGATCGCGTGACCATTGCATTGTATTCACTACGTGGCATGCGGCGACCACGCATGTCGGTGTCACTGCGATTGCGGGAGTGTCCCGTTCCGCAGCAACACCCGCGGAGACGGGTCTCTTACACGGCGCTCTCTGGACACGCTGGACACCTCGCTTGGCGCGTCGAGGCATCGCGTGCACCCCCAACTCAATATCACAAGAAATTTGATCGTCTGTCTCAATCACTCCATATGCTCGTCTCAATGCCCAGACGATCCATGCAATGCAATGCTATGCTATGTTATGCTATTAAACTCTACTACATTATGCACTCGGGAACCAGCTCCAGTCAGCTGGCAGGCCCTCGCGTGTCCTAAACCGCTCTCCAGCCAGCCACGTCTCAACCGCCTCCTTCTCGTCCGCTCCGTCAAGAATATCCACTCGCCCCTTGCCCTCAAGACACATGGCCGCCCACCCCACAAGGATCATACCGGGCGGGCGCTGGTCCACGCTCTGGATCGCGCCCGCGACGTTCTCGAGGGTGGAGAGAATAACACGCTGGTCGGGCGACGACGCGCGCTCCACGATCGCGATCGGCAGGTGGCGGGGATACGCTGCCCCGTCGCGCTGTGGCCCGTCGGGGCCAGTCAGGGCGGCGAGGACCGTGTCGATGCGTGCGACACCCATAAGGATCGCGAGCGTCTTGCTCTTCTGATACCCCGGAAGCTGGACAGCAGCTCCCCCACGCCCGGCGCCCGTGCACATCACGAACGTGTCGGCGACGCCGCGCTGTGTCACGGGGATGCCCATCATGAGCGGACCAGCGAGGGCGGAGCTCACGCCGGGGACCACGGTGGCCTCGAACCCGTGCTCGCGGAAGTAGAGGACCTCCTCGCCGCCACGCCCGTACACGAAGGGATCGCCCTGCTTGAGGCGCACGACCGTCTCTCCGGCCCTTGCGCCAGCCAGCGCGAGCTCCATCATCTCGTTCTGCGAGTTGTCGGCGTTGCCGGGGAACTTGCGGGCGATATGCAGCTTGGTTGTCTTGGGGATGAGGGCGATGATTTCGGCCGGCACGAGCTTGTCGCTCAGAATGAGGGTCGCGTTGTTCAGAGCATGCCGCGCTGCCACAGTGAGGAGGGAAGGGTGCCCGGGACCAGAGCCAACCAGGAGGATGCGGCCGCGCTTAGCAATCCCGCCCTCGTGGTGCGGAAGTGGGTAAGGAGCCTCTCCCTCGAGCACAGAGTCCATCTCGCCTGCGGAAAGCGCAGCAAGCTGGTCGTAACTGTAGTACTCGCTCATCTGATGCACCCAACGCATGCGGCGGAGGTGGTCCTCACCACCCTTCTGGGAGACAGGCTTGTTGAGTGGTGTGATGGAGTCGTCGTCCGAGATGGTGGGCTTGGCACGCGCACGCAGCTGGCCGATGTTGTCAACTGCGGCGCCGACGTTGGCGGGGAGCTTGGCGGCGATCTCACGGCGAATACGGCCTGCGAGGCGGCATCCCTTGCCGTTCGTGCTCACAGCGACCTGGAGGTTGGACGGGCCGTCGGCGCCAGCGAAGCGGTGAACAGAGGGGAAGGTAAAGGTCGAAAAGTCAGGACGGTCGGAGACGTTGATCGGGATACGGAGGGCGTTGGCGGCGGCGTGGATGGCCTGAGCGGTTTCGAGGGAGGGTGCTCCAGAGGAGATGAGAGTGTCGGTGACGGCGACGAGGGTAATGCCCTGCTCGCGCATGAACTGCTCCCACTCGTCCCGCCCGCCCGAGAAACGGGTGTAGTGCACCTCCTTGTTGCTGGCCCGCCACTGGATCTCCTCAGGAAGCTCCGACAGCTCCCGTCCGCTCGCGACGTGCACCACGGCGTCAGCCTCCAGAAGCGTCAGCACGCGTGAGGCGGCGAGCCGGTTCGAGCCGACGACAAGCACGGGCCGGTCACGCGGGTGGAATGTGAGAGGAAGAGGGGCGCCGCCCACCGCGTGGGGGAAGGGGTCACGAGCCTTCTCTGCCTTGGCGACAATCGCCTGAGGCGACTGCACGGCTACAGCGTGGTGCTTGAGCCCGTCCAAACGAGCACTGTGGCGTGAGAGATCGCGAATGAGTCCCCAAGCGAGGGCAGCCGCGGCGATGGTGGGCACGACGATCCATGTGCAGTTTGTCATGACCCACACGGTCCAGAAGCGGAGGCGGGGGTTGTGGCCCGTGTTGCACCAGCCGCAGAACACTTCTTGAAGAAGGTAGAGATCCGTCTTGCTCGCCGTCATGACGAGAGACATGAGAGCAATGACGGGGGCAGCAGGGTGGTCGCCGAGCCACAAGGAAACAAAGTTGAAGATGGTCTCGACGATGTTCATGACGGCTGTTATTAGCGGCGTCTCATTGGGTGGAGATTACCTTGGGCGTTGGTGAAGCCGTCGCCGTTTTCGAAGGCTGGCCAGCCGTACAGCCAGTCGACGTCGACGTAGGGCACCATGCTGGAGTCAGCGGTGTCCACGGGCAAGACATACTTGTACGGCGCCCATATCCAGGCGAGGCTTCCACCGGGGAAGGAGCGAGGGCGGACGAGGCAATAGCCCACGTCTGCGATCAGCGGAGTTTAGGCCGCCACTCACCCCACAGGACGATGACGGAGGACAGAGCGAGCCAGAGGCGCACCCATCGGGGTGTCGTGTAGCCCATGATGAGTAATGAGTAGATGGAAGATGAGAAGAGAGATGGGGATACGAGGACGGGGTGGATGACTTTTGCATGTCCATCACTGGAGGAGATCACCTCACCATATCGCGACATCACTCATCCCTTCGTAGAATCCAAATCGCGTGATCAACACCGGGGTCCCCGGCCCGGACTCGCTACACGTGGCAATTACTTCCGCCCACTTGCAACCTCCACCACCACCTCCCCTCCACCACACCCAGTCGAGCCATGAGCCAACGACGCCTTGCATCACATCCACCCATCACCAGTTGCATGTTCAAGATGCTCACCGCCTGGATCGTTAGCCTGGCGCTTCTAGCGCATGTCCACGCAGACCCCTACACGATCCACCACCGCATCCTTCCCTCCGGCACGTTCGTAGAGCGCGGCAGCGGCCGTGTGGAGAATGGCACGGTAATCTTTACGCCCACGAGCGACGCGCTTGCGCCCGGAGAAGGGTGGTACCAAGTCGGCCTGGAGACACCGGGCGGGGACATGCTCACAACATCGACGCGGGCGGTGAGCTTTCTGCCGACGACGCTGACCGCAGTGCTTTGCGGGCGACGATGCGCGCCTCGTGATCCACCTCACGCCCAGCGGCCGCCCGACAAGTATCAGCTACACGCCGCTGCACGTGCCGAATGACGGCAGCTGTCCTGCTGGTGGCGTGCCTGTTTCTGACTCTCCCGAGCTGCAGATCGAGCTGGCGTTCCCCACAAGGGTGTACAGGTAGATCGAGGTGCGGACGCGCTGACCCTAGCCCTGGTCTCGCGGCACCTCCAGAAGTTGACGAGGGCGGCAAGGTCAAGGAACCAGAGCCTGAGAAGACGTTCTTGCAGAAGTACGGGCTTATGATTGCCGGCTTCATGTTCGTGCTCCTCATGAACGCTGGCGCGCCCGACCCGCCTCAGGAGGGCGGCGGCGGTGGTGGTGGCGGCGGCGGTGCAGCGAAGTAATCTGTCATGCAGGGGGAAGGTATATACAGCTATTAACTCGCCCCGCGCAAACGCGCACTGGCGGTTGCGCGTGGAGTGTGACAGTGGCCTTTGTGTCGAGGTGCTGGCTCTCGTTTCCGAGATGGCTGACGACCTCGGTGACGTCGCGGGATGTGTGTAGTGCGGATGACACTGAGCGTGCCATGTTGATGGTTGATGTGTGCAGACACAGTTTGTACTGCCTGGGTGCTTTCGGTTCGCGAGTGTAGCGGTAGCGAACTGACTTCCTGCACGGGGGCCGGCATCGGGACCGATGCGTATTCTCGCGAGGGTACGGGCGAGGTGCGAGCATGCTATGCTGGAGGATGTGGGTTCTGGGTCGAGCGTGGGCTGGGGGGATAGGGATTGACGAGGCGACGGACGTCAGCGAGGGGGGATGCAAGCAAGGCGGCGGCGCCATCCTCGGCGTAAGAACAGAGAGCGTGGATGTTGAGTGGTGAGAGCTCTGGATATGAGTGTTCAGCAGACGAGGGTCGTCGCTCCTCGTTGAGGCCGTGAAAGGGTGTGGCCACAGTCCGCGAGACCTGGATAGGAGATGAGTGAGGCCAGCCTTAATGGATGATATGGAACCACGACCCGATTGACATCACGTCCTCGCATCCTCGACATCGACTTGCCCATCTCCCACATGCAGTTGCAGCGTCTCGCCCCCCTCTTCGTCCACCACGATCACTGCCATATCAATTCATATCGTCGCTGCGTTTTTGCTTCTTCCCGCACCTCTACCTAATCACGGTCGACGCCCAGGTGGTCGATGATCGCATCGAGCTTGACGTGCAGTGCATCGACCTTGGCCTCGAGCGCCTGCACGCGCGCCGCCATCGCAAGCAGCCTCGCATCTGGCGAGTCAGCTTTGTATGCAGGGTGACACCCAGCTGGACGGGAGACTCACTGTTTGCGGCGGATTCGCAGTCCGAGCTCGGGCTCATAGCGGGCTTGTGGTAGGCAGAGCCGTCGTCCACGCGGACTTCGGGGAGGCCGCCGAGGGAGATGCGTCGTACTTTGGAAGACATGGTGATGGGGAGATGGGGAGATGGAGATGAGATATATGGACTGGAGGGGGGAGTGGCAATGGAGATGCAAGCTCTGCAGACAATGCCTCGACAGAAGGTATGTGCGCCGCCACGATCTGCTCCAGTCAGCCTTCTGTCCTTCCCTCATCCTCGCTTGCCATTCTTCTTCCGCCGTCTTCTGGTCCCGACAGACTCACTGCTCACTTGCCCTTCTCGTCGACGCCCACCGCGGCCATCAGCGCGTCCAGCTTGCCGTGGATGCCGACCGCGCCGGCGTCGATGCCAAAATGCCGCAGCAGGCGGTCGACTTTGGTGTCGAGCGCCGCGATCGAGCTGACGAGCGCAACGTCCACGGCCTGCACTTCGCGCAGGTGCTGCACGACTTGCGGGACGTTGAACGTCTTTGCGCGCTCGCCGTCCTCAGCGGACACGAATCCCGTGCTCAACCGGCGCGGCGGTGGGCGTGGCTGCGAATGTCCCCGCTTTCTCCGGTGGTGGTGCTGCTGTGGGGGATGCAGGAGGTCGCGGTCGTCGTGGGCCTCGCGGGCGCTCCGCCCGATCGGCTCGCGGTCGTCGTGCTGCACATGTGCACTGTCTCTGCTGGACACGCGCCGGATCGTCTCTCCGCTGTCGTCGTGCTGCAGATGCGGGCGGTGGAGGTGCAAGTGGTGCTCCGGTGGCGGTTGCTGGTGGTGGTCGAGCGGCGGCCGCTGCTTGTTCTTCACCCGGATCGTGTCCTGGCTATCCTCGTGGACGAGGGGAATGCGTTCCGGCGGCTCAAGCTCTTCCAGGATCGGCGAACGTCTCACGTCGTGCGGGCCTTCGCTGGCCCACTGCTCGGCGCCGCTCGTTTGGCGGGAGTGATTGGGCGCATGGTGGGTGGAATGCTGCGCGGGGCGGGGATGCAGTGGCTGCGCAGCGCCCACCGCGTCCATCGTCGGCGAGACGGGGCTCAACGGGAGAATGTCGCGCCGCACGTCGTCGAGGATCGGGCCGTGCGAGCCTCTGTGCGGCCTGTCGGGCGAGTTGGGGTTTTCCGGCAGGGGGTCGAGCGTGCTGATCGGCCCGCACTTTGTGTGGTGCGATCTGGGCGTGGGATGCTCGATGCGGTGTCTCTCTTGCGGCGGCGATGGTGGGGGTGTTATTGGCCCCGAGGAGTGCCCCGAGTGCGCAGAGTGAGCGGAGTGTGCGGAGTGTGCGGAGTGTGCAGAGTGCGCGGAGGGGGATGAGTGGTGGGTCATTGTCGTGGTCGGTCGTCGTGGGAGGGAGCAGACTGGAGGAACTAGGAGACGCAGGACTGGAGGGACCTGGGCCGTGTCGGGATTTATGGCCTCGCAACCAACCGTTCGTCATGTGCACCTTGCCGATGGCCCTGATAAGCGGGCTGCACCGAGTGCTAAACGTGTATTGGCCGGTACAGGCTACGTACGGTGTGCGGCATGAATGGCAATGGAATGTGGGCGTTGTAATGGCGCACCTGACGTCTTGCATGTGTCGGAGGCGGAGTTGAGCGGTGCGCAGCGAGGTGGTTCTTCGGCAGAGATGTCGGCACTGGCTGGCGAATAGAGAGAGGGAGGAGAGGCGAGACGCGGAGAGGTTCTCGGTCGCCATCGGTCTACATCGCTCTAGTGTTGCCCACGTTCGTGCGACGGCAGCGTGTCGATGTACCGATGTCAACGAAAGTAATAACGCACGGCCAGGCTGCAGGCTGATAAGAGCGGAAAGCCGATCATATCGTAACCAACGCTGCCATCATGATCCATGAGGCACCGCTTAGCGATCGGTATCGATAAGCCCTCATTCCAGCATTATTCACTACTGCCGTGGTCGACCGCCGCCGCCGCCGACGGCGCAGGTGACATGCATCGACAGAGGAGCGACAGCACAGACTGACACGGGGATCGCCGGCGATCGCGCCACCGCCGCCTCACAGCACCTGGCATTTCCCTCGCTAAACAGTGCGGGGCAGTTTCCCCCGATAATCTCTTGTAAACTCGGCTCCTCGTTGGCGCCGCACGCTCTCTGCAGGAGAGTCTGGCAAAGTGGAGCAGTGGATGCGGGCGTCAGCCACATATGCGAGGCAAACGAGTGCATGCAGCGGCCGTGCGTTTAGGCGAGCGAGAAAACCAGGCGCCAAGCGATAATCTCAAAAACTCCAAATCAGGGCCAGCCTGACAGCGTCCACGGGATCCCAGGCTGAACAGCGCTGTCAGCATCCACACACTCCGTCACCGCCACAGCGCGGCGCCTCCACCGTCCAGATTTCGGATCGCTCCGGTTCGTCAGTGCACTCCACCTCGACCACCGCTTGAACTCGAGTGCGCTCACGATCGCTCGCACCTTGTGAACCATCTCCAACTCATCTTTCTCCCTACTCTACCCACACCCGTCTCCCACGATGGCCACGCAAAACGCTGTCGCCGGGCCTTCCAAGGCCCGCGACCCCGTCCCCGTCAAAGGCTACAACTACGAAGAGGACTTTGAAGAGCCCGACCACCCGCAGAAGCGGTACTACATCACGGTCCCCTCCACAATGCTAGCCAGCACACCGATGGCCGCGACGATCGGCTTTTTTCTCGGAGCGCGGCGCGGCGCCGTCCGCGCCCGCCTGCGCTTCCTCGCCGAAAACGCACACCGCCAACCTACGACCGTGCAGGGCTGGGTGCGTCCGGCGACATCAGTGCTGACAGCAGTACTTTTACACCAAGACGCGCAACTACCGCGTATTCTTCGCCGCGTGCAAGTACGGTGCGCGGTATGCGCTGGGCCTCGGCGCCGCCGCGCTCGCGTTCACCACGGCAGAGGAGTACATTGGATACACGCGCGAAAAGTACTTCCCGAAGGCGAGCGACGCGTTCGCAACGCCCAAAGACCCCAAGCGCACGAGTTGGCGCGCGGGCCCGCCACATATCGAGGACGGGATGTTGGCGGGGAGCTTGTTGACGTTCTTTGCTGGCTTGGCATGTGAGTGACAATCATGTGAGGAGGGAGAGACGAAACGAAGGAGAGGGGAGAGAAGGATGGAGCTGACGCCAGACCGCCTCCCGAACCCGCTGCTCATTCGCGGCGTCCTTGTGGGCTTTACGCTCGGGTCCATCTTTTCGGGCGGCCTCATCGTGCAGGACAAACTGGCGTATTCGATCCGCATGAAGCAGGCCGCGGACGAGGCGACAGAGGAGGTCCTCGACGAGAACCCTGTGCCAGCGCGCCCGACGGGGGCCGAGCTCGAGAACAAGGCGAAGGAGGAAGATGCGCTCGCCCCCGGAGCCATGGCAGACGGGTCGTCAGAGGAGCTCGGCTGGATTGAGTGGGCGATGCACAAGGCCGGTCTTGGCGGGGGAGCCGCGGACACGCGCGACCAGGCGGACAAGGGGGACAAGGGCAAGAAGGCATAGATCATATACATGCATGTCGTTACAGTCATTTAGTGGGCGTGAAGGGGTCGCCGAACTCTATTGTCAGCTTAGTCAGCAAGCACGCACCCTTGTTCCAGCGCTCGACGATCTCCGAGTCGAACATGTCAAGCGGCTTGCGAGCCTTGGGAGGCGTGGCAATCTGTGTCCGCGTCAGCGCGTCCGGGGGAGACGCACCTCCTCGGCTGCGGGCTCCTCTTCCGTGTCCGAGCCCTTGGCGTCCGTCGCAGGCGAAGAGAGGTCGACGGGCGCGCCGGACAGCTCCGAGACAGAGGCTGAGGCGGAGGCGGAGGCGGAGGCGGAGGCGGAGGGCTCTGTGGGCTCCAAGAGGTCCGAGGGCGGGCTGGGCGAGGGTGGGTCCACGTCCATCGTCGCTTCGGGCGTGGCGGGGCGCGCGGGAGTGCCTCTGTTGCTTGGTGGTGGTGTGAGCGTGCCCATGGGCGGTGCGGAGTGGAGAGGGAGGTCGAGGAGTGGAGGGTGATGACGAAGTGTTGGTGGACTGGTGGAGGAGGTAGAGTTGTTGTTGCTTCCTCCACCTCCGCCTCTTGCTTGATCTGTTGTCCGCCGTCTGTCAACAGCTGCGCCCATCCCTCGTCTTATCCCGAGCACCCGTCCCGCTCCAGCGTCGAGATCACTGAACCCAATCCACACCTCGTGCAACATGTCCCTCGAGCCCCAAATCACCACGCACCACACCGCGCTCACCCCGCCCTTCCCCGGCGCGCCCGCGTTCACGTTCCACCTCACCCGCCTCACGGACACTCTGTTTGTCTGGGCCGGTGCGGCTGAACGCGCCGAGGAGGAGCCTAAGCGCACCCTCGCGCAGGAGTGGGCTGTTGCCATGCCCAGCCGCGGCGTACGTCACAAGATTAATGATATAGCTGACACTAGTCTATTCCCGCGACTGCGACGCCGGTGTTCCGGCAAGGCGCAGGAGATATGGCGTTGCCCATGGCTCAGAGGCTTGGTGAGTTGCGCGTAGCCGTCATGAATGCACCAGCAACCGTGTCATCCACTCCCCGATCTTCCCTTCCCCCCCCTCACATCACCACGCTCACACCAGCTAAGCGCTTCCCCTCAAATCAGATCCACCTCTCGCTCTCACTCCCAGCCAGCCTGACGGCTACGTCGGGGCCCAACGTCGACCCATATGCTAGCAAGGCCCTGCTCGTGATGGAGAAGCGGCTTGTTGCGTGGATCACTGAGGTGATTGGCGCGCCGGCTTCGAGCGCATAGCAGGGCTGTATCGATTCCATCATCTCGCTCCCACGTCCAACTATATCTCGCCTCATTCCCCTGCTCATCGTCATCTTCATATTGTGCATCTCCGTTAGCTCCGTCAGCCAGCAGAAGTCTGGACGCGGAGTGCGCGTCCTATGTCCTTCACGCAGCCGGGGCGTTCAGGGTACCGACACGACGTCGAACGATGTTGACCCATTTTCAAGGCGCGAAAAAGCTGAGGCGAGCACGGGATAGCGGCCTGCTGTGGTCTGCGGAACGCGGGCGGACATCAGACGATGTAGTAGCAAGATACCATGCATGTTTGATATCCATCGCGGCAGAGTCGATGTGGAGCGGAGTTGTTGACAGAGGAGACGAGGTCCAATCATGGGTGCCTGGGCCCCTGCGTTGGCGCGTCTCCCCCAACCCCGGCCCATCGTTCCATGTTTCCATAATCCTCATTTCCTTCGTTTTGCTCCATCCACTCATATAATCTCTCAACCTCACTCTTCTTGATCTAACAGCCCGCCATGGCCCAGGAAAGAGAGGTCACCACCACCATAACGGCCACGACGACCGTGACCCTGCCCGCCAACCCCACGCCGAAGACCTACGCTGAGCTAAACCCCCGGCTCAAGCCTACCGAGTTCTTCGGCCCCATCGGCGGCGGCATCCTTACCTTTGTCACCCCGATTGTCGCGTACGGCCTCTTCTACGGCTGTAACGAGGTGACTGGATGCAGCGTTCCGCCCAAGCGCAACGTCCTTGAGTGGATCGGCGACTGGCCCTCGAGCGCCGGCGCGCTGTGGGACTGGAAGGCCGCCGGCGTCTACCTTGCCTGGTACCTCTGGACCGTCCTGTGCTGGGCCATCCTCCCCGGGGACTGGATTGAGGGCACCCTCCTGCGCGATGGCACACGCAAGACGTACAAGATGAACGGTAACGGTGGGTGGAGTTCGGCGGGGTTGGCTTACTCTAGGTCTCTGGACATTCATGCTCACGCTCGGCATTGTTGCCGGCACCGTCTCGCAGCCCGGCGGCGTCGCGGCCTTCGCGTGGATTTACGACCACTTTGTGCCCCTCCTCTCGGCGTCGCTCGCCATGTGCACGTTCCAGGCCGTGTTCGTTTACGTCAACTCGTTCTTCTCGGGCGAGCTCCTCGCGCACCAGGGCAACAGTGGCAACTTCTTCTACGACGTAAGCTGTGCGCTGTTACCTGTCTCACGCTAGTTCTGGATGGGCCGTCCGCTCAACCCCACTTGGCCCGGCTTCCCGAACTTTGACATCAAGACTTTCAACGAGGTTCGCCCGGGCATCATTGGCTGGGTGATCCTGAACGTTGCCTTCGCGTGCGCGCAGTACGAGCGCCTCGGCCGTGTTACCAACTCGATGTGGCTTGTCCTCATCTTCCAGGGCTGGTACTCGCTCGACTGCCTGCTCGCCGAGTCCTCGATCCTCCAGCAGATGGACATCACGACCGACGGCTTCGGCTTCATGCTCTCGTTCGGCGACCTCACCTGGTTGCCATTCACGTACACGCTGCAGGCGCGCTACCTTGTGTTTGCGCCGACCGACCTCTCGATCGCGGCGTGCGCGTTCATCGTCGCTCTCGAAGTGCTGGGCCAGTACATCTTCCGCTCGGCCAACAACGAGAAGACCGACTTCCGCAACGGCCGCAACCCCAAGAACCTGCAGTACATGGAGACGCAGCGCGGCACCAAGCTTCTGACCTCGGGCTGGTGGGGCCGCTCGCGCCACCCCGTGAGTGCAGATGGAGGATGTGCTGACAGCAGAACTACTTCGGCGACTGGATCATGGCCTGGGCGTGGTGCCTCCCCACGGGCTTCAGCTCGCCGATTCCTTACTTCTACGTTATTTACTTCGGCATCCTGCTTGCCCACCGCCAGATCCGTGACGACGAGGCATGCAAGCAGAAGTACGGCAAGGACTGGGAGACTTACTGCAAGAAGGTCCCATACAAGATCATTCCCTATGTCGTGAGTGCCAAGGCGTTATCCATGCTGACATCAGTACTAAACACACCAACGATTTAGGTGGTAGTTTGCTACCATACCAACTAGTAGACTGCACTATGCATCTCGTATACCCTGTAGTTGGCGTATGCCTGTCCGCTGGCTGCATGTTGATGTCGAGCAAGCCCAACCTCCACATCACAACAATCGCCACCGAAATTTGATCCCGCCCCGCTGTCACCTCCACTCGACTCCAACAATCGCTCTCATCAACTCTCCCACCACGCCAAAATGGCGCCAGTAGCACGCACGGCCAAGCCCGCGCAGCGCGCGCCGCCCCCACCGGCGACCAAGACGCGGCACCGTATCGGCAAGCCCGGCGGCGCGGTAGCAGACAGCGACAGCGACGAGGAGGAGACGCTCGAGATTCCCAAGCGTGCCGCGCCGGTGAAGCTCGAGGCGGGACTGGTTGCCGGCGGCGCGGGCCGCGTGCTCAAGTCTGAGGCGATCAAGGTGGATCTTTCAAAGGCGAAACTTGATGGAGGTGTAAAGCATGGTGAGTAGAGGAGGAGCAATATATCCCGCGGAGAGCGACGGAGAGCTAATGTCAGAAATCGGCGCGGAGAGTGAAAGCGAAGAGGAGAGCGAGGAGGAGGACGTCAAGCCCGTGTTTAGGAAACCTGCTGCTCCGGATCCAGAGTCGAGCGAGTACGAGACCGAGTTGGAGGAGGAGAGCGAGGAGGAGAAGCCGGCGTTCCGGCCGATGTTTGTTTCGAAGTGAGTGCTGGCGGTTGGAGGCTGGGGTGCGCGTTGCTGACGCCAGAACTGCACGCAAGACAGTGACGGCCGATTTGGCCGCCAAAGAGGCAGAAGAGGCCGAGAAGCGGGCCGAGGAGGAGCGCGAGCGGCGCAAGCTTGACTCGAAGGAGCTGGCGGGCGAGACGATCCGGCGCGAGCTGGCTGAGAGTGAGTGGCTCATTCTTCGCACCTCGCAGCTGACATGCAGAGGAGGTATCCTCCGACCTGATTCCCGACGTGGACGACACGGACGGGCTGGATCCCGAGGCGGAGTTCGACGCGTGGCGCGCGCGCGAGCTGGCGCGCCTGCTGCGCGAGAAGGAGAAGCAGGCCGCGGCGGACGCGGAGCAGGCCGAGATCGAGCGGCGGCGCGCGATGCCCGAGGACGTGCGGCTCGCCGAGGACCTGGCATACGCGGAGGCCTCGCGCGCGAAAGAGAAGCCCCAGATGGGCTTCCTGCAGAAGTACTACCACAAAGGCGCGTTCCACCAGGACGAGGACGACGCGCTGCTTTCGCGCGACTACACCGCCGCAACAGAGAGCCAGGTGGACATGGCCGCGCTCCCCAAGGTCCTGCAGGTGCGGGACTACGGCAAGGCCTCGCGCTCGAAATACACGCACCTCACGGATCAGGACACGACGTCGGGCGGGTGGGGCACGGCGCACCAAGCCTTCGGCCGGCCCAGCGACCAGGTCAACCAAGGCGGCACGGGGTGCTGGAACTGCGGGGGCGACCATATGCGCGCCGATTGTCCCGTCGCCGAAGACATGGGGAATCCCAACGACCTGGGCATGATCGACGGCGTGCGCATCCCGGGCTTGGCGGAGCGGCAGGCGGCCGAGCGCGGGTTCGGGCGCGGGCGCGGGCGTGGTGGCCGGGGAGGTGTGGGCCGCGGCGGCGGGCGCGGCGTTACGGGCGCGAATACAGCGCCGCTTGCGACGTCACGCGCGTGGGGCGAGGGCGGGAGCGGCGAGCGCAAGCGGCCGCGCGAAGATGAGAGGGAGGAGCGCCGCGAACGGCCCCGATACAGCGAGCCGGAGAGGGAGAGGGATCGCGACCGTGGGGAGCGAGGCGATCGGCGGCGCGACGACCGCGATCGTGACCGTGATCGCGACCGTGGGGACCGGCGACATGACCGGGATAGAGATCGCGATCGCGACAGTGGCCGGCGCCGCAGCCGCAGCCGCAGCCCGCGCCGCGACAGAGATGGGCGCGACCGCGATAGGCGCTAGGATGCATTGCTGCAGTACACCGCGGGGTGTCCCCGCGCACGCACAACTGACTGACTGACCTCCGTCACATAAACAAAGATATGGCGCCACTCATGACGAGCTTCATGCGGAGCGAATGCGGCTGTCAGACGAAGGCATGGTGCCACTCAAGGCAAGCTCAAGCGAGCGTCCAGTCAAAGAAAGGTGTGGCGCCACATCTGATCGCTCTATCGATGCCAAGCTGTGGGAATCAGCTTGCTGGGAATCACACCATACAGGTCCATGCAGGCCCCACAGGCCCTGCCCCCGGGTTAACCCACGCCACGGTCTCGGCGCTGTGCGTACTCCGGCGCCGATCGACATACGTACGGGGCGTGACGGCGTGCGCACTTGGCATTATGCTTGCTACTCGAAGAATGTCCGACAGTCCCAGTTCCCAGTGTAAGGGATCTGGCCTGGAGGCACTTGTGGGAATGTGGCGAGCACACCTTGCGGCTACATGAAGCAGTATCTCGGGTCGTTCCTGCTGCCGACACGGACGGCCAAGCTTACGCCCGTCAACCCGAGCCGACGGACTCCATTCCAGCTATAAATGTCTGACGATCATGCCGGCACTGCCGTATCCTTCTGAGCGACAACCCGCAAAAGTAATAAAGCAATGTACGGAGGTGTCGCGAGGCAACGCCCGGACGGGACCGGGAATCGACAGGCCAGCAGGCGGGTGTTCCTGCTGACCGAGGTGGTACTGGCAACAACTGCAGCTCGCCGCTCAATTGAGCTGCTGACAATACCTCCCGCCCCATTTGACCGCGGCTCGGTGTGGCGGCGCACGTCCGCCCGAGCATTCCATGTCCACCGCGTTACACGTCTCGGAGCGCCCAACTCACTACAACTCGGACATTGTCCGGGATGCACGCCTCCTCGATCCTCCAGGCTTCCAGCACCAGCACACATGGCATGGCACATCTGTCGACCCTGGTCTTAAATCGAGGATATGGAACCGTCCGGTGCCTGTTGTCTCTCATCCTGCCGCGGTGCCTACCTCTCGTGCCTGTAATTTTCCGATGTGCTGGATGAAAGCTTGACTGCCACAGACAGCTGGAATCGTTTCCCGTCGGATGCACTCAATCGCAAGCGTGGGGCCGTGTGAATCCACGCACGCGTGACTTATGCATCTCGGGGGAGCCTCGGTGTCCTCGCAAAGTGGAGAGCCGGCGGCGTCCTCGGCTGCTTGTCTAATAGCACGAGGCGTGACATGGTGTTTCGGAGTGTTCCCGGTGGCCTACGACTAGACGTCGCCCCATTTCTTGCCTTTGGGTGGGTGGACACTGTGCGATGGAACGGAGTGAGCGAAGCGTGTCGCGATGCGTCAGCACCACATCACCGACCGACGACGACGTACATGAACTTGGGGTCGACGACGGGGTGGGCGCCCTTATCGCTGACGATGCGATTTGTTACTTCCAACGACGGGCCATTGCCACATCTGAATGAGCAATCGGACCAGAAAACGGGATGTGCAAGACCGAGGAACGGGAGCGTGGTCTGCGTACGAGCAAGCGGGCGATTGCGGAGCGGGCAATGGCGCACGACCATACTTCTTCGCGCGCATGCTTGCACGAAATGCAACGCTCAGCGCGCACCAACAACAGTCCACAGAAAACCGGCGTCACCTTGGGTCAATGGCAGGGGTGAGGCACAAATGTGGGAACGTCACTCCTCCGAAACATCCCTAGACTCGATCTCGAAGATGGGATGGAAAAAAACAGCGAGGCGCCCACGTGCTGATGGCACTGCGGGGTCCGGCACTCGCGCGCGCTCCCTGACGCCGATGTGACGCGTGATGCGCACAGCATGTCTCAGCTCTCAGGTATTGTGATGTGTTTGGTGTTCGTTGTTCCCGGCTCCCTGTCAACGCCTGCCGAGGGCCGCGGCGGCGCCGCGCCGACCTCGTTGGAGCGAGTGGACGAAACATCGCTGCCTTCACCACCTCCAACGCCTAGCGGGACTGAAGCTCCGAGTCAACCAGCTAGCCGGGCCTGCTGCGCGATGCGATGCTTATGTTGTGACAGGGAATGCTCCCACGCCTAAGGGAAGTGGCAGTGGCTCAGTCATCGTGACGCTAGCTCTGGGAGCTAGAAGTGCAGGAGAGAGAAATGGGAAGCATACAAACAAACAAAAGCAATTCACACTTACTGCCTAAAAATGCGCTCGAAGGGCCAACAGTCGACGGTGCCGGCGTGGTGCGCGCACTCGTATTGCCGGATCGAGAAGAGGTGGCATGGGTTGGGTTGAGCCGGGTCGAGAAATTGCGTAGACGAGGGTGAGGGCGCTGGCCTCAGTACCGCATTGGCAAGACGTACATTGTGTCATGCTGCGTGAAGGGGGATTGTAAGTATAGCAGCTAGCGTGGTAATGTTTCGAGATGTAATACCGAGCGAGTGAAGCAGGAGCGGAAAGCGGAGGTGTTGTCGAGTGACGTCGGCATCAGCAAATCACATGCTGTACTGGCACGTGACCCATCCAAATGTGGCATTAGGAGCTTGGCGGAATAGCGCTAATACCTCTACACATGTATAGATGCAGCCCATTGACCGTGCATGACCTCAGCTCATTTCGAGCGACGCGTCGCGCGCATGAGGACACTGTCCTTGATACATCACTGGAGAGTATTACACTGCACACGCCCGTCCGACGGCACTCTCCTCTCGTTACATGACTCCATGTGCGCGTGAGTATAACGTGGGACTCAGATGGGTGATCAAAGACTGCCAACTGAGCGCACCAAACAGTGGGTAAGGGCAGCAGGAACGATGCCGGCATAGTCACGGCCCCACTCCCGTCCTCGGTCAAGCGCGTTCCCACAGATCATTCCTACAAATCGTACCTTGAAATCATAGGGCGGTGAGTAGACATTAGCAGCATCGGAGCAGCGAAGCGTTACCAGGGAGTGGGGGCAGGGAGTACGTAGGAGTGCGCAACGCCTGCTCGCTGGAATCCAGTGAAGCATGGCAGCTTTGTTGCAGGAACGGAACGCGAGACCGCAGACCAGTCATAGACATCGCCGTGTCGGGCACGGGGGCCGCTCGTCGACGGCGACGGGACATATGAGCGCGAGGTCGAGGGCTTCTTTGGCCATCCCCACCTTCCGCGTCTGGCCGATTTGCACCGGTCTCGGTCGACAATTCATAAACTCTCTTAAGAGCTGAGTCTCATCTGTCATCTCCCCCGCCTCCGCCCATTCATTACCCCGCTTGCGCTTGAATCCATTTACTCGGCTCCCGTCATCATACCGCGCATTACATTCACCGACGATCGCCATTCACGCCATCGCCATCTCTCTCATCTACTATAACCTTGTTATCCGGCCCAAACCTAGTTGTGCGCTTCCACCATTTTTCCATTGCGCCACAGCAAGCCCTATTCTCCGGCCTCCTCCATTTTCAATCTGCATACATCCGCAGACTAGAGACGCGACGCCAAGAAACACTCCGTCCCGCTTCTCAGCAAGACCTTGGCGCATTACCAGCATACTCACCGCACCCCAACCTCACCCCCCACCCCGATCTCGTGCGCCATTATCCGGCACGCTGCTCGCAAAACGCCTAGACCCTTGCTCAGGCGTACCCCTCGAATTCATCGGAGGCTTCATAACACATCAGGCAAAGCGCATCCGGCAAGGCGGATGAGGATTTCGATTGAATTGCGCCGCTCGCTTTAGTGTCTCCAGCAGCCGGGTAGCCTCAGGCCCATCACCAGTCGCGTGGAATAGGATAATAGGAAAACCTTGGTTAACCTAGGTGGCGTTCAAGGCTCTGCCGATATTTTCCCTCGTCGTCTGGAATCCCTGCAGCCCGTGTCCCGGGTTGTCACTCTTGCCTCGTGCTCCTCGCACTTGTCACCCGTACTGGCACTCCCACTCCCACTCGCACGCGCACGCTCTAGCACTCGCCCTAGCGCACTCCTTTCGCGCGTCTTCTGTCGCTTCGCTTCTTTTCCTTTATCCTCTTGAACCCTCCCTCATCAACCTCAACCTTAAAGGTCCGATACCCCGAATCCAACCTACACACGCCTCCCGCACGCCACACGCCACCCGCCACAGGAAAGACAGAACTTCTTCGCTCGCTTCACCAAGCTCTTCCGCTGCACATCTTCCAAGGATCAAGGATCGAGGAAAACCCACAACAGACCCTCCTACCAGGCTTTTGGGCACTTGGTCCTGTATCCTGTATCTCTTGCCTGCATCTCCTGGTCATCTACTTTACTCGCGCGCGCTCTGGACGCGCTTCCTCTTTCACTGGCACCTCTTCTCGACTCGTCCATTGCAACAGGCTTGCACCCGTGTCTCCCGCCGTCGTCGCCAGCCAACTTGATCAATACAGTAAGTCACGATCGTCACGATCAGTCTTTCTCCGCCATCCGCCATCCGCCCTCCGCCTCACCCATCCCACAAACAATCAACTGACGCTCAGACACTGCCACATCCGTATACATATCTCCCAGCGCAGCTCATAGTCTCTCTCCCATTTCTCTCCCCGTTTCTCTTCATCACCATGTCCGCAATCACCCCCCGCTCGTCACCATCACGCGTGTCCTCGCGCAAGACCTCCCCCTCCCCCGTCTCGGTGCCCCCGCCGAACCTCCCTCTCCCCCGCCTCGTCTCACCGCGCCGCACCCGTCCGCGCCGCACAGACCTCCACAGCGGTCTCTGCCCGCTCGCCGAGGCAGACGAGGACACTCCCTCCCGCTGCCCGTCGCTGTACAACCCCACCTCGCCCGTCTCAGAGACGCAGCGCTCCTCCATAGTCTACACGCCCTGCGCCGAGGACGACGACCCCTTTGAGGACTGCACATTCTCGCCTGTCTCCGACGTCTTCTACGACGACTCGGCGAAGCACGCCGCCCGCTCCCTCCGCTCCCCAATCCGCACACCCACGCCATCCCGCCTTGCGGCACCCTACCGCCTCCTCCCTGCCCTTCCCATCCTCTCCGTTTGCGAGCAGCGCCCCGCACCCCCGTCTCCCCCGACCCCAAGCTCGCCTCTCACACCCACCACCCCCGGCCTCGACGGCATGGGCGCGAACCTCGTCAGTGCGCTCCGCAACCTCCTCACCTCCTGCGGCGAGTACGAGTACGACTACGCCTTCGCCGACGCGGAAGAAGCATACCCCGAGCCCGTACCGGGACAGTTCGACGACGCCGTGTCTCCAAAGTCATCCCCGACACTCGCGTGCCCACGCACACCCCCGCCACAGCCGGCACGCGCCGCCGAGCTCCTCCGCGCTCCCCGCCCTCGCCGCGGACCACGGCAGCCCCTCGCGCCAGGCTTCAACGCCGACCACTCGGTGCTCGCGGCCATGTCGGCCGAATGTCGTGACCGCGCGATCGAAGCATTCGAAGACCTCCCGCCCCTCTCGTCCAGCTCGAGCGTCTCCTCCGCCTCCTCCCTCGCGTCGCTGTGCGGCATGGCCTCCGGCATGACCATGGCCCCCCGCCCGCCCGTCACGCCCCCGCGCAAGTCGAGCCGCCGCATCCTGCGCTCCCCCCTGCCTCTATGGTCGTAGCCACTGCGTGGTCATTCTCGGTTATCTTCGGTCCCATCATCACGACTGCATTATTACATTATTCATTCGTCGTTCGACACGCGCTGCGCGCCCATTAGCATCCGGCATGTTGTGATAGCTAGATCATGCATGTGTGTACATGTACGGGGGAGACGGGCCACGCGTATGTCTGTGCGCTGTCCTCGGCCACACATTCATCAGCATTGACCGTCCCGCCAATCTCGAAAAGCATTCACGTCCTCCCGAGATTGAGACTGATCTGTGTCAGGCGGGAGGCCAGCACATTCCGCTGTGTGTGATCTGTGTGCGAGTAAGCGAGGTAAGGCAGCCTGGCAAGCATGCTAAGACATGTCTCTCCGACGAGAACCAAATACCCCGCGGCCTCGTTCCCACTCCCACGCCATTACTCGCAGATCATATGATCAATTCAACGGCAGCGCCGGAACGCCCACCGGAGATTTTGCGCCACCGCCCCGCGCGCCCGCACGCTTAATGTAATTGAGCGGGACGTGTCAGTCTCGCCGGGCGAAGTTGTCTCCAGTGTCTCGGGCCAGGGCCTCGTCTCGGCGCGGATTGTGCATGTGTGAGACGGCCAAAGCGCACGCCGCGACGCCGCGACGCCGGCGCCATCGTCGCTGCGGCGTGCGGATTATGGTTGAACAAAGAACTACAAGCACGTGTCCTCCTCATGTTGTTGCCCTTGTCATGCTGTCGCTTTAAGTTGTCGCCCTCAGTTGTCGCCCTCAGTTGTGTCTTCAGTGGTTCACCTCAGTTGTCGCCCTCATAATGGTTCTGATGGCCGCATGGCAGCACGTCTTTGACACCGTGTTGCTCCGGATCTCGGCCACCCGAGCCGACCAAGGAAGGTCTCATCTCATCGCTCCGAGGACCCGAAGTTCCGAAGTCGTCACATGTCGTCTCGTCTAGATTCTATACACCCCGCTGCCACTGTCAAAGATCTCGCCGCACCCACAGCCTATCGCTGGTCGTCGCTCCATGTGTCGCTCCATTCACTTGCACTCGCACTCGCGCTTACACTCACACTCGGCCCCGTTTGCGTGCTCACGGGCGTCGTGGCTACGCCCGTGCCCGTGCCCGATACAGATTCCGCAGGCACATCCGTTTCCGTTGCGGTCTCGTCCTCGGTAATCGACGCCGCGGGCGTCAACTCGGGCGTGCGAGATCGGGGCGTTGTGTGCTGCCGTCAGCTCTCGGGTCTAAGGGCAGACAGCAGATGTGGACATTCAGACGCTACACACAAGACACAACGCAGCACACAACACACAAAGCAAAGGCGCAACCTACCTCCACGACCTGCACTACCTCAAAGGGCGAGGCAACACGGCGCCCGGCAGCGCGCGCCTCGATGGTGTCCCACGCCCGCGTCTCATCGCGAGAAGTGCGTGCATCCCACACGCGGTCAAGTTGCGCGAGGCGCGAATTGGGGCGCTCTGGCGATTCGTACTCGTCCTTGATCCGCCTCTTCTTCTCCTCCTTCTTCGGCTCCTCGGGCTTGGGCTTCCGCCGGCCCATGCACGAAATAACGAGGAAGCCAATCAGCGCAGATGCGATCGTAAGCGAAAACGACAGCGGCGGGAGGATGATTAATGGAGGCAGAGGGTTGGCCGTCATAAGCCATCTAGTGTTAGCGGCCTCGAGCCACGCTGAACTCACCGCAGGCCTGTGGGGTGCGGAACAAAGCGGACGACAACCCAACCCGTAGTGCGCACTTCACGGTGATAGCGCGCCCCAGCGTCTTCAGAGTTGGTGTCCTCGCGGCCTAGGGTTAGATGATGTCGCTTAGCCCAGCTCACCGATGGAGACGAAAACCGACCCGATGGCGAGGTCACCGCGGCCGGGGTTGATGACCGTACCCTCGATGAGCTCCTTAGTTAGGAGTACTACCTCATTCCCGCGGGCGGGGGAGACGAGAGAACCCCGGCGCCTTCGCTCCTTGATCCTCGCATCGGGCACTCCGCCGTATCCGAACACTCTTGAGGGACAGAACGAGCGGAATGGCCATGGAATAACACATGGTGGAATATACCATGTCGGGATGGTAGGGAGGCTGAGGAGAGAGGACTTGAGTGGTGGTGGTGGGAGGGACTGGCGTTAGTTCGGCCTCGACCAGACTAACAGGCTGCGCGACGTGGACTATCGTGATCTCCGGAGCGCGCAGCGATCGCAGGTCGAGAGTAACCATAAAGTTGCCTGACTGTTAGCTTCCTTCATCCTACCAACCTACCCATCTCTTCGGAGGCGTGCGAGGGGCGCACGAGTTCCAGCTCGACCTGCACATCGTACGGAAGATCCTCCTGAAACTTGTCCAGTGGGAGCTGCAACGTAGCATGAGGTGTGCGGATCGCGCGCGACCCATAAGTAAGCCAGCCCTCAACCTCGACGTTTCCCCCGATGCCCCATGACCACCAGAACGCGCCGACGGCGAGCGTGCTAAATGCGGCGCTGGCGAGGACGAGCAGCAGCGCGAGGATGCCCTTTATGACAACACTGATAGTGAGGGGGGACGTGAGGATGTCGCGGATGACACGGATAGGGAACGTGATTCTGCATTAGTGACTGGGTTAGGTAGCGGCGTACGGGTAGAAGCAGAAGTCGACGACGCGGTGGACGAATTCTACGAAGTCCGAGTTCGGGGCGGGACTGGGAACGGTGCGGGACCGCCGTATCGCCTCGTAGGATCGGCGGTCGCGGTGGACCGCGGACGACATTGTGAGAGAGATGAAGGAGTGTAGATAAGAAACAGAGAGAGAGGGAGAAAGAGAAAGAGAGATGAGATGAAGGAGATGGAGAGACGCGTCTTGGGCGGGGGCGACGATGAGACGGTCGCTGCGGACCACCTTCCCTCCACTCCAACCGTCCGTGACAGGGGGAGAGGCGTCATTGACCGCCCCGCCAGGAGTAAGTGGGGGTGTCGGATAAGCTGATAGGCGGAGTGATCCGAGATGAAGCGTCAACAGTGACGTAGTTGATCGCGAACAAAGTCGCTCCATCATCCTCCTCCAGGCATAACTATCACTCTCTAATACCTACCCACCCCTCCTCATCGTCAATTATGGACAGGCCTCCCTCCGTACAGCCTCTTCCACCCAGTAGAGACCTGCATTACGATCACCACGGTCCCTCCAACGGCCCGCTCGGCTTGTCCACCGACCGCCCCTCCTCCTTCCACAACCCATGGCCCTCGTACCGCTTCGCGACGCTCTCAGACGCATGGCTCGCATACCAGCGCGGAGCGGCAATTGCGCCCGCGCAGAAGCAGTCTGAATGCGACGCGTGTGGCGAGTGGTCGCGCGTTGCGTCGCGGTCCGCGTCCCGCGCCAGCTTCCGTGACAAAGTGGAGAAGGAAGACGAGCGGCCCCCGCCCGGCGGGCTGTTCTACGATCCCGACGATGACGACGACGCCGAGGTCGATGTGTGGACAGACGAGCCGGACGACCTCACATATCTTGCGCGCAAAGTTACACACGATACCGAGCCGCCAGCGGGGTATATCCGACCCGAGTTGCGCGCGATGCAGGACGACGACGACGACGACGATTGGCGCGAGCCGCCTGTCTGTGTGCGTCCGCCGCGATGGCTGCGCGGTGAGGGAAGAGAGACGGACCGCGGAGAAGCAGGCCCGCCACGCCCCGCTGTTACATGGCTCGGACATGCGAGCACTCTCGTGCAGATCCCATTCACAGACGGGAGCGGAATGGCTGGTATTCTCTTTGATCCAATCTTCTCGCAACGATGCTCGCCCACGCAGTTCCTCGGACCAGCGCGCAGCCTCGATCCCCCCTGCTCCGTCGCCGAGCTCCCGCCCATCCACGTCGTCATTATCAGCCACGACCACTACGACCACCTGGACTACAACAGCATTATGGATTTGTGGACATACCACAACGAGACCGTGCACTTTATCGTGCCACTGTGCGTCGGGCCGTGGTTCACAGCCTGCGGTATTCCCGAGGCACGCGTGACCGAGCTCGACTGGTGGTGCGAGGCGCTCGTGCAGTTCCCCTCCACACCTTCCTCAGACTCGGGGCCGTCCACGCCCGCCGCCTCGGGTTATCCCCCGATGCGCGAGCCCGAAGTGGACGTAACCTCGCGACTGACCCTCAAAGTCGCATGCTGCCCCGCGCAACACCGGTCCGGCCGCGGCGTCTTCGACCAGATGTCTACGCTGTGGGCGTCCTGGGCGATCGGCGTCGTGCCCCCCAACACCGCCCTCGAGCCCGGCATGCGCGACTGGCCGACATTCAAGGTCTTCTTCGGGGGCGACACAGGTTACCGATACGCGACAGCGCCCGACTCGGACGACACGGCAATCTGCCCGGCCTTCGCGCAGATCGGCGAGGCCTACGGCCCCTTCTCGATCGCCCTCCTCCCGCTCAGTACGGGTAGCTCTCTCCCGTTCCTACGCAAGACGCTCAACATCTCCCTCGACCAGTACACCCTCACGTCGAGCCAGCACTGCTCGCCGGCGGACAGCCTCAAGATTCATGCGGCAGTGCGCGCACGCCGCTCTGTAGGCATGCATTGGGGCACGTTCTGCGACGCGTCCGAGGCGCGTGCGACGCGCGTAGACTTTGGGCGCGCACGCCGCGACGCAGCCGTCGGCACAGACTGGGAGAATCCGGGAATGAAGGGGGTATTCATTGCCATCGACGTAGGGGAGACGGTTGAGGTGGAGAAGTAAGAGGAGACGGGGGATGGTGGGGGAGTAGGTGTAGAGAGAGGGTAGAGGAGGTACAGGAGAGTAGAGGTAGAGGCGGGTAGACCAAGATAAAGGAGGGAATAGGGCCGGGTAGGACAATATTCTTGACTTCTTGACACACGACACCTGTTCAGCAACGGATGTTACCATCACGCTCGCGTAATGAATGCATCGATCGGACGCGCCCCAAAGCGCGCGCCCTCCGCGCCGCACGGCCATCGGTGGCGGCCGTGACTCCGGCCGTAGTGGGAATTCCGGGTACGGGGGCACAGAGCCCGTGCGAAGCGAGACTCACCGTCTTCTTGACTGATGCACTAATGCATCATGCATCATACTCGCACTCAACTCTTCACAGCTCTCGACAATGAAGTGGCCGACACTGTGCCGCCGTGCCGCGCCTGACCCGCCGTGCGTGTCCCCCCGCCTCGAGTTGTTCCGGCAGCGCCTCGCCGAGGTCGAGGTGAAGTGGGAAGAGGCCGAGAAGACCAGCACGGGGTTCGGGAGTCCCTCAGTCTCCGCGGCGAGCTCGTCTGCCTCGACCTCGCCGCCGAGGTCAGTGCCTCCGTTGTCTCCCTCCCCGTCGTCTCCGTCCCCGTCGCCGCCGTCGACGGCCTCAACGGCGATCTCGGCGCGCACGACTGCCGAGATCCCGCACCAGCCTCCCGGCGCTCATCCCCCGCGAACCTCGAGTCTGCCAGCGCACGCCCCGTCTCGGTGCGAGTGAGGTCGGACGCGCGGACGCAACGCTCGGCCTACTTATGCTCATCGCTCTTCTGATCTCCATCGTCACATTCCGCCCCCTATCTATCGCCACACCACTCATCCCCCCCATCGCCACACCACTGCGCATCTGTTTCCTCCGTCTATCCCGCACCGCACCCACTCGCCCCCGCTACCGCCCCCCGCCCCCTCCCATGCCGTGGTTTCCTTGGCTCATCGCTCCAACCCAACACGATATGCTAGCCGCCAGTCTCCGGCCGTGGCACGCGCGTCCGCTCGCCCACCCCCACGCCACGACCCACGCCCACGCTCCACACACCTCGTGCGACTACTGCCAGCTCGCGCCGCCGCCGTACCGTGACTGGCCCGAGTCCTCTTCCGTCTCCGTCCCCTCCGTCTCACACAGCACGCCCCTCGCGTCCCTCGCGCCCCTCGCCGAAACCCCCTCGCCCACCCCGCCAACCGACGCAACTCCCCTCCCCCACGCCACGCGCGATCAGAAGCGCGCCGAGATCGAGCGCCTCCGCGCCCAAATCGACGTGCTCGCCGCCGCAAGCGTCGCCGACACCCCGAAGATGCGTGTATGGGCCCGCCGGCCCGCGCCTGGCCGGCTGTGGCGGCTCTTCGAGACGCGTGCGCGGCGGTAGCGGTGCGAAGTCTCTGTATCCTAGCCGCAGGACGAAGGACGAGCTGGCATATGGAGATTGTGGGCTTCTGTACGCACGGACATGCAGTGCTCGACCGGTCGCCTTGCTTAGCGCGAGCACGTGCCCCGGAGCGAGCTGACACGACATCTCTCAGGTCGTGGACCATAGTAATAACTCGACCGTCATGGACCATAATGGCTTGACCGGAGTAGGGCAGCAACGTCAGACATTGGTTGGATAGTTCAGGCACGCCCATTTAGATGACGTGAAGCGGGCCCCAGTTACGAGGGAGCTGGGGAGCGGATCGTGAGCCTGGAACATGTGGAGCGTGTGAGCTAAGCATGAGTGTAAGCAAGAAAGAGTGGGATGGAGCATGACTGAGTTGAGCCAGAGTGCTGCATGGGCATGAGCAGTGGCACATGTGGAGACGAGCAGAGGAGGACACCGGACCGGTACGGACGGATATGGGCATGGGCATGGGTAGGCAGAGCATGCAGAGCGCAGAGCCTAGAGAATGCGCAGACACGCGAACGCGCCAAAGACCATTACCTCGCTGAGTGGATCTACCGGTCCTCCAGCACACTGGCTTCCTCAATAGATCTCCAACCACCGGCCAGCAGCTTCTTCTGCTTCGCCGCCGCAGTCGTGCAAATACCTTCTCGCTGTGCAGCAGTTTAAGCCGTCCCTCTGCGCAGTACGCTGCCACTGGCCATTGTTACTCGCCCGACGGGCGATGCAACGAGGTCTTCTTCGCCTCCTCTTAAGGTTGTGTGCACCCGACAAGGCCAGCAACCCCAGCGAATGCCTGCACTCGTGCGTTACCCAATGGCGACAAGGGAACAGCCCAGGCCGACGCCCCGTAGCATTGTGCAAGCTTCTTGGCGGCGTGCTGTCGCCTTGAGTCGGAGTTGAAGGCCTGGTGAGTGCGAGACCTGGCGCAGCGAGGGCAAGTATTGACGCGATCATCAGCTCTGCAGGGTCAGGGAGTATGGGCATGGACCAGTCATGCGTCATCAGCGGCAGCCGCGGCGCAAACTTTGAAGTGCAGGTCCGGGTGAGGCGAGCCGGGAGGAGGGATCCCGCGGTTTACGCGAAAGCTGGGGGACGCTGGCTGGGCGATGGACCTGATGGCCAAGTGACTAGCAGTGCTGCGGTGACGGCGAGTAGGACCATGGCAAAATTGTAGTAGGACCATGTGGCGCCACTGACGCACGGTGCGCGAGGATGACCGGCGGCGATGGATGATCTGCGAGTGGCGAGTGGCAGAGAGAGAGGTAACACGCTAGGAAAATGGGCGTGGCGTGGGGCTGCGGAGAGCCTGGACTCTTGGCACTCTCTTTCGTCATGGCTCGATTGCTGCTCCTCCTGTTGGCCATCAACAATATCTTGGAGCGCATTCTACTTCTACATCTCTCTCTCGCATTGCTCGCTGCTCTTACTTTTGCTCTTGCACTGGATCACATCTATCGACCTCTTCGTCAGTTTGTATCCCGTCGGTCGGCCTCATCGCCGCCCAATCCAGTCCGCCGCAACTGAAACCCCACGCGCCATCCACCATTCCATTCCGCGTCGCGACTCAAATTCCTTCTCCCCCCATCTCATCAACTGCCATGTCGACGCGCCCGCGCGTCGCCGTCGTCGGCTCTGGCCTCGCCGGCCTCGCCACCGCCTACCTCCTCACCAAGGAGGGCGCAGATGTATGGCTGGTTGACAAGGTACGTAATGCATAATGCTTTGAACCCCCTATTCTGACCCCAGGCCCCGCGCCTTGGTTTCCACGCATGGAGCGTCGAGCTTGAGCCAACATCGTCCGCGTCTGACTCAGAGACCAACGCTCTTGCGCTCGACATCAATAAGCGCCCAGCGTCATCTGCGTCGGAGGGCTCTCGCGCAGTCGATGTCCCCATGCGCTCCTTCCAGGGCGGGTACTACCCTCTTCTCATCGCGCTTTACCGTCACCTCGGCCTGCCCCTCTCCTCCGCCGCGTTCACCTTCTCCTTCGCGTCTCTGCCATCGGGTCGTGACCTGAACGCCGATGACACCTACTTCATCCACTCAGGAGCGTCGGGCGCCTCCCTCCCGTCTATGCCGGCGCAGGCATGGCGTTCCCCCGTCGCTTTCGTGCGCGGCTTCCTCACCCTTCTCGGCGTCGGACTTTGCTACGTAGTTCTCCTTACACTCTCCTTCGCAAGTTGGCACGGTTTGCTAGGCTCCATTACCTACCGCCAGCTCGTCGACGCCGTCACAGCGCGCTTGGAGCAGCCCATCGCCTTCATCCCCCTCCGCACACCCCTCGGACGCGCATTCCGGAATTTTGCAACCGATATCGTCCTCCCGCTCTTCAGCGCAGTTGGCACCATGACCGCCGACGATGTGTGGGACACTCGTGCCGACGTCCTTCTCGACTACATCCACGCCGGTGTCGGCACGAGCCACTACACTCTCGGCGGCGGGATGAGTGCGCGCGACGTCGCGCGCCTCCTCGCCGAGCCGGTGCGCGCGCAGGGTGAGGACCACGTGCGCCTCGGCACTGGAATCAAGTCGATCACGTACTCTGATGACGGACTCACCCTTTCGCTCGACGACGACGCCAAGCTGGAAGTCGACCGCGTCGTCGTCGCTACGCAGGCAAGCGCCGCCCGCGCCCTCCTGTCCACTCTCGAGCCCAGCCTCCCCGCGGCCGAAGGCAAACGCGTCGCACGCATGCGCCAGGCTCTCGCGCACGTGCATTACCGGGACACGATCGTCGTCACTCACCGCGACCGCTCCGTGCTCCCCGCCACCCCCGACATCCGTGACATCAACCTTGTGCAGCCAGCGCCCCGCGAATCAGCAGGCGACGACACGCCCGAGCTGGCCTCGTGCGCGTCCAGCGCGCCTTCGTCTCCCTGCCCCTCTCCCGCGGAGGTCACGCCCTTCTTCGCCCCCGAGCTCGGGTACACTATGGCGACGCACGTTGTCGCGCCCCCCGGTGTCGAGCCCGTGCTGCAGACCACGAACCCGGCCGTGCCCATCGGCGGCGAGCTGCTCGGCGTTGCGCGTCTCGAGCGCGCCCTGCCGCTCGCGGACGACGGGATTATCTCTGGCCTCCGCCCCGCCGGCGCGGGCGCAGCCAAGCCCCGCGTCTTCCTTGCTGGCTCGTACGCTTATCCCGGTATTCCGCTGCTCGAGGGGTGTGTCGGTAGCGCCCGCCGCGTAGTGGAGGACATGATGGGTCGTGAGGTGCGCAGCGTCGACTGGGAAGCCGGGCGAGGGTCCCTCGCGGGCCGTGCGTGGCGGTGGAGGTGGAGCCCGCGGGCCGGGGGGTACTAGGGTGGATTAGAGGATGATAGAGTTAATGCTAGAGATATAAATGTTGTCCGTAATGTCAGAATGATCTATATGCCGGACCAATATGTTTTAATTGATTTCTGCCTACAGCAGCTGAGGCGCGCGCAGTACCGCAGCACGGAGTCCTCGTCGGAGCACAGTTGACTGCGATCTTCGCAGTAGACATACCATACATCGCTCAGCTACCATCCCCCAGCCCCCAGCCCCGACCCCTCCTCCTCCTTCAGTGCCTCGTTGAGGTCCAGTCCGCCCCGCGCTGGCGCGACATCCACAACGCCTACTACGGCCGTCTCGCTCCGTCCGGGCTTCTTGGCGCGCTGCGCCGCCGGGTCCGCAACCGCAACATGCGTAGCCACGACCGCGGGCGCGGCAGCCCGCACCTGCGGCGCAGCCTTGACGACGACGACGGGCTTGTGCGGCGTCGCTACCGCCATCGCTTCGGCCTTTCCCTTCTCCTTCTCCTCGCCCCGCCCGTGCTTCCGCTTCCGCTTAGGCTCTGCCGCTGACTCCGCCGCCGGCTCCTCACGCTTCCGCTTCTCCGCCTTCTCAGCCTTCGGGCCGTCGAGTTTTCGCTTCTTCTTGTCCTTCGGCTCGGTGGCCTCCACGCGCCGCTTCGCAGGCCGCTCCTCCGCTGCGTCCGACCGGCGCCGCTCCTTCTTCTCGCTCTCCTCCGTCTCCGCCTCCTCCTTCTCAGGGGCGCCCCACGCGCGCATCTTACCCCCCGAGCCATTTGCGCCCGTCGGCCGCGCCTTCTTCTCCTGCGCCTCGCGCGCCTTCCGCTCCCTCCGGCTCATCTGGACTTCGCCAGCCCTTGCGCGCTCCTTCACGCGCCGCGCGTCGACAATCTGCAGCTTTGGCAGGTCTGGCGACGCCTGCAGCTGGTCGGCGTAGGCAGGTACTTCCACCGCCAGAGGGTTGGCGCGGAGCGTCAGGCTGCGAAGGTGGGCCCAGCGTGGCGTTTTGCCGGGGCGCGAAAGGCCGAAGACGCCCGCGACGGCCGCGTACGGCAGCGAGCAGTTGCCGAGGTCCAGCACTTCGAGACCGTCGCCGTCGCCGCTCTTCCCGACGGCGGCGAGGTCGCCAGTGCCCCAACGCACGAGGTGTGGCGGGAGCGTGGAGAGGCGCGCGAGGTTGTTCGCCTTGACGTCCCGTAGGAGGGGCAGCGGGGAGAGGTCGGGGAGGCCGGCTGCGTCCAGGCGCGGGCAGTGGCTGAAAGCGAGCTTTGAGAGGTGCGGGAGACTGGCGAGGCTGGATGGGAGAGAGGAGAGGTTTGGCGAATGTGAGACGACTGGTGTCAGCGTTGAGATGATGTGACGCACTGAGCGAGTTAAGCTCCTTCCAGCCTGCTACAACGGCGTCGTTTAACGCAGTCCACTCGTTGCCTGTTGCCACGAGTGCCTTGAGGCTCTTCAGGCCTGCGAGGGGAGAGGGGAGGGACGTCAATCCGCAGTTGCTGATGTTGAGGACTGAGGTCAGTTTTGCACCCTCAACACGCTTACCTGTAAGGCCCTCGAGTGCGCCAACAACCTCCCACCCCTTCGTCACCGCACACCCTTTCACGCTGAGCCATGTGACGCTAGGCGGGATCCACGAGACGTCAGTACACTCGGCGCCGTCGAGATCTATGCGGGTCACGCCCTCCAATCGCTCAGGCGGGGGCGGGATTGCAAACGCGCTCTGTGCATACACGAGTGCATGGGCGGTGCGGATAGCCTTCGCCTTGTACTGGTCTGGCCCAGCGTCGACTCTCTCCTTCTGCTTGCGTTGTGGCCGCCCCTTGCCAGCTCCCTTGTCCTTGCCCTTCGTGGGCTGGAGGAGTTTGGCAAGTTGCGCATTGCTCTCGACTGGGTCGGCCTTGGGCGCCTTATCCATCTTCTGCGAGCGTTTCCTGCTTCGTGCGGCACCGCGGTCCATGCTTGCGTGGGTGAGATGGTTGGTGAGTTGTATGGTGAGTATGGAGCTATGGTTTCCGTCAACATTTCGTCAGGTCACGTGATGCCACATGGCTTGGTGGCGAAGATTTGGCTCAGAGTGGGGCGGAGTACTGATTGAACCGCTCACGATGGAGGATCGAGAGACTGAGCAAGGAGCTCACGTCTACTATCCATCACGTTCCCGTCATGCACCGAGTCGCCGCCAGCATCGCTGCTCGGGACGCCCGATGCAACAAGACTACCACATGGCCCACGAGCTCAGGCGAGAGCGAGTTACGCCGAGACGCGGCAAGGCGCGAGAACACGCAGAGTAGCTTCGGGCTCTCGACACCGAACGCCGCCTAAAAATCACACGCCCTCCTAACCCAACGAGCAGCTCTACACCCGTACATCCCCCGAGCTTACGGAGCCATTCTGGCGAAGTAAGCTGTGCATACGAGCCGGGATTCAGCGGAGTGGGAGCGCCGCGGCCGACGGGTCGGTTCGTCCTCTCGGCAACTTCCAATTTCGGCATTCGGCATTGCCTCCGCCCTCCCCACTGCCCACACCCCGGCGCCATCCGTGATACTTATGTTGCTGCTCCGGATACCCTCCTTCCCATTACCCAGTAGCCATGTTCCGCAACTCCTCACTCCGTACGGCGCGCGTAGTGCGCGGCGCCGCCAAGCGCCGTCTCCATCTCGAGTCCAACTCGGGCGCCGACCTCCTGTCCAAGGTTAGTAACTGGCTTATGTGATGTGCAGCAGTCAGCGGTGTATCATCGTGCTGGGCTCGGGGCGTAGTCGCTGCCCCGTCTGATAGTAGTGCTGACAGCAGTATGTCCCTGGGGCTCGTGTTACTGCGGAAAGCTCGACCGCTGGTGTGCCGATCCGCCTCCTCGCGTCACGCCACCTCAATGTGCCCGTCTTTGAGGCCGAGAAGGACGGCAAGCCCTTCGTCCTCCCTCTTGACATCACCTCCGCGAGCCTGCCAGCTGGGACGAACGCGTGGCTTAGCGACCTCGGCTTCCAGGCTGCGGACCGCGAGGCGACGGCCAAGGCGCTGCAGGGTGTGTGGGACGCATGGCGCAGCAACGGCCTCCTCCGCGTGTCGGGCAAGCTCGACTCGAACGGGCACGGCACGGAGCTGACCGGCATCAAGATCATTGCCGACGACTTCGCTCTCAACAAGTACCCCGCCAACCGGGCGCTCGGGGACGAGGGCCGCGTGCACCCCCTCGAGAGGACGGCGGCCGAGGGCAGCCTGTTCTACCACAAGAACCGGAGTGGCGGCAACATCGCATGCTACGGCTACGGCGCCGGTATCGCCATGAGCACGATGGACGCGCTCGTGGCTGCCGGCGGGAAGCCCGCCAACTTCCTCGACGGCGGTGGTGGCGCTACCGTCGCCAACGTCCGTGCCGCCATGAGCGTCATCATGAACGACCCGGACGCAAAGGTCATCTTTGTCAACTCGTTCGGCGGCATCACCAAGATGGACCTGATCGCTGAGGAGATGGTCAAGTACATCAATGAATGGCGTGCCGAGGGGAAGCACGTGCCCCGCATCGTCGCCCGTCTCCGCGGAACTGGCGAGGAGAGCGCGCGGGAGATCCTTAAGAAGGCCGCAATCCCCGAGATCGAGTACTTCTCCGACCTGCGCCCCGCTGCCGCCGAAGCAGTCCGCCTCGCGGGGGGGGCCAAGCCCGCTGAGACCAGTGCGGCCGCTGCAGCGGCCGCCGCCGCCGCCGTTCCCGTGACGTTCTCGCGTGACGGGCAGTACGAGCAGACACTTCGCAACCTCACGGTGCAGAAGGGCGACCCCGTGATGGTCCTCGGCATGGGCAAGGCGTCGCAGGCCAACAACCTCATCTCCAAGAACTACGGCACCAACATTGTCGGCGCCGTGGCGCCCAAGAAGGGCGGGCAGGAGATGCTCGGCACACCTGTCTTCAACACGGTCAAGGAAGGCGTGGCGGCGCTCAAGCCGCGCATCGCGTCCGTCTTCGTGCCCCCTGTCGCGGCGGCCGACGCCATCATCGAGTGCATCGAAGCCGAGATCCCCCTAGTCGTCGCGTACGCCGAGGGTATTCCCACGCAGGAGCAGCTGAAGGTGCAGCGCGCCCTGCGCTCGCAGAACAAGACTCGCGTCGTTGGCGCCAACTGCCCCGGCGTCATCTTCCCGCACGAGCGCGTCAAGCTCGGCATTCAGCCGCTGCACGTGCACTCGCCGGGATGCGTCGGCATTGCGACGCGCTCGGGTACGATCTCATACGAACTCGCGGCGCAAACGACCGCGCTCGGCCTCGGCCAGAGCGCAGTGTACGGCCTCGGCGGTGACCCGTTCCCGTCTACGCGCACATGGGAAGCCCTCCAGCTCATTCTGGAAGACCCCAAAGCCAAGTTCGGCGTGCTTGTCGGCGAGGTCGGCGGACAGATGGAGGAGGAGGCTGCTCAGGTGTACCTCGACTACTTGGCGAACTTGAAGCCAGGGGAGGTGGCTAAGCCGATTGTGGGCTTCGTTGCGGGCGCCGCGACTGAGCGTGGCCTCATGTACGGGCATGCGGGCGCGGTCTGGTGGGAGCAGAGCGAAACGGCTGTCGCCAAGCGCCAGGTCTGGCGGGATGCGGGCTTCATCATGGCCGACACCCTCGGCGACCTCGGGCCGCTCATCAAGGAGACCGCGGACAAGTTGGGTCTGTAACGTTCTGGGTTTATGTTGTTAGCTTAGCATCAATGCACGGTTGGATATAGTGTGAGGGGTGGCGAGGGCCAGCGTGTAGCTGTAACTGCAGGTCTCGTGTGAGTGGCGAAGAAGCCATACTGGCCACAAGCAAGCTGGGGCTGCGGTTAGACACACAGAGAGCATTACGACACACGTTGGGAGGTCCATGGACAGGGGATAAAATGCCATTCCTCTTTGCGAGTTCTGTGTAGTGGACAACGCAGGTCCTGCGTATTGAACAGCGCATGCAAACGATGGCAAAAGATATCTCGTGTAGGAAGCGAATCCTACTCGGTCCTCGCCGCGATTCGAACGCGGGGCCACTCCCATAAGAAACTGACGTCACCCTAAGAGAGTATGATAACCACTACACCACGAGGACAGATCGATATCTGCCTAAATATCTGTTCCGCCCAGTCCGGCAGTGAGGTGAAACAGCCCAAGCCTATATTGCTCAGCAACGACAAATGCCATACATCTTTATCCCCTCCTCTTTACGTTTTGAGATCTCATCACTATTCCTTGTTCCCTGGTGCAACTCCTACCACAACTCTCATGAAGCCTCTTATTTCACTCTCTTTGGCCCAAAACTGCGCAAGGAAGGCTGGCATTATGGGCTGCGCAATGCTCGTGACGTTGTCAGGCCAGCGCATGCTCGACACACCATGCACAGCGGCCAAACCCCTCGACGGCCACGCGGGCATATGACGAACCATGTGCTGCATCGACAACGTTTCGCGCTGGCTTCAGCGCACATGTGGATCTGAGCTTGTCCTCAGGTCGACAACTGACTTGCATGGTGCATGTTGGCGACAATGCATAGCTCTCATGGGAGATGATCGAACCCACGCTGCCCACCGCCAGTAGTGCCCTACTCACCCACCCGCGACATGAAACGTCACCCTAGGAGCATAGCGGAGTACCTCTGGCGCAGGGGGCAGTGGCGGGCCGCATCGAGAAACAAGCAACCCCACCATGGGGACGGCGTGATCTCGTATCTCGGAGCTCTCGTCGCCATGCCGGCATAGACTTCCCCTTGCGTGTGGAGCTGTGGTCCGCAGATACCCCAAGCAAGTGTGGCTGGCCATGTCGTAAGTGTGTTTGGAGTCGATTCGGCTCACCCAATTCCTGGACATGGGAAGCGGCATACCTCATCGATGCCGTACGCCACGTTCGCTTGGGCGCACAGGAGATGGGTGTGGAGAGGGAGGCATCTTGTCGGGCTCATTGGACATGTCGGCAAAGAACACGACGCCGCAGTTTCGAGGAGGTAGTGTTTCGGCTGGCCATCCAGTCCACTGAGAAGCTGAGATTGTGCTGCGAGTGCGCGGCAGCACATCAGTAGTGCCGCCGGATGAACATCACTCGATCAAAACGAGCACACTCGAAAGTCGGGCTCCACCCGGGAAACAATCGTGGTCCCAGCAAGCATGGCCGTCCTAGGCCAATGCTGGCCGGAAATTCCAGCCTATCGGCGAGAGATGGCTGAAACATTTTCTCAGTCTGCGCGGCAGAAATGCTGAGAAGGGGCCACGCTCAGAGGCAGAGATGGGCCACTCTTGATGGCCACACAGCTGTGCCACAGCGGTCGTGCACCCCACGGTGCTTGGCAGACCACGCCAGTTGTGCATGAAACGGAGAGCTAGGCACTGGCCCCGCCTGCTCGATCAAAGCCCACGCTCGCCGCACTAGCGTTGTGCCAGGCCGCCAACTCATTACGCCACTCAACCCAATGCATAGCCAAGGTAACCTTGATGGTGGGCGATTACAGCAGGCAACGTCACCATGCCATACTTGTGAGGTGTATTTGAGCTGTGTGGTTCAGAGGGTCATTTGTGGTGGTCATACACCCGCATATCTGCTTGCTGGAATCGCGGATATGAAACACGCTGAACGAGAACGATTTAGCGTGTTCAATTGCTTAGAACGTCGGCGTGACAGGTCCCCTACGCGGTGTGACTGTGGCGCTCTCCGACGTTTTGGTTGCTTCAAAAAGAGCTTCACAGAATGATCGGTTAGTAACTGGTCAAGGAACGCTATTCAGTCCGAGGGTAGAGTATCACTGTCCCGACTAGGCCAACTCTACTGGGCTGGCATCGGGAGGTGTTCTGGGGTGGAGCGTGCATGACGAAAGCCAGTAAGGGGAGGAGCGAAGCAAGAGAGCTAAAGCCCTGCTGCAGGGTGGTGCACGCCCTCATACACCCCCTCATGCGCACTGGGCACACCGAAGGCAGATGAGCCATGAACGAGTGTTTAGGTTGGCGTGCGCCCCGCCCGTGCCGGTCTGCCGAGAGGGAAGTGGCGTTCATCATATTATCATGCGGGCCGGGATAGGATCGCTCGGATCGACCATCCCAATTCAAACTATGCACTGTGCCTAGGGAAACTCATAAGCTGGGTCGAGCGGGACGACTTTGCTGCAGGTACATTCTTTTGGGGTGTCCCCGAGGTGACGCCGCTGCGGGAGTTCCGGAAACGCGCATCAGCACGTCTCGTTTCTGTCCCGTCGGTAACGCCGCATGAACCAAGGAGAGGTGCCACAACTTGGGAGTCGGACCAAGCGAAGTGGTTGCTGAGGGTTCCGCTAGGTGCAGGCAGAACGCAGAATAATCGGCGAGGGGACACGACGACAGAATTGCCTCCCTTCCCGATGGCGCTTTCCCCTGTACCTTCTACGTCTTCCCCTCTTCTTTCAAGGCTTGCCTCGTGCCAGAGGAACGCGCCACATGCAGACTCGTCAGCCAGCGCTGAGATCGACTAAGGGTAAAAGGAACAAGCCACCCCGTCCCGATGGCTGAGTGGATCGCCTCCACCGAGCACGATGCACCACACTTTCTTTGACACACCTGAATCCCCGGACTTGGGTCCCGTTTCTGAGCTCGTAATCTCGCAAGTATCGGGCAATCACCGAGTGCATGTGGCCGGGAGGTGATGCGAAATGGAGGTCTGTGAAAGCGTTGGACAGTCTACCCCCTGAGGCCACCGGCGCATCTCCCGCCACACGGTGAGACGCATTTTCGGCGGCCGCGTCGACGAAGACAGGCTGATTGACTGGCCATTTTCCCCGACAATTACCCCCGCCCTGCAACGTTTGTCTCAACCAAGAGCAAGTGATTGCATGCGAGGGATCGCGCAACCAGCCTTCTGGATTCGTCGCTTCCCCGAGACCCAGTGTTTGGGTAGATTGTGTTTCGGATCGTTGATTCCGCACCATGCTGCGTTGCCCATGGTCAGTTCGGGGTCGAGATTCAGCTCGTCTGATAGTTGTGTCAAGTTGCTGAATGACGGGCATGTGGCACCGACATGATGATGCGAAAACGACCAGCCTTCTCTCCGTTCCGTAACCCCTGGAGCAACAAAGCGCTTGTTTGATGTTTTGAATGAGACGACCTGCCGATCCACCAGGGTGGGAGGCGCCGTGCCGCTGCACGCCTGTGGTGGAGCCTCGGCATGGTCGCCATGCACCTGAAGGCTGGGAGCTTGGAGAGAACTCACATCGCAGGCCAACAAGCTTCACGGAGAGTAATCAATCAGCAATTGTGTAATTAGGCATGAGATCAGAGGAAGGGATGAGGAGGTCACCTGCCTGGCCGCTGGCCGGTGAGGTATTAGGGATAATGCGCTCGCGATATTGCTGCAGCCCCTTCCTGCCTCTTCCATGGAGGGTCTGTGTCGAATGGCTTCCCTGTCAATCATTTGCTGGCAACGCGGAAACACCCCCCGACTGCAGACTAGACAATTGGGGTGGATGAACGCTGGCTTACCGGGTGAGCATGCACAGAGCCCGATACTCGAAGAAAGCCGTCAGAAGCGAGCAATGCGTAGACGTGGCAAGTGGCAGGTGGCAGGTGGCAGTGATCGACGCGAAAGAGATGCGCGCGATCAGCGACGTCCGCCGACGAGGCCGAGCTTCCAAGCAACAGAAACGCCACCCCTCGGGGACCCTGACGAGGGACGCACAGATGCTTCCCTGGCAGAGCGGTGGACCCTCCCTGATCGACCTGGACCCTGTCCCCCGCTCTTTTCTGACAAACCCTGTCTTGAGGCATCCTCTCTTTCTCTCCCATCTTGCTCAGCTGTCTTAGCTCTCTCTCTCTCTCCCTTCTCCCCTTGCCCTGTCGTTGGTCTCCGAGGTCGATGCTCCCTAACAGCCCGTCGTTGCGGGTCGGGGGTTGCCCGTAGAGCTGGAGAGCTGGAGAGCTGTCGGCCTGCACTCACTCTGTACGGCTTTCGTCCCCCTCTCGCGATGCTCCCAAGTTAGCCATCAAGGAGTTGTCCCACTCTACAACGCCGGGACCGGGGACCGCAACCAGAACCCTCATTATCCCAGTCCAGGTCAGAGGTTGCAGGTAGGTCGCAGGTCGACTGCGCGCTTCTCGCGCTCCTCGTGCTCCTTGCTCCTTGACGCATACCGCCCATACCCGCCGCCCGCCCTCTAATCATGCCATGAACCAAGATGTTGGTTACACACCCTCTCCCCTCTTCCCCTCGCCGCAGCCACCAGTGCCGCGCGTGTGGCCACCTCCGCCTTTCTCCTCTCTCCTCTCCTCGCCTCTCCTCGCCTCTACCCTCCTCTCCCTTCTGCATGTCCTGCCAAAGCCCCTCTAGCCCACTGCCGCTACCCTCTTCTCACCTGATCGTCTGTGGTCTGGCCTACTCTTCCCCTTGCTCTTGTCTCCTCTTTGCTCCTCCTCGCCCGCCTCACTGGCTCTCTACCCTCACCTCCGCCATCCTATCCCCGTGTGCCCGCCGCCCGAGCATGGCCCATGGTCAGTCGCCTATCTTGATCATCTCGGCCGCGCTTCCTTCTACCAGTCAACACATCACTCATCTGAACGCCCGCGCAGCCCTTTTCCCCCCGACTCCTCCTGCCTTACCTTCTTTCTTCGCACATAACACAATCTCTCGTTCTTTTCATCTTTCTGAAGTCTTCTCCGCGACGGCGACGGTCGGTTACCAGCGCAGTGGTACGGTGACAAGAATATCACGGCAACAGCGTTACCATCGGCCTTCTGATTTCGCCCCTCCCCCCCCCCCCGGAGCACGCACAACAATTCCATATTCAACCTTCTATGATTGGGAACGGGCATCGACTTGACACACGCCCTCACGTACTCCTCGTCTGAATTTAAAGAGTATATATTCCTCCCCTTCAACCCAGAAGGACTCGAACGAGAGCGCAGTGACGGCCTGACGACCGGCAACGGCACCAGCGCGTGATCCTCCCGTCTTTTGGGTCCCCCGTCTTTCGCACTAGCTCCGCCTTCCGGCGACCGACCGCAAGTCCAACTGCCCGCAGACGCCGGACCGCGGCTCTAGCACCGAAACGTATCCCGGCGGGTCTTGTCCTACATCATCATCATCGTTCCACCGAGGGTTCCCTCACATCAACCATTCCATCCATATTGGTGCTGCTGTACGGCATAGCCTGCGACTTCTCCACTTGTCCATTCTCCAGTAATCAGCGTCGAGCAATCATCCAAAACCAGTCTCGTTGACGACTCAGGACCCTTGCGCGAGTAGTGGTTAGCCACGATCACCATCGCAGCCTGCCGACGACACTTTCCACGAGCCTCGGAGCAACTTATTCCGCATTTCGTCGGACAGGTTTGGAAGAGATGCAGAGCGCTGGCGTGGGAGCACCACCAGGAGGACCACCGCCACCCGGGCCGCCAGGCGGACCTGGAATCCCTCGCGCCTCCACCGATGACGGAGACAACCGTTCACGAAACGCCAAAGCCCAGCGCCGCCACCGCGAAAAGCGCAAGGCACACTTCAAGGCCGTGAGTACATTTCATTCTCGAAGTGGCGCCCACATCTCTGGGGGTTCTTTACGGGGCCGCAGCGATCTAGGAGCAACTGGTGGCCTCCGTGATCAATGTGATTGCTGTTCTTCATGGAGTGATGAAACTGGAATTGCTCTTGCCACTCGAAAAAGGCTGACGCCCTCGCCGCTCGATTTAACACCTCCGGGTAACGATCCCCTACTCCCATATCCTCCCCTTAATGCCTACGGCATCGACCTCTTTAACAGCTCGAGGAGCAGGTGCAAATTCTAAATGCGCAGCTCGAAGATGCGCGGCGACAACTAGCGGCTGCCCAGTACGCCAACAACGCTCGTCTCGCCTACTCGCCCGACGACAAAGGGATGCAACAACTAGTGTCCGAGAATGCCTACCTCCGCGAAGAGAACGCCGACCTGCGCCGCCAGGTCTACTCTTTGCGAGTGAGTTATGGAGGACGCGATCCGGGCTCGGCTGGACCACTCCCACCACCACCACTACCACCGGCGGAACAGCCGAAGACGACCACTGGCATCTGGCCAGAGGTCAAGGCTGAGGCGGCACCCTATGGTGTTTACAATGCACCCGGGAGCGCAATGGTGTCGTCACCTCGCATTCCCGGTTCTTCGCATGCCCGCACTCAGTCACACCCCGGTGAATTTGTTCGCGTGAGTTGTTAGCTTGGATGAGCTGTCCCGGTTGTTCGTCATCTTGAGCGGGTTTCGCAACGTTGAAATGGAACACTTTTAACGCGACAGCTGACTTGGCAGGACCCCAATGCAGAGCCATCGAGTGCCAGCTCGTCGTATCCACCACCTCTCTATCAGTTTGGGTCTGTGGTCGGGGACGACTTTCGCGGAGCAGACCCCTCTCGCCACCAGCCGCCCAGAGGGTCGAGCTCAAGCTCCTCCAGAGGTCGCTTGATGTCATCGTCTTCGGTAAGTCATGATAGTTGTTATTGCAGTTGTTTGGATTAACGTCAAGGCGCCCTCGGCTTCGCCGTACGTGACATCAGCTCCCTTCCCGACCGACCCAAGAGCACACGCATTGGGTGGGACGCCGCAGCAGCCCTACCTAGTCCGCTATGAGTCGGCAGTGTATCCTCCCGCCGCACCGCCTCCGCACAGCTTGCCTCGCTCGGCTGTTGGATCGGGGAGCAGCGGAAGCTACGCCCACGCCACGACGCCAGTGCAGGCCTATGTCCCCCGAGCAGAAGGAGAAGTGGCCTGGGGCCAGGACGTGAGTTGGGCGGCGCCCGTTGGTGGGCCGCAGCCCTGACATTCGACACAGCCTGCTGCAACCGCTGCGGTTCAGCAATCCCATTCGAGTTCCGCGACAGGCTTCTCCGCCGCCGAAGCTGGTTCGACGTACGCAGCAGGCTACGGGCAGCCACCGCCGCCTCCGCCTCCGCCTCATCTGCACGAGTAGCGTGACAGCATTCCGTGGTGCTACCCATTTGTTTCGATCCACAGCATACCCTTTCCCCCTTCTTTTGCGCAAAGACTATAGACCAGAGCCGCGGCAAGATGACGCGGCTGCAACACGGGCAACTCTCGGATATTCTGGCATGGACATGGCCCGCTTTTGTTTCGCCTCCTTTTGGTTGCTCCCCGTTCTGTCTCGCCGCCTTTCCCGCTCCCCCACCCGCGCCCACCCGCGCCCGTCGTCCCCGTACCCACAACAGTGTTATAACTAGGAGCGAGTAGTCGGAACGTGTAAGAGTTGATTAGATATATAGTGCCAGCTGGTGGGCGCCACGCAATTCGGCGGAGGATGGTGCAGCGCCATCAATTCGCTGACCGGTCACCCTGGCTGCGCGCGACGCACATGTTCGTTTGTACAATTGACAGTGGCGCAAACTGTTTTTAATTATGCATGTGTTTGTGTTCGATGCACGGGGCGGTTTGAATGTGTGCATGTCTCGGGAAGCCATTAGCGCGTAATACACACAGGGGATTGTTAATCCGGCGGCTCGGCGGGCGTACTGCGGACCGAGTGGAAAGTCACGAGGTCGAGATAGGACAGGTAATGACTGCAATGCTGATGCTATCCACCTGCACCTCTTCACCTGATCGCGAGGGATAGTTTAGGTGGAGCGGGCAACATGTGATGACTTCCATTCCTTACTTGGTTTCTCCGATCAAACACTCGTCACGAGGTTGGTGCAGTGAGCATTTTCTGGCACCTGGCGCCTGGCGGAGCGAGGTCGCGTCGCCGCAGGCGTCATGTTGCGGCGATCGCCATTATCAAAACAGCCCGGTGTTCCCGCTTCTCGTCTTCTCATAATGGCCCGCTCACGCTTATTACTCGCATGCGTTACGGACGAACCGAGGCATGCAGAGTCATCGTGACTACCCTCTGACGCCACCAATCACTCTCCCTATCACCAGGCACTCGCCATCCCAATCTCTCCACACACGCCGCCGATCGTGCCTGCCAGTTCCTGACGGACCCGAGATGAGGCCAGGTGTGCGCGAATGCGGGATGCATGACCTCATCCGCAATGTTCGATGTCTGCCCATCCTCCACTCCTTCACTCCGCCACTTCTCGCAGTCAAATGGCAGGCTCACAGGCCAAGCAAAAAACATGGCATGCAGCCGCCAATTGGTCAAGAATTGGAAGCAGAGCCAGGCCAGTCGCGAGGGTCGCGAAGCCAACGCTGAGGATGCGTGCCAAAAGGTTGGGTGTGCGGAGCAAGGCTCGGCTCGTGACGTCGGCGCGAAAACATCGTACGATGCATTCGCGTGCACGCGATGTGCCCCGCCTAGACGCCGCGCTGGTCGCTGGTCGCGGTTGCTCGTTGCTGGGCGCCGCAAAGTTCATGGTGCCGGAGGCACCGGCACCTTCGAATGCAGGGTGAGGTACGCCCCGCTGTGTTCCTGCTAGGGCCCGGTCGCGGGTGCCGTGGCGCCCACGCGAGATCAATATCCGGTTCAAGCCTGGCCAGGTCTGGATCTCGAGTATTATGCGGAACGAGTAGAGTGCAGATCTGGACTAGATCTTAACTTCACGTCTGCACTCCACAACGTTCTCCTCTGCATACATGTCGTCGGCTCACACACAACACATGAAGCGCCTAGTCAATCGGTGCCTCCTTTGCAGTTCTTGTCACCGAGCTCCGGTAATTCAGGACAAGCGATTTATCAGGTCAGCTGATGGCGCCCACATCAGTATAAAATCGCTATGGCTTAGTGGAAGAGCGCGGGGCTCATATGCGGCGACCCCGAGGTCCCAAGATCGAGACTTGGTGGCGATAAGAAAGAACAGCGCGACCTTTTTAAACGAGAGACGAAGCGCACACACCCTCGATAAGCGCTCGGGCAGCGGCAACTGACCCCAGACGGTACAGGAGGTCCGAGCGGCGTTGCTGGCTGTCACAAGCTGTGTTGCCCCGTGCGCAGCAGCTGTGCTGTAACTTCAAAGGAATTAATATCTTACAGGCTACACAGAGTATGACGCAAGGCAGGCGGGTGGAGGACAGATTGGTGGATGGCGGCAGATGCCAGTAACTCGTGAGTGGTCGTTCTAATCATGGGCCGGCGCCAACAGCAATCTAAACTTACCGGATGGGCTTGACTAGGCGTCTCGAGATCTGAGAGATCCAGCAAGAGGGGGGCTGCACTGAATCGGCCAGGTATATGGCAATGGGACCGTAATCGGGTGAGGGTCCTGATTAGTCGCTGCTCGAAACGCCTTGATGGTCTCCTCGCGGTACTTGAGGTATGTTGGGATCAACAGTGCCGGGCGGACACGCAGCGCCGGCTCCACTGCCTTGCTCATGTGAAACTGATGAGCGAATAGGCGGGGCAGGGCGCGCGACGTGTCCAGCACCTGCGCGAGGTGCTCCAGCATACTGTTGAGGCCACTGTGGTCCATGGCTGGGTGTCGCTTGCCCTCGTCGAGGAGCTGGAGCGCTATGACGGCGAGCTTGATGTTGGGGAGCTGCGGCTTAGGTCGGATGTTTAAGGCAGGAGTGTGAGTGGGCTGACCCGTTGGCGGGTTTTGCTGCGGCACCGCGAACGCGGACGAGAGTGCCAGGCGCCCGATGGGCCGGGATGGCATGGGAGAAGAGGCCAGCCCTGTGGCAAGCGAAGGAACAGAATTGTGGGCGGGTGTTTGGGTACAGCTGGCAGCGGCCTGAGGCGTTGTGGGTACGATGGCGTGAGGTTGGTTGCCCATCACTTTCGGGGGTTTGAGGCCGCCGTTGAGCAGAGGATTGGATGCGATGCGCATTGACCGCTGGCCCTCTACGGACGGGTATGATGGCGCCTGCCAGTCGTGAACAAATTGGGTGAAGTAGGCGATCTCCTCCTCGGGAGTGGCAAACTTCATAGCTTGGCGAGGGAGCTCGGCGTTGGTAAGTTGCCTCCCGGGAGTGTAGGGGTTGCGAGCAAGGGGGGGATTGGCCTGGCCGTTCACGACAGGGGACTCAGCGTCCGGGCCGCTTAATTTTGGCGCTAGAGTGGCGAAGAAGCTGCGCTTCGCGGGCGACTGGGGGAGATGGGCGCGGCGAAGGCTGTCAAGATGGGGCAGCTCTTCGTGCCAACAGTAGGACGCTGCGACGAAGAAGAGGTGGGGGTCGTCATGGAAGGGGTTGAGAGAGGGCGGGTACAAGATGGGTGTTACGTCGGACATTATCGAGATGGACTGAGAAACAATGTGAAATGTCGTTGTCAACAGGCGGAGGAAAGGTGAGGGTGGCGAAGAAGAGGTGATGGAGTGTCGTTAGCGTAAGTGAAGTACGAATCGATTGTTGTTTCCACACGAGGGGGGCGAGTGTGTGGTGATGGGTGTGTGGTGATGGCGGGCAGTATGTTTAGATCAAAACGTTTGCGTCCAGATTCTGTGGACAGCGAGCCTAACCCGCTGCCACTGCCGCCACTGTCAGCTTAGATAAGCTGTCGAGAGACTCATCAATGATGCGTTCGACTTGCCATTGTCTTCTGCTTTTAGTGCTGCATGTAGCCAGATCGGACATGGGCAGCAACACCAACAATCAGGGAGCGAGACGGCAGCTCATCTGGGTGATGGCCGCAGAGCTGCAAGCTCAAACGCAGAATGCTTGTGATTGCAATATCTGCCAAGGCAGAACCCCTCGTTCCCGTCAGTCGTCGAATTACAACCCTGCCATGCTCCAATATGATATGTGATACAGCCTCAGATTCCTATCAACTTGAAGACCAACCTACCGCCCAAGAAGCCGGATCTCCAGCGTGCGGAAGAGGGGGTACATGACCGCGGTGAACCCCGACGCTAGCTCGAAGCCGATATCCCCGCCCTGTGCTCCGCCAACCTTAGCACCCAGTGGGCCAGTGTACCACACCTGGCTCATGCCAACGACTGCGCCAGCCACGCCAAACCCAAAAGCACCCAGTGCGCCCAGACCCCACGGCAACCTGGTGCGGTCGTTCCACGTCTCCTCGGCGTGGTAGTTGGCGAACTTGCCGCGTTGGAAAATGAAATGTTCCTCGATAACAACGGTGACGAAGATCGCGAGCCAATAACCCAATACCCCCAAAAAGTACTCCAGCGTGTCGGCGAACGCGTTGGCACCAACAATCGCGAGCGGAATGTAGATGCCGGTGATGACGAGTGGCCAGATGAGCCGCGGCACGACCTGGAGATATCGTGTGATTACTGAAATGCTCATGCCCATCGAGTAGACGTTGATGATGTTATTTGCAACGACCGAGAGGACAAGGAGCACCATGAAAAACTTGCCGCCGCCACCCATGGGCCGCACCATCACCTCGTACAGAAGGCCGCCGAGTTCGTGTTCCTCATATCGTGCGTACCACCCTGCGATCGCTGTACCTGCATTTGTCGGGTCAGCGCCGGCCAGGGCTGCGGCAGCAATGGCCGCGGCGAGCCACATAACCAGCACACAAGGCACCGCGATGCCGAGGTATGTCCACATGAAGACTTGCCAACTAGGTGCGTCCGACGGCATGTATACGTTGTAGTCGGAGGCGAGGGATACCCAGCCGATGTTGAAGCCCCAGATAACGCCGCCGAAGGATAGAACGCTCGCGGCTTCGGCGCGCCCAAACGCCATCGGTTCATTGACGAGGTGCTTAGCAGCGACACCGATGATGACAAAGAATGTGATGGCGGTCGGAACCCAGGCAAACTGCTCGTACATATGTACGTGCCGGTATCCAAACATACCGACGATGAGCGTGCCTATCGCGATGATGACAGTGCCGACTGCGGCGGAGAAGCGCCACTCGCCCACAGCGCACAGTGCCTGAGCACCAGCGATGGTGTTGGCCGTGGACCAGCCGACGCACGCGATGCAGTTCAGGAATGCGACGCCCTTGCTCCCCCAGTATCCCCACGAGTAGCGGGAGGAGGTCATCTGCCGCAGACCAAGACGCGGCCCAAATGTACTGCAGAAGGCCGGAAGCATTGCGGCGAAGACGACGAAAAAGAAGATCGTGAGCATGCTATCGCCGAGGTGCATGCGAAAAGTGAGAGGGCCGAGGATGCCGACGCCAAAGGTGGGAAGGACGCAGTTCGCCGATAGCCACACGGTCAGATTGCCCCAGAGGCGCCTGTCCGGCCGCTCATCATCCGGCACGCGCTCGATGCCACGCTGGCGTTAGCACAAACGGCGCGCCAGCATACAGCTTCGATCCCCATGGCAGTCTCGAGGCGCTGATTGTAGTAGCCTAAGCGCGACCACAGGCCAGCCTCCTGCCGCTGGAGCTCCGATTCGCTCGAGGACATCGATTCCGAAAGAGGCTGTTGTTTTTCGACGTCCGCCATGATGCAGTTGGAGCGCAAGTAGTCAGCGGGGAGAGAAGCCGGTTGTGGGTCGCTTGGTAAACGAAGGAGAAAGGATGCCAGCGGGCCCACCCCGCGCGAAGTGCAGGATGTTTAAGTGAGGTCTTGCGTTCAGTTTGCGCAGCGCAGCATGGTCCCCGATACTACGGGTCGCCGATAAATCTTGCGTCCCTGCTGGACGGTGACGCAGTCTGCGATGGACCTGTGGTGTGGAGGGGTGATGATCAAAGGGTCGTGTCATGACCACTCTACTTAAGTCTTAGCCGTCTGAGAGACCGGGACCGCATCGGATCCGCCGCTGTATCTCAATCACAGCGGCTCCCAGGATCCCAAAGCTGCGATTGTTGCAGATCGCGGTCGCAATGCAGAGTCGCGGTGATTATATGAGAGACTGAACGAAAGTGGAACTGACGGCGACGAAGGTCGCCGTTGCCCTGACTGCGCTGATAAGGAGATTGGATTTCGCCGACCAGCTCACGGCCGCGGATCAATAATAGACTTGCGACCTCTGGAAGCGCAGGGCTTCACATTCGGACTGAACGAGCTGTTATCATCACCTGGTCAGCTGGCTAGCAATCACGAGATAAGGGCACTTCGAGGTGCTGAGATACATGCACAAATTATTCCATACTGCCATCGCCGGGTCACAAACGAGTGCATGATATGTACAATGGTATTGCTGTATGCGGGGTATGCTGTAATACAACGTTAGGTGTCGTCCTCCGCGACTGCAGGAAGCTGGTGCTCATACAACTTCAACAGCAGATCCATTCCTTCCTCGAGTGGCAGTGTGACGAAGCGGTGCGAGTAGGCGGGCAGCTCGCCCAGCGCCTGCTTGATCTGCGGGACCATCATCGCCGCGTCACCAGTCACGTCGCCCATCGCCCGCAACTTGGGAACGGGATTGTTGAACGGTCCCTCCCCGCGACGGTGGTACCGAATGAGGGGGAGAGGCTCATCAGGAGGGCCAGGCTCGTCACGCTGCCGTGTGCGCACATCACCACGGCGCTTGGCGCGGTCGAGTTGCTGCTGGTCAATGCCACGAACGAGCTTGCGGAACGAGTTGAACGCGGCTTTGAGGAAGTTGGGCATGATCTTAATGTCGGCGTCCGTGTCGCCCCATGCTACGTCGAAGTCGTACTCCACCGTCTTTGGGTTGAGAAGCTCAGTCGAATCCATCCTGAGATTCTGATGTTAATTTTTATTAACGGTAAGACGACTCACCATCTTCGGTAGAATGGCTACGTTGTTCCATCCCTTAGCGACGGCCCGGTCGATGAGCTCCCGCGCGCTCATGTCGTGGCTTTCGAAGCGGGTGACGCGGTTGCCGTCCGCCGACTGCCACTGTAAGAAATCAATGTAGAGCAGCAGCTCGCGGAGCGGGAGTCCGCCCTCAGAGCCCTGCCGGAGCAACTCTGCGCGCACAGTGCCAATGAAGAAGCGGTAGAAGGCCACGACATTTGTATCGTCGAAGTCGTCAGAAATAATCCCGACATCAAGGCCCGCCAGCTCAAAGCGCATGCGCTGAGCGGTGCGGACATGGTCTTCAGCGCCGGTGGCGTCCGTCTGCGGCTTCATAGGAAGAACAACAGTCGTGGTTGGCATTTGGTCCGACGAACGCTTCTGGCGTCGCTTAAACGCATCAGACCGCTGCGAAGCAATGCGCTTTTGCACGTCGGCCATGTCGAAGATGCTGTAAAAGTTGCCGAGAAGGCGAGGGATCGCAGGCAGTCGGAGCACGCCTGAGAATTTGCCCGCGTTCACGATAAAGTCAAGGTGCACCTGGCCAGATGGGTTTGTCGCGAGCTCCTTCCAATCGTCCACGAGTGTGACGACTGACGGCTCAAGCTGGAAGCGCACGATGTTCGTGTCAGCAATGAACAGATTGCCACTGAGATCGCCGCCTTCGATCTTCATCTGGAGCAGCTGTGAATCGCCCGGCTGAATCGTGGCGCGAGTGGAGCGCCGCACGGTTGAGAACTTCAAGCTCTCGGAGCGAAGATTACCAGATATGTCCCCCTCCGCAGTGACGAGTGTTGTCCCGATGCTCAAGTCGAGCTTGGACCGCTCGCCGTCCGAGACTGTGTTGATGATGATTGGAGTCATCTCGAGGCGAGCCTGCGTGACGGAAACGTTAGCGTCAAAGTCGATGCTGCGGAAGCGCATCACTACCGCCACGCCCAGCTTGCTGCTCGCGACAGGGTTAACAGGTATAGTAGGCGATTCAGTAGGTTTCTTGACCTCGAACTTTGGCGCAGCGTCGACCCACACGGCCATGAAGATGAGCCAAGCACTAAACGCATCGAGGCGGAACTTGACGCCGACTTGGGTGTCGACAACAATGGATAGACCGCGCTGTTGCGAGTCCTGCACTGCGTCGGCGTCGCAAAGGGCGAGGTTGAACACAAGATCCTTCGCACCTGCCTCAATGCAGCCCTGGCCTTGCTCGGCGAACTCGTGAGACAGGTAAGCTGTGACGCCCGAAACAGAGCCAGATAACGTTGTCGTGTCCTTTCCCCCCAGTAGAGTGGACGCAACAAAGCCGCCGCTTTCCCACTTGAGATCGACGAAGGCGCTTGAGTCGGGTGCGCACGACAAGCGAAGTTCGGATCGATCAATGCGTAGCGTGACTCGTAACCGGAGCTTGCCTGTCGGGGCCTCGGCGATGCGCTCCAGCGCGCGTTCTGTGATTGGCAGCGCTGACTCGGGCGAGGGCTTAGGCTGCTCCATGGGATCCGGCCTACACTTGGCTCTACGCTCGACACGAGTGACAACGTCCACGAAGAAGGGCAGAATAGTGGGGTGCAGCACGTTGTGGCTCTCGTGCACCGCGAGGTTGAAGAGCAGGGTACGCTGGTGGTCATCTGTGTTCTCCGTGCCCGAGTAGTCCGCGTAGACGGAGACGGTTGGGAGCGTGAACTTGTCCAGGTTCTGTTCCTTCGCCCATCGCCCGGGCTTCTGGTGCGTTGACATCCTGCGCTCCTTGGCAGTATGTGCAGCCTCGTTCGTACGGTGAAGTTCGACAACACCGCTGTCGAAGCGGCACGACACTTGCACGTGAACCTTCTGTGGGCTACCCACTGTATGATCTGCTGGCAAATCGTACTTCTCTGCCAGCGAGTCCGGCTGTTGGTCCGGTCCCTCAAACTTGGCCCACTCAGCGCGGTAGTCGCGCTCCATCGCAGACAGGTGCTCCTTGCCATGCTCGTATAAGTCGGCCAGGCGCGCAATTCCGTCTGCAATGTCGGGCGTGAGGGAGAGCTTGAAGTCGGAGGCCGTGCAGTTGGCAATGACGCTGAGCGAACCTGGCGCTGAGCTCATCTGAGCCTCGCTCTCAATGGACGGTAGCTCCATATAGTTCGTCGCGCGGTGGTACGTCCCCTGGAAGCTATCCGAGGTGCCTGAGTCGAACTTCTCAACGAACTGCAGCAAAGTCTGCTGCACGCGGAACCGCGCCGTCTCCGTTCGACTGGTTGTGAGGCTGATGAGGCGAACGGAGTATAACAGTGCCGGACCAGATTCCCCACCAGCGCGTTTGGCGACGTCGATAGGGGCTGCCTCGTCCAAGGGAATAGCGATACCAATACCGGTGACCTCGAGAGTGAGGAGGCGCGAGGCGAACCATGTCTCAATACCCGCGCTGCCCTCAGACATCCCACTCGCACTACCGCTGGACGAGATGCGTGATCTTTCCTTCTCCTTCTCCCGCTCCTTGTGTGCGGCATCGAGCTTCTTCAGAACTCGCGTGGTCTGCTCTTTGACCTCTGCTACCTCGTCGTGGTGCACCTTGCGCAACACGGCGATATCCGATGACCAGCTTCTGATCAGATCGCCCAACTCGCTCAGCGCTGCCACGTGCATAACAGTGTGCACCCGCGACAACGTGATGTTGAGTTTGGACGGCGTGCGTAGCGTGCCAGGAGTCTCTTCGGCGGAAACGTCGAGCACCATGGAGACGGAGCGCGTGCCGCGAAGCGGTTCGGCAGCTTGATATGATGGTCCGTCGGCCATGCGGATGATCGAGAGGCCGACATGATTGGCTTTGGCCGTCCACTGGAGTTTGGAGGCTTCAATGTTCGATGCAGAGCCCTGGAGCCGGAGTGCCTCAAACATGAGTGTGGGCGGGACATTGTCCGCGCGCAGGCCGACACGGACACCATCCACACTGGCCTGAATACGGAACTCGAGGGGCGACTTGACTGGCTTCGTAAGGAGGGTAGGTGGAACGTCCAGATGAGGCGTGGACTCCTTCGAGCCCCGCACTTCACGGATAACAGCGAGCACATCATTGCCGAGGCGCTGGTGTAAAGAGAGCAAGCGGTCGAGGACAGCCGGTTTGAGTATACCAGTGAACATGCCGAGCTTGACCTTGGCAGAGAGAGAAGGGTGCTGCTTCGGATCGCGGTAAGTCGCTGTTATCGTGATGGACGGGAGATGAATGATGGATGAGTCCTTTGTCTTGACGCGATTGACGGAGGGATACGCGCCAACGACCTGCGGCGCCACCTGCAGACCAAATTGGAGATGATCTGGTGAGCCATTCCTGTAGGCATACACCTGACCCATGTCCCAGCCAAGCCAAAGCCTTTTGGCTGCGCGAGCCTGCATGCGTGCGGAGCGCACAACAAGGTCGAGAGCCATTGAGCGCAGGACTGTACCACGCTGAGGCTGGACAGGACGTGCGTGCGGCGACGCCTCTTGGAATGCCTTGCGACGCTCATTGACCACTTTCGTGTGCTCGATCGTTGGCACGTAAAGCGGGTAATGGCTGCGTCGCCAGTCCTGCCCGAAGTCAAAGAAGGCTTTGAGTTGCGGGCGTGAGTCAAACTCGAAGGCATCCACGCTGAACGCGAGTCGAGCGGAGCCACCCTTCGGGTCGAAATTGTCCATCTTCGAGTCCGCAGTGCATCCGACCCCGCGGATCACGGACAGGACGAGTTCACGATCCTTGTCCTTTTCGGTGTCGTCTGGAATAATGTCCACGGCCTCACGGAGAGTAGCGCGCACAAACTGGCAGTTGAGCAAGAAGGCGTTGCGCTCCACGCAGCGCGACTCAGCGATGCCTTCAGTACGCCGGCTGCGCTCAACGGTGGTTGATGCTTGAGCGCCGGTGAAGACGAAATCGAGACGCATGCCCCCCGCCGAGACGGCCGCAGAGAGATCGCCAAGGTGGACGTCCACAACCACCCTGGACGCCTCGTCAATAGCGTGCACCACGGGCAGTTCATGGATCGCCTCGCGGTGGGTGTCGATATGATCGAGCACGGCATCATAGGCGCTCACAATGCTGTTATGTAGATCAACAGCCAAACGGCCAACAGTGATCAAAGCTTGGAATGTAGTCATCGGCAGGTCGCCCTCCCACACCAAGTGCCGATCGCTTCCGAATGTCACGTTTTCGATAGTGATCGCGCTGGCAGCGATGGCGCCAGTTTCAAGTAGGCGGCCGTAGTGACGGAGCAGAAGAGCATCAATTCCGAAAAAGACAGTAACCGACGAGTCCATGCGCGACTCGGGTGTGAGCCCTGCGCGGTCGAGGTGCTTTCCAAAGGCCTTTCGGAGATAGGGCTGCGCAAGAAGAACGTGCTCATTGACAGTGGGCTCGTCGAGACGGAGGAGCCATTCCATCACGTTCTTGGACATCTCCTCCTTGGGCGGTCGCTGTGGAGACGACTCGAGTCGTTGCCTCTCCATGCGCATCCAATGGCGCAGACGGGCAATGGTAAACCAGCCGATGTCCTGCCGCAGGCTTCGTTGATCGTTGAACTGCAGCGCGTACGAGCTTTCGTACATAAAGTTCGGGAGTGACATTGTCAAGCCCTCCTCGACAGTCTCACTCAGGACATCGTAGATGACGTCCGCAACGCAGAGACCGGCGCAATGCGAAGGAAGCGTTTCCACCACAGGCTTCCAGGTATCAACGAGGTATGATACAACTGGAACGCCGGGGGTTGCGGCCTGCAACATGCAGTCAAGCGCCTTGAGCTGGACAGTTTTCTTCCCTGGCTCCTCGTTGAAAGTCGCATGAAGTCGCGCGGCGGCCAGCCGGACGTACGGCAAGATACCGTCACCACGAGGAGCGGTATCAAAGTTCGGCACATCTATGAGCGACACATTGTTGTGCGATGTATCCTGCTTCAGGAGCGTCACGCAGAAACCGCGCACTTCAGCGGTCGCCGACGAGCTGGTGGCCGTCGAGTCAGGTACGGGCGTTTCCAGGAATCGAACTGCCGGCGAGTCCAGCGTGCAATGAACGATAGACTCAGGGTGCTGAAAGCTACCCAGCACAAGGCGCAGGTCAACTTGAGGCACACTCACGTCGTAGAGAGTCGACCCCGCCTTCTTGGCGCTCTTGAGAACCGCCGTTACGTGGTCATCAAGGAGCCTGTCCAGAAGAACCTCGCGCGGCACTGCGGCAGTGCTCATCCCGCCTGAAACATTTGCAACCGCGCGCAGTGTGTCCGGGTTGAGCTCAATTATTGTCTTGTCAAGGTTGATGCGCATTATGCTTCCGTCCGTAATAGTCAGCGGGATGAACGGTTCACCCTGTGCGTCTGCGCTGCACATTGCGGGCGGGGACTCGGAAGGGTAATCAAACAGGCGTGCCGCTCGTAACTGGATCTTCCTGATGGTCTTGAGGCGATCTTCCAGCACGGTCGCCATATCCTCAGATTTGGATGGCCGTGCTGTTGTGATTACCTCCTCGGACAGAGCATCATCGATAGGTGTGACGGTATCGTATGACTCGGATGAGGAGGAGGCTTGGTCGTTGACCGACGAGAAGCGCTCCTCGCGAGCAGCCTGCTGAGCACGTTTCTTTCGCGCGATGCGGGAGTGTGAAATTGTGTGAGACGCGCCATTGCTGTCGGTCTCCGAGTCAGATGACTCATAAGGGGGGTCGTCCTCAACAGCTGTCTGGAGGGGCTCGAAAACTGGCAACTGCACGAGCTGAGGGCGGGGCACATATACGTCAAACAGATGTCGCCCATTGACGCCGTCATCGTACGCCCCATACAGGTAGGGTATCCGCCGCGTCGGCTCATCCTCCTTCCGCAGGAATTTCTGTTGCTCGGCGGCCTCCTCCTCCCATCCCTTCGGCATCTTGTAGGTGTCAAGTGAGAGGCCCGTAGATACTGAGCCGACAGGCTCCCAGCGCTTGGTCTGTTTGCTCCTATGCAGCACATGCACAGCCACACTGGGGACACCAACGCCCATCACCGACCTGCATGACTTGGAAGCCATGGAGCTTGTGTCAATGAACAGACCTTTGGACAGCTCCACGGCGATTCCAGAATTGCCCGAGGAAAGGAGCGCAGTGACGTGCGCAACGGATACCTTGACGAACGTTGCTGGCGTCAGCTACCCAGTGCAACTCAACTGCCTACCATCTGGAGGCGTCTCGGATATATAGACAGACGCCGGCGCGTTGTCGTGGTCGGTCCAATTGTACCCCACGGCCGTGCCAACTGACGCAAGTGTCTCCTTGAACGCAGGTGAGAGGAAGGCAGAGACACGAGGGACTGAGATCTCCCACAAACACACATATGTGGTGGCTTGGGGCTGTGGCCCAAATAGGCGATTTGCCTTGATTTCAACGCCTGGTGTCAGCAAAGACCTAGGTAAGGAAGCTCACCTTCTACAAATACAACATCTTGGTCTCGCTGGAGAGGCGCGGAGAGCTCCACATAGCTCTGTGCGATATTATTACAGGCAACATAATAAGTCGGGGCGATGTCAAGGGACATTTCTGGGGTAAGCGAATCACACTGGGCGGAAGCTCACCCATCTGATACTCGTTGTTCTTCAAGTCAAGTTGAAGCTGGGGAACAGGAGCGGCGATGCCCTTAGTGGCGGAGTATATCTGATCGGATAACAAAACAAGGGAGTCACGTACGTCCACGGTGAGGTGGATTGCGAATGGGTCGGACTAGGTGTCAGCTATCGGCCCAATGTGGAAGCGCACTTTGCCTGGGCGATACTTCTCTTCGATGGGATCGCCCACGGCCTCTCGGCTGTGATCAAACTTTTCGAGGAACTCCTGCATCGTGGAGAATTGGGTGAACTCGCCAAAGTAGTTGTCTTTGACGCAGAACATTCGGCGAATGACCCAGCCCAAAGCAAGAAAGGCGACGCCCTCGGCTTCGATATGCAGCTTGAGCTTCTCAACGTGGTCGGGTTGTGGCCGAGCATAATACCGGTACGAGCCGGAGACTCGTATGTCGCCTATCCGGCCAACCTCGAGGGAGGGTGTGCCATATGTGCGATGGGTGTCCCAGCTGGGCAGGGACAGCTCAACAATGGCGTTCTTCGCGTCGACGGTGAAAGGAACAACGGAGAACTCGGGGCGGTATCTTGTGGACGCCACGGCCACATATGCGTCCATGCGTGGGCCTTTGATGTCCATGAAGGCTGACGTTAGCTGGACCGAGAGTTGACTCACCGTTGTGGTCTTTGGAGCGGGGGACGTCCACAATATTGAAGTCGTTGATGTACAAGTGAATGATATGCTTGATCAGAGAGAATCGGAAGCTGTAGTGCATGGGCACGAAGTGTCTGAAGTCTCCGATTGTGCCCGAGCTCCAGTCTTTGGAGAGGTCCGCAATCAGAGCAATATGTTCGCGGAGTAGCCAGATTTCCGGCGTGTCGAGGGTGATGTCAATGCCCCAGTTGCGTTGCGCGTTCCACACGAGAGGGTTGGGCATGGTCATGGACAACTGGTTGTCAGCTAACGCCTCAATAATAAAGTTCACCTTGCATGTCTTCGCGACAACAAACGTCTGCAAGTTGACACTCGAAGCAATGCTCAGTGAGTCAAGATGCAACATCAACATGGAGTCGTAACCCTGTTGCGTCGCAATCTGCGACTGGGTGTACCCGACGGACGAATTAGGGCCAACCTCAACATCAAGCCAACCGTACCGTCGCTGCGTGTCTGGCTTAGCATTGTCCCACTGCCAGTCCTTAGACGGTTCTCGAGTGGGGATTCGCAGCGTCGTCTTCTCTGTCATGTTGACGTTGACGGCGAGGATGGCGTGAAGGCGTTTGTCGCCAACCTTCAGACGCGCCCGTGGCTCAGAGTCGAAGAATATGGACGGGGTGAAAGCCTTCTGCAGGGCATCACGCTGTCTATCTGTCCACGGTCCGTAGTTGACATTGCCGCCGTGCAGGGTGACGTCAACGCCCCATTCAGGTGGGAGTTCGATGTTGCCGATTGTGTCGTTCAGATCGACATCGAGGCGGTCTATGACCTCTGGCACCACCCCTGGGGTATCGGAGTAGTAAGTGAAATCGAGGGCGCGCGTCGAGAGAATGGTTGCGACTTTGGCATACTGATTCTCTTGTGCATGCAGATGCACGCCCTCGACTTTCTCGTCTGGCAACCTGTAACGTGCCAAGCCTTTCCACACGCGGTCAGCTGGCAAGCCAACAACCGGCGGTACAGATAGTCGTGGGTCGTACAAGAAGTCAAAGCGTTTCGCGAGCCAGTGAAATCCTGGGAAAGAAGAGATGGCCGATGGCGGTTCCAGTTGAATGCGGCTATCGCGCTCAACGAGATCATCATAGATCCGCTTGCCGTGCGCGAGAAGCGGACCAGAGTAATCAGTATTGGTGCGCATCAGCACAGTCACGTCGGAAAGTGCCATGTTGATCGACATGCGGTATAGATCGCAATGCGAGCGCGGCTCCGAGATCTCGATCGTGCCATCTGCGCGCTTGTAGTCAACAATGAGCACCATAGGCGTCGCGTCCGAGCCGAGTACGACGGAGCCACTGTCGATCTTAATCTCGAGGGGCAGTGCCTCAGAAAGCCAGCTGAGCGTCTCTGCCTCTTGCCGATGCTCAATGCGTGTCTCGACGGGCTTGGGCACCTCGCTTGCTGGACTTTCGGGCTCGTTCGGCATAGACGAATGCCGGCTGTGGGGATGTGTGCGGCGCTGACGTGCAGCGGAGCGCGACGGCTGTGCGCTCGAGCTAGCGCTCTCGGTCGGGCTGAGCTCGCTGCCGTTGGCCGCCTTCTCTTGCTCTGCCTGTGCGGCTTCGTGCTTCTTCATGCGCTCGACGATCGCATCGTACGCCGGGGTTCTATTGAAGCAGAAGACCTCAAGACCATCGAGCTTGGCGGCGATCCGGCAAGGCAGACGTGCTGCAATCAGCGAGGTTCTTGGGCACGGATGACCGGGTTTGGGCCTTCCCAGACGCGCGCGGGCCAAACTCACCGCGCTTCGGGTTGGAGGACTGCGAGTCGCCCTCTTGCTGCACGCGCAGCTTCCAGTATCGAAACGTGATATTGCCATGGAGAACGCGACAGGACAGATTGCTCGAGTGATACTCTACGTCGCGGAAGGCGATACGGCCCGCTAGTGGTGATATTTGGAAGGATCCGATGACAATGTACGCATTGTATTTGCGCCACGCGACGAGTCGAATGACCCACGCAAGACAGGAGCCAAATATGCGGTTCCAGTAGAAGAGAAAGGCCGAGACAACAATGACCACGACAATGAGCTCGGCGAGGAAGAGCCAGTTGACGGGATTGCCACCCATAATGAGGAATTGGGATGATGTCGTTCGCGCAGGGGATTAGAAGCGCATGATCGCCGATGACGGCAAGAGAATGGTGGACAAAGACGGCCGTCGAGTTGGATGAGCGACAGCTGTCCCAGCCTTGTGAGAGGAAATGAGAGAGAGTTGTGAAGAATGGAGAGAGGTTGAGAGTTGGGATCGCTATGGGAGATGCACTGGGCGGCGCAACGCGCTTCGGGGGGGTCTCGATTGATTTCAGGCACCGGACAGGCACCAACCACCACCCCTCTCCCGTCGTTGTGATGAGACAGAATGATGTCCTTCTCGATCTGCCATTCACTGATCACTCATGCGACAAGCGCTTCACAAGATTACATACAACCGACCGTTCACCCCGATCTCTCATATTCATGCGCTCAAGCAGCGCGCGCAGTTGACAGCTCGATGTGCTCCACCTCCTGAGCCTTGCTCTCGGCCTGCGCAGCCTCAGCTCGGCTGCGCACGGCGGCGACTTGGCGGGGGAAGACAAAGCCGTCCCACTCCTTCCGCACCGACGCTTCGAGGCAGTCACGGTAGTTCTTGAGGCCGCCGAGGTAAAACAGCACCGAGTGTTGCTTCCCAGGAATGTTGGCACCAAAGATCCAGCTCTGTTCTTTGGCGAAAAGCGTAGCGCCGGCGATAGCCTTGCACGTCTCGGTCCACGCGTCCTCAGCCTCCTGAGTGGCCTCGACGACGCCCCCACGTGTCTCTGAAGCCTGCACAAGACGCGTGATAAACTCCACCTGCGTTTCAATCGCCGCAACGATGTTGACGAATGGCCCGTTTGGCCCAACCACCATGAACATGTTGGGAAAGCCCGCAGTCATGAGGCCCATGTATGACGTCGGCGCTGGGTTCCAGTGCGCGTTGATGTGCTCGCGTCCTCTCAGGTCCAGCTTGCGGTAGTTGCCGTCGACAGCGTCAAAGCCGGTGGCGAGCACAAGCACATCGAGCTCATGCTCGCGCCCGTCGGTGGTGATGACGCCGCGCGTTGTGATGCGCTCGATCGGTGTATCACCCTCGCGGATGCTCACGAGCTCCACATTCTCGCGGTTGTACACCTCGTAGTACTCATGGTTGCACAGCGGGCGTTTGGCGTACGGCGTGCGCGGTGTGAGCCGCTCCGCCGTCTTTGGATCCTTCACCGCCTCCTTGATCTTCTTGCGGATGAACGCAGCTGCGGCCTCGTTCGCCTCAGGATCAGTCGCAATGTCACTGAAGGTGCCAAACATGTAATAGAATCCGTTACCGCGATCCCACGCTTGTTGGAACACGCGCTCTCGCTCTTCGGCTGAGACGGACATGGCCGGCACCTTGCTCTCCTCGAATCCAAAGGCGACGGCCGAGGAGCGGACCTGCGGCCAGATCTCTCCCCACTTCGCTTTGTACCCCTCGACCTCGCCGTCATCGACACTCCCGTTCCCGCTCGGCACAGAGTACTGCGGCGAGCGCTGGAAGACCGTAAGCTTGTCTACCATCGGCGCAGACGCCACGATAAACTGGCATCCAGTTGAGCCAGTCCCGATGATGCCGACTCGCTTGCCCTTGATGTCGAGGTCGGCTGGATACTCAGCCGTGTGGACGAGCCGGCCCTTGAAATCCGCCAAACCCGGAATCGCGGGCCAGTTTGTGGTGCTCAGGAGGCCTAGCGCCGTCACGACGTACGTTGCTGTTACTGTGCGTCCGTCTGCCGTGCGGACAGTCCACCGCCCAGCATGGTCGGACCACGCCATGCCCACGACTTCGGTGCTGAGCTCAATGTCGCGCGCCAGGTCGAACCGCCGCACCGTCTCCTCGAGGTAGGCCAGAATGTCCGGCTGGTCGATGTACTTGCGCTGCCACTCCCAATCCGCAAGCAGCTTCTCGTCAAACGAGTACCGATAGAAGGGGCTCTCGGTGTCGCTCATCGCGCCGGGATACTTGTTCCAGTACCATGTACCTGAACATCAGTGTGCTCCTAGTGAAATACCCGGGCGACCCGCCGTCGCCTGTTATCCGGCGACACCGTCATCACTGCCCAGGTACCCACCTCCAACGCCGTGACCCTTCTCAAAGAGGTGCACATTGAGGCCGAGCCGATCACGCAACATGTACAGCTGGTACAAGCCCGCGAAGCCGGCACCAATGATGACCGCGTCATAGTGAGAGTCGTTGGCAGTTGGGGTGGTGTTCGTGACTGTCATGGTAACTGTGGGGGCTCAAGATGCCTGTACACTGCTAACATAGAACATGTGCGCGTGTCCCGATCAGTCGTCATGTGATCACATGGCTACGCTATCAGATCATGCCGAGAAGCCGAGCGGCTTCGCGCCGCCAGGAGTGAGAATCACACACGATATGCCAGGAGGCGAAACGGATGAGGTATTGTCTCGGATATCGCCGTCGCCGATGGTGGACAGATTTCAGCACGTTTGAACTGCAGCCTGGGAAAGCCTCACTCAAACTCTCGTCCTTCTACGCACAACCTGAGTTTGCACCTCGTATAACATATTTGCGACGCAAAGCGGAGTGTAGAGCAGCTCAGCAGTCCTTGAAAGAGAGGACGGACTCGCAGATCAAAGTACAGAATGACGCAACCCCGAAACAGTACGTTAGTCGGTTTCCGAAACCCGTGCGGATCGAACGCTGGACTAGAGCCATAGCCCAGCCGCGACATAGCATTTCAATGAATTTGAAACCAAAAGTGCTATGCCCTTCGATATTATTCCTCCTTATCAATCGCATTATAAACCGACCTCTCAATGACTACTCACGCCGACTTCAACGACACCACGACGGCGGAGGAGGTCGTGGCCGTGTTCGCGGACCAGATCGCGGGCCGCACAGGTGGAGCTGCCCGAGGCGCTGCTAACCGCAGTTGCGATCACCGGGCCCTCCGTAGGCGGCATTGGCTTTGAGACGGCACGCGCCATCGCGAGCCAAGGCGCCTCGGTCATCCTCGTGGGGCGGAGCATGGACAAGTACGGAGTCCATCAAACACGCTGACGGGAGATTGGAGGAGGCGCGCGACACGATCTTGCAGCAAACGCCTGGCGCGTCGCTCGCCCTCGTCACGCTCGACTTGGGCTCGCTCGCGTCTGTCCGTGCCGGCGCGGCGGAGATCGCCAAGGCCGCTGGCGGGCGGCTCGACGTGCTGATCAACAACGCGGGCGTGATGATGACGCCGTTCAGCCACACCGTCGACGGCTTCGAGACGCAGTGGGGCACCAACTACGTCGGCCCGTGGCTGCTCACCAACCTCTTGCTGCCGGCGCTGCTTGCTGCTCCATCCCCGCGCGTCGTGTTCGTCAGCTCGGCCGGCCACCGCACCACCGACATCCGGTGGGACGACCCCAACTTTGCACGCGGATACGACGGCCTGCTCGCGTATGGGCAGGGTAAGACGGGCGCCAACCTCAACGCTGTGGCGCTTGCGGCCAAGTTCCCGCGGCTCACGGCCATCTCCCTGCATCCCGGCGGCATACAGACCAACCTCATGAACCACCTTACGGCGGCGGACATGCCGGCGCTCAGCGACATGCTCGAGGCGGACGGGAGCAGCAAAAGCAGCTGGAAGACGCCGAGCCAGGGCGCTGCTACTACCCTCGTCGCAGCCTTCGACCCCAAGCTCACGGAAGTCAATGGGACGTATCTCGTCGACTGCCAGATCGCCGAACTCAAGGAGACCGGGCCGAGCCCGGGTAAGAGCATGGCCGAGCTCACTTATGTCGCGCCATACTCGCTTGACCCTGTGCGCGCGGAGCGTCTCTGGCGCATGACCGAGGAGATTGTTGGGGAGAAGTTTGGGCCAGAGGATGTGAAGCCGACAGCAACTGCGTAGAAGCTAGACCCCGCATTGATCCAGCCATGCATAAGAGTACAAATCAACTGTCCGAGACATCCTCCTTCGTAATCTGCGACTCTGACCTCATCCCCACACGGTAGCAGGCGAGCTAAGGTTCTTGCCGATGGCAACGAGCTTCTTGTTCAGGAACTCGTCTGTGCCCTCGTACCCGCCCTCCTTGCCGTAACCCGACTGCTTGACACCGCCGAAGGGTATGAAGGCCTGGGAGATGGCGCCGGTGTTGGCGCCGACCATGCCGACCTCTAGCGCTTCCGCGACGCGGAAGATGCGGTCTGCGTCGCGCGAGAAGAAGTACCCGGCCAGCCCGACGTCGGCGCGGTTAGCCATCTCGACGACGTGCGCCTCGTCGCGGAACTTGATGAGCGCCGCGAGGGGCGAGAACGTCTCCTCCTCATCCAAGATGCACTCGGTCGGCACGTCGACGATGACCGTCGGCTGCACGGCGTTACCCTCGCGCTTGCCGCCGGCGATAACGCGGCCGCCGGCCTTGACGAGCGCGTCGACGTGGCTCTGCCACTTGTCCGCTGCCGCAGCGTTGATGAGCGGCCCGTGGGTTACGCCGTCGTCAAACCCGGGCCCAACCTTGAACTTGTTCACCTTCTCAGCGAGCTGCTTGGCGAACGTGTCGTAGATGCTCTCATGGACGTAAATGCGGTTGGCGCACACGCATGTCTGTCCCGATCCACGGAACTTGGAGGCGATGGTGCCTGCCACAGCGGTGGGGATGTCGGCGTCATCAAAGACGATGAGCGGGGCGTTACCGCCGAGCTCGAGGGAGAGCTTCTTGAGCGTGCCCGCCGCTTGGGCGGCGAGGATCTTGCCCACGCGCGTGGAGCCAGTAAAGCTGACCTTCTTGATGAGGGGGTTGGTCGTGAGCTCCTTGCCGACCTCCTGGAGGTTCTTGTCAGTCGTGATCGAGTTGATCACGCCGTCGGGCACGCCGGCGCGGCGCATGAGCTCCATGATTGCCTGGTTGGTGAATGGAGTGTTCGGGTCGGCCTTGACGACGGCGGTGCAGCCGGTCGCGATGACAGGCGCGGCCTTGCGTGTGATCATTCCGGCAGGGAAGTTCCATGGCACGAGCAACGAGCAGACGCCGATGGGCTGCTTGATGACGAGGTTGCGCTGCCCCGGGATCGCAGAGGCAAGAACATCACCGCGCTGACGGACACACTCGCCGGCAAACCATGCGCAGAACGAGGCAGAGTACAGCACCTCTCCATACGCGTCCGCCCAGCTCTTGCCGTTCTCCCAGACGATGAGGCGTGCAATGTCATTCGCATGTTCGATGAACAGGTCGTTGAGACGCAACAGCATCTTCTGCCTGTCGAGAATGCTGCTGTTGCGCCACGTCTTGAACGTCTCGTGCGCGACGCGGACAGCCTCGGCTGCATCCTGGGCGGTCATGTCCGGCATGCTGCCGATGACATTGCCGGTGGCGGGGTCGCGCACGTCAAAGCGCCCGCCGTCGGACGCATCAACATGCTTGCCGTTCACGATTCCGTGAGGCACGACAAGGGAGGGGTCATCAAGGCCGAGCTTAGGTCAGCGGAGGGTCTGAGAAGCTGAGGTGAAGATGAGAACTCCGAAAGACCTCATTCTATTTCGACGCCTGGCAGTGACTCCATGCCAGCCACGGTGCGCCTCCAACACTCACAGCGTTCTCCTTGGTCACGTTGGGGCGCTGGGAAGCGTAGCGCTTAGCGTCGACAGTCATGGCCGACAGTGGTAGGCGGGTCCGGTGGACGGCGGTGGTGAGAGAGCGCAGGGCTCCGAGGGTGCGGACGGACTGTACAGAGCTCACACAAGGAGCTCGGGATACGCGAGGGACAAGACGGGTGACGGGGGCGAGTGCGCGCATGCTGACTTTATACTCTGCGTGATGGAGAGGTTGCAAAAAGCACCTGCATGACTTCGATACCTTGTTACCTCCTCCCAGCAGCAGCCCACCAAGACCGGTGGAGGTGGATGACGCGAGACGACCGAGACCGGCGGGGCTAAGCGAGTTCCTGAGCCGGATTTGACCTTTTGCCATGCTTATCTGACCTTTTGGCCACTCGACGCGAGCAATCTGACCTTCTGCATCTGACCTTGCGGTTGAGACGGAAAATGCGTTCCGCTTGCCGCTGTGCTACGCGATGCGATGCCAGCGACGATTTGGCTTTCTGCTGGCCCAGAATGTGGCGGGAAGTCGGTAACCGGAAATCGGAGACGATGAGGCGAGGGTGACAGCAGGACAGATGACACGTGAAAGACGCGCGGAATGCGGAGGGTGTGTTTGGAAGCTAATCAAAGGTGATGCGAGTGGCAATTACACCGAACGCCGAGTCTGGCTCCCGGTCCTTGACCAGCTAGACATACAGATGCATCCGATCGCAACAAGAATCTACCCCTATTCCCCGCGCAAGAGCCGCAGCGCGAGCTCTTCATCGTCCTCAAGCGCGGCGTCGCGGCGTTTCTTGGACGGCCGCTTCGCGTCAGGCTCGGGCGAAGGCGAGCGTGCTGGTGATCCCTCCGAGTCGTACTCGCCGTCCGGTGCCCCGATGTACGCGATTGGCTCGCCCTCCTCGTCGGACATGTACTCCTCCCGCATCTGGAGTTAGCTTGTATGCAGTGAACCAGCCTACCTTCCGCTCCGCCTCCTTGCGCTTGCGCTTCTTCTCGCGGCGCTTCTCGCGAGCCACTTGGCGGTCGATAACATCTGCCTCGCGCATACGAGCGTTCTCGGCCTCAACGAAGGCGCGGCGCGCCTCCTCGGCCTTGGCCGCGCTCTCCGCCTCCTCGCCGTGGGCGTAGAAGTCACGTGCCTCGCCTTCCTCGTCGAAGACGAGCTTGGTCGGGACGCCACGCGCCTTGATCTGCCCCTTGCGCGTTGCTGCGCTCTTGAGCTTGCGCTTGGACAGGTCGGCCGAGGTAGTGAGCTCCTCGTCGCTGGACAGGTCCAAGTCGTGATCCCGGCGCGCGAGCGTGAAGACGTCGTCGTCGTCGTCCTCATGTGCCACAAGCTTCGTGTAGTGCTCTGTAAGGACGCCCTGGTTCTTGCGCTCGAACATACGGTCGTACTTTGTCCGTACGGGGGCGGGCTTGCGCTGAGTGTTAGTCAACAGTGTATACGAGTGTCGCAGATCGAGATAACTCACGGGTGCAGAGTCATCCTCTTCACTTCCGCTCCCCGAACTGGAGCCGTCCACGCTGTCTTCCCCGCTGTCGGACTCGCCCTCGCTCTGGGACCCGCTGACCTTCTCATCCTCGCCATCGCTCTCCTCCTCGCTCCCACTCTCTTCGTCGCCACTCTCAGCCTCGCTGTCGCTCGCCAGACGCTGGTGGATGATCGTCGGCCCGCTGTCGTCCTTCTCGCCTCCAGCACGCCCCTTGGCCTTCTTAGCCGTCTCGAGAAGCTTGATCTGCGGTGCACCCGGCAAGCCCATGCTCGCAGAGTACGCCTCGGCAGGGTACTCGGAGAGCTTGAACACGCTCTTGTCCTTCTGGATGTGGATAGCGCGCATGTAGGAAATGAATGCCTGCCTGTCAGCTTGGGTCACGGCCTTCACTCACCCTCTGGCCGAGGTACTTGATCTCCGGGTCCTTGAAGCAGAGGTTCTGCATCGACTGGGCGAGGTTGGGCATCTTGCTCTCCTTGATCTTGATGCGCTTGACGTCGATCTTCTTCTCCGCCCAGCGCGCGACCATACCGGCCTCCTCGCTCGGCGTGAGCAGACACAATCCCTTGCCCTCGCTCTGGTAGCGCGCAGTCCGGCCCACACGGTGAATGTAGCTGTCGACATCGTCGGGGCAGTCGAGCTGCACGACCCAGTCGACAGCGGGGAAGTCAAGGCCGCGCGCCGCCACGTCCGTGCAGATCATGAGCGCGTTGTTGCTCGAGCTGAACTTCTGGAAGATGGTCATGCGCGTCGCCTGCTTCTGCTTACCGTGCAGGTGCATGAGGGGCAGACCGGGGTGCATGCGGCGGAACGTCTCGAAGATGAAGCGTACTTGCTTGCCACTCGTGACGAACACGACGCCCTTCATCTTGAGGTGGCTTTTGATGAAGCCCCACAGCGCGTCCAGCTTGCGCTCGAGAGGCACAACGGCGTAGAACTGCTCGAGGTTGGCGGGCATCGCCTCGTCGTCCGTGATCGTGTTGATATACAACGGGTCGTGGAGGGAAAGCTCAGCAAGGCTGGCCACGTCCTTGCTCTGTGTTGCCGAGTAAAGCAACGTCTGGCGGTCGGCGCGCGCCGCAGCTGACGGGGAGAAGTGCTGGACAATGGCTCGCAGCGCCGGCAAGAATCCCATGTCCAACAGCCGGTCCGCCTCGTCCAAAACCAACACCTTGACACTCATGCTCTCGAAGCCAACTGTGCTGTCAAGGTGCTGGAGCAGACGGCCGGGGGTGCAGATGAGGATGTTCATGCGGGCGAGACGCTCGCGCTCCTCCTTGAGCGGCTTGCCACCAATAACGAGGCCGGCGGAGAACATGTGGAAGCGCCCGATGTCACGCAGCGCGTTGAACGTCTGGACCGCCAGCTCTCGCGTCGGTGAGATAACCACGGCGCCCAGACCGTCCATCGCGCCCCAGCGCTGCAGGTACAGTCGCTCGAGGAGGGGGATGAGGAAGGCGAGCGTCTTGCCGCTGCCTGTGCGCGCGGCGCCGAGGATGTCGCGGCCCTGCAGCGCTGGCACCATAGAAGCAGCCTGGATAGGCGTCGGCTCGACGAAATGCGACGCCTTGAGGCCGCTCAGCGTTGGCTTCGAGAGCGGCAGCTGCGAGAAGGTCGTGATTTCTTTTGGTGGTTCGAACGAGTTGATCTTGGCCTGCAGCTCGCGCAGCTCGTCGTCGGCACGGTTGCGCTTGGCCTGGTTCGTCTTGACGCGGCCCTTGGGTGCGTTCTTCCCCTTGGCCGCCTTGCGGGGCTTGGAGGACGATGCCTTGGCCTCGATGAACGGCATGGTGAATGGAGTGTTGCGAAAGTGGAGGTCGGTTCTGGAAATTCTTACACCTCCACCAAAAGATCAACAACAATCAGCCAGGCACGGTCATATCTCAAGTTCAATCATCATTACCTTGTGCAGCGCAACACGAGATGGACGTGGAGATGGACGTGGAAATGTACGGCATACAAGACGTACTCATGCATGCAAGCACATTGACACGACCAGATAATGAACAACAGAGTCTATCGCCGCGTGCCCCTCTTTGCGGGCTTGGCGCCCTTGCCCTTGCCTCCCGACTTGCCACCAGACCCCTTGCCGCCAGCACCCTTGGTCCGGCGCATTGGCTCGATCCCTCGTGCGCGGTCCTTGTCGATCTTCTTCTGTCGCTTGCGCGCGTCGATCTCGCGCCCGCGCCGCTTCTCCGCAGGTGTCTCCATGCTCCGGCTCTTCTTCTCCTCCTTCTTAGCCGCCTTGGCAGCGGCCAGCTCCTTCTCGCGCTTCGCTCGCTGCTCGGCACGACGACTGGATGCGGGCAAGATCGGCACGGCTGCCTTGGGCTTGGGCTTGGTCTCGCCCTCCTCTCCTGACCTCTCCTCCTCCGAGTCGACATATGTCCTCACGGCAGTGGAGGGATCGAAGTCCTCCGTAATCGTCACGGTGGCGGCTTGCTCGTCGTCGCTGAACTCGGCCTCGATCGTCGTGGGCTCGGCCTCTTCCTCCTCCTCATCAGATTCTGCTCGTCAGCGGGCGGAAGTACGACGCGGTGAAGCCATCTTCCTAGCAGCGCTCCAGGCGGGAGACACCTTGTGCTGCACCCCAGGCTTCGACGTCACACACACCGGCTTCATCCCAGACCACAGACTCACCCTTCTTTGCACTCAACCCAAGCGCCTCGCGCACTGTACGCTCGTTCTCCTCCGCGCGCTCCTGCAGCTCCTTGCGCGCCTTGCGCACCGCCTCCTTATGCGCCTCCTTATCGCGCTCCTTGGCGCGCTGCCTGCGCTCCTCTGTCCGCTGCTTTTTCCGCTTCGAGAATCCAGTAAGATATTCCCTGCCGTCAGTTTCATAGACATTGCCACAGCCTTCCTCGCCGGCGATACAGCACGTCGCGTGACGAGAGCAGGGGAGGACTCACCGCCGCGCCGTGTCGTCGAACTTGATCTCCTCGACCTGCTCGGCACGCGCTTTCTTCGCGCGCTGGATGTAGGCCGCACCCTCAGTGAGGAGGGAGACGTTGGAGCGCTTGGGCATGGTGGAGACGGGTGGTGGTGTGGTTGACAGCTACACAGTTCGGTGGCCAGAAATTGAACTTCTGAGGTGGAGGTATGGTATGTGGGGGGATGAGATATAGGGACCGCGGTGTACATATCGACCTGTCTCCAGCTCTGAAGGCCCCCTCTAGCCCCTCTGCCCGGTCCACATCAAAGCACTGACAACCCAACCACCCAGCAACCGCACAACGCACAATCCTTTGGCATATTACAATTCTATGTCTACTGGGCGCCAAACTGGTCGAGCAGGGCGCGGACCTTGCGTGCGTTGGGGCTGGTGCCACCGGTAGTCCAGTGGACGGGGGAGCGGTCGAAGCCGTTGAACGTGCTCGCCGCGCAGAGGGTGTATGCACCCATCTCGCCCCAGCCGAGCCAGTCGCCAACCTCGGTGCCGCGGGGCAGGTGTACGATCTGGCGCACGCAGTCGATCGAGTCGCATGTCGGGCCCCACACGCTCGCGCGCTCGGTCTGCGCGTAGCCGAGCTGCTGGGTGAGGTCGGAGGGGAGCTCGACGTTGGGGGGTGGCGGGAAGGCAGGGCGCGCGGTGGGGTCCGCGGCCTCGCCGCCCAAGGTCAGAGGGTAGGGGTGCACGATTTGGTGGTCGAACAGGATGCAATTAAACGAGCCGTACACGCCGTCGTTGATGTAGTACATGACGTCGGCACCCTCGCCGGCCTCGGGGTCGTGCGTGTGCACCGCACCCTCGAGGGCGCGGCGACGAGCGACAATGCTCGTGGCGAGCGTGAATGCGCTCGAGACGAGGAGGCGTCCGGGCTCAGCGATCACGCGCACACCCTCGTCGGCAGGGAAGTAGAGGTCGAGGTTGTCGGCTACGACGCGGCTCATCTGCGCAAAGGTCTCGCGCTCAAAGCCACCGCCAATGTCGAGCACCTCGAAGTCGTAACCCACCTCCTTGGCCATGTCGAAGACCTTGCGTGCACGCCAGATGGCATCGGCGAACTGCTCGGGCTCCTTACATCCCGAGCCAACGTGGAAGCTAACGCCGACAACGTTGAGGCCGAGCTGGCGCGCCAGCTGGAGGAGACCGGAGCACGCGTCGAGTGGCGCTCCGAACTTGAGGCCGAGGCGGCACAGCGACTTGGAGTCGTCTGTAAGGATGCGCAGAACGAGCTTGGCGTTCGGGTGGATGCGCTTGATCTTGTGCAGCTCGTCGGCGTTGTCGAAGGTCATGGTCTCGACGCCGGTGTTGAGCGCAGCGCGGATGTGGCTCGGCGGCTTGCACGGGTTGGCGAAGATGATGCGGTCGGGCGACGGGGCCGAGGGCAGCGACATGACAGCTGCGATCTCGGCCGCGCTCGCGCAGTCAAAGTTGGTGCCGAGGAGGGAGAGGAGGTGCAGCACCATCGGCGAGGGATTGCACTTGACCGCATAGAAGATGTCGACGCGCTCCCCCATCGGCGAGCGGCGCCACATGTCAACAGCCTCGTACACGGCCGAAAGATCGGCAGCGAAGAACGCGCTCTCATCGTGGACACCTGCCGCTGCGTCGAGCACTCCCTCGGTGCGAGCGGCGACGATCTGGTCGACGAGCGCGTGCAGCTCGGTGTCGACCACACGCGTCGACAGGACCGGGTGAAGAGCGGCCGCGTTGTGGCGCCCACGCAGGGTCAGAGTAGGTGCACGCGCCGCTGGGAGCCGGGCGCCATTCGCCGAGTTGTCGAGGGCACGGGAGAGCGACTCGCGCGTGGGAATGGGCTGCTCGGGAGTAGCCGTGTTGTCCCAGGCCTGGGCGCGCACGAGGCGCGCGCGCACAGTCTCAGTCATAGTAGTGCTCATGGTTTTTATGATTGAGTTTCTGGCTGATTGAGAGGGTGTTGAGAGCCCTAGGTCTGCGCAGAAGGTTGTCGGGTCGGCCGCCGTCTCGTGGAGCGAGATCAGGCCACCTGGTATCAGCGGAGCTCATGAAAGGTGGTGCGGCCCGGTGGTGGTATGATATGCAAGCGGCGGAAGGCTTGCTTGCCACCCGCCAGACTTCGGCTGTGTGGCCTTGGTCGTGCGAGTCGACTCACAGTCAGGGTGCCGTGTGGGGATGAAGTACCACACGTGCGACGCGAGAGAGGGAGACGACGGCGGGGCTGTTGGGAGCCCGTTACCGATTCCGGATACCAAAGTCGATGAGGAGATGGACGAGTGGTATAAATAAAAGAGAGAAGAGCGAGCCAGAGTTGGCTTACATCGAGCAGGGAGGGGGCCACGGCGCCTCGGCTGCAGCGAGGGCGAGGCCTCTGGTGGTGAGCTCTCAGGGTCTGGGCCTTCGCTGGGTCAACTGGGTGAAATCCCTTGACGTCAGGCAGGCGGGATTAAAACTGGCATCCTCCGATTTGTGGCGATTTTTCCCTCAGGCCTCAGTGTCGAGCGTCGAGAAGGACTCCTTCATCGTTCAGATAATCCCACGCAAAAGGCTCAGCTGGCCGAGCTGGAGAATTAGAGACGCGGAGATGGAGTGAGGCCGAATGTCTGTAGAGAGTATCGCATGGGCAGGTACTCAATGCGCGTTAAACAAGTCTCTCATGATTGATTCTCGCGCTCTGGGAGTCGGCCACTCGCATACGTTCGGGGATCGGAGAGGTGTTTTCATGTGACAGACGCTGGTTCATGCGGTTCCACTGCTCAAATCGCGCTTCTCCCGGACAGCACAGGCTAGGCTGTTGAGTGAATGGTTGAGGACAGCCGGTGCGTGACAACGCTCAAAATGCGGGAAAAAAATAATTAAGCTCAGGCCGGGATTCGAACCCGGGTTGTTCGAGATTGATTCTGAATTGAACATCAAAGTCGAAATTGTTAACCAGGCTACAATACCCGAGCTAATGATCATTTCCGATCTGCACGCTCCGATGGGCGCCTTTGAAGGATCAGTCACCTCATGACAGGCACGGCATTGGTGCTGTTTACCCCTCTTCCCACGATGGCCTGGAGGGGTGGAGAGTGACAGGTGGCTCCATGCGAGTAGGAATGAAGTCGACTATACACTGTCTGCTCGCCGCACACCGTGTCGTGGAAGGTATCAGAAGGTCGTATTATGCAATGTTCAAAGGTGCGCCCGGGTTGTTTAGCGAAATGCTCAAGAGGGGGAGGTTATGCCGTGGTTGGTGCTGCTCGCATGACCGCCGACTCACCCACGTCCTCTGCCTTGCTTTCAGGAGGCCCTTCTGCAACTCTGCAAGTGGTGTCGGAAAAGGTGACGCAGCAGACCGATGTCTCGAGTGACGAATGGAAGGAGCCCCCATAAACGCGCGACTCGATGAAGTGATTAGGACGTCGAAGGGGTGAAGTAAAGGCGAGGGCTCACTGCGTTGACCACCATAACGAGGACAGCGGATGGGATGGAGGAGGTGACAGTGAGTGAGACAGTGTTCGCGAGAAAAGCTAAGAAAGAGGGAACGGAGCGAATGAGGAGCAACGCATGAGGTGAAAGGAAGGATGAGTGAGTTGAGTCACCCGAAGGGCGAGGCTCAGCGACGTGCACCCATCCAAGGGCGCAGCACCGATTAGCGATCAGCATGCGCACTTGCTTCCTTCTCCCCGTCGTCCCGCCGTCACTGATGATACTGTTGCATACTGTATACAATGCTGTCCTGTGCAAACATAATGAGCCACGAACCACAAGCCAGCTACACCTTCGGAACGAACGAACGGGACATCGAGCGTGGGCGCTACCAGTCCGTCTTCTTGGTGGCGCTCTGGCGGAGGGGCACGACCTTGCCCTTCTTGGCGTAGCCCGCGCCATCGAGCCACGGCCACTCGGCAGAGCGACGCTCCTCGAACTTGGTGATCTCGGCCTCGTGGCGCAGCGTCAGGCCGATGTCGTCGAGGCCGTTGATGAGGCAGTGGCGGCGGAAGGGGTCAATCTCGAACTTGACGGGCGGCTGGCCGTTGGGGCGCACCACCTGCTGGTTCTCAAGGTCGACGGCGAGCTCCTCGCCCGACGCCGCGTCCTTGTACAGCTCGTCGAGGTCGGCCTGGGGGAGGATGAGGGGCAGCATGCCGTTCTTGAAGCAGTTGTTGCGGAAGATGTCACCGAACGAGGGCGCCATCACGCAGCGGATGCCGAAGTCGTTCAGCGCCCACGGGGCGTGCTCGCGCGACGAGCCACAGCCGAAGTTGTCACCGGTCACAACAAGGATCTTGGACTTGGTCCAAGGCTCCTTGTTCAGGACGAAGTCCGGGAGCTTCTCGTTGGTGCGGATGTCGTAGCGCGCAGGCCAGAAGAGGGCCTCGCCGAGACCGGTGCGCTTGAGCGTCTTCAGGAACTGCTTGGGGATGATCTTGTCCGTGTCAATGTTGGCCTCGGACATGGGCGCGGCAATGCCCTTGAGGACGGTAAACTTGGGCAGGCCGGCGGCGGCAGCCTTGGGCTTGGCGGCCTCGGTGGCGGCAGGCGCGGTCTCGGGAGGAGGGGTGTGCTGGGCAGGGACGAAGCGCTCAAGGTAGTCCTGGTAGTTGGTGAGCTTGAAGTCGCCCGAGTCCGAGATGTGCGAGCCCATGAGCTTGCGCACGTCGGTGAGGCGGCCGGTGAGGGCAGCGGCAGCGGCCATGGCGGGCGACATGAGATGGGTGCGGCCACCGGCACCCTGACGGCCCTCGAAGTTGCGGTTCGAGGTCGACGCGCAGCGCTCGCCGGGGCTGAGCTGGTCGGGGTTCATGCCCAGGCACATGGAGCAGCCGGCCTCACGCCAGTCGAAGCCAGCCTTCTTGAAGATGACATCGAGGCCCTCAGCCTCGGCCTGCTTGCGGACGAGACCCGAGCCGGGCACAACCATGGCGTAGACGCCCTCGGCGACGTGGGTGGGGCCGCCGTTCTTGGCCGACGCCTGGATAACGCGAGCAGCCGAGCGCATGTCCTCGATACGACCGTTGGTGCACGAGCCGAAGAAGACCTTGTCGACCTTGATCTCCTCCATGGGGGTGCCGGCGGTGAGGCCCATGTACTTGAGCGCCTTCTCAACGTCGGCGCGCTTGTGCTCCGGGAAATCTGAGGGGGAGGGAACCTTGCCGGTAATGGGGACGGTGTCCTGGGGTGAAGTGCCCCAGGTGAGGGTGGGGATGATGTCCTCAGCCTTGATCTCGACCTCGACGTCGTACTTGGCTCCGGGGTCGGAGGCGAGGGTGCGCCAGTACGCCTCAGCGCGGTCCCATTCTGGGCCCTCAGGAGGGGCAAGGGGGCGTCCCTTGAGGTACTCGAAAGTAATGTCGTCGGGCGCGATCATACCGGCACGCGCACCGCCCTCAATTGACATGTTGCAGATCGACATACGGGCCTCCATCGAGAGGGCACGGATGGCGGAACCCGAGAACTCGATGACACACCCGGTACCACCAGCGGTGCCAATGATGCCAATAATGTGGAGGACAATGTCCTTGGAGGCGACACCCTCGGGGAGAGTTCCCTCGACGTTGATGCGCATGTTCTTGGACTTTGCCTGGGGAAGGGTCTGCGTCGCGAGGACGTGCTCGACCTCGGAAGTGCCGATGCCGAAGGCGAGGGCGCCAAAGGCACCGTGCGTGGAAGTGTGCGAGTCACCGCAGACAACAGTCGTACCGGGAAGAGTAAAGCCCTGCTCGGGGCCAATGATGTGGACAATGCCCTGGCGCTTGTCGGTCATGCCAAAGTAGGTGACGCCGAACTTCTTGACGTTCTCCTCAAGCGCCTCGACCTGGGCACGCGAGTCGGCCTCCTCGATGAAGGTGCCGACCGACTTGAACGATTTCCTGGACGCAGTACTGCAGGTCAGCGCCTCCTCAGTGCACCTCGGTGTGCGGTTCGGTGTGTATCACGGCAACTCACGGAATGTTGTGGTCGACAGTGGCGAGGGTGCAGTCTGTCCTGCGGACCTTGCGGTCGGCATTCTCGAGGCCCTCGAACGCCTGAGGCGAGGTGACCTCGTGGACAAGGTGGCGGTCAATGTAGATGAGAGTGTCGCCGTCACCCGAGTACACGACGTGGTCGTCAAAGACCTTGTCGTAGAGGGTGCGGGGGGCCGAGTTTGGAGCCGGCATTGTGGCAAGGAGCGGTGGAGGGGGGGGAGGAAAAAGGATGAGTCAGAGAGGTGAGCTGTCCGCCTTTTGATGTTGCTGGTGCTAGGCTTTGGACAGAGAGCGTCGAGGTGATGGGGATAAGATGGGAAGAGCGATGCGGAGTTCGGTGGTTATGAAGGCAGTGGGCAGAGTAGTCGTCAGAACGGATGACATGGCCGGTTAACTTGATCGAAATGTCGAGTCGCGTCTGACAGCTCTGCCTCTTCTCATTGGTCAATTGCCTTATTTCCGCCCCAGGCCCATGAATGCTGTTTCCCCATTTCGGCCGACGCCACCCTATAGCCAATCATATTGCGTAAGCTGTCGGCCGAAGTGCCACGTTGACCTTTTCTGACCCACTCCGTGACGGTCCAGCTGCTCGTGTGAGATGTGAGGTGTGCTGAACATTCACTGAATGCGTCGAAACGGTGCCGATCTTCCAGTGGAGGTGGAGGATCGGCGCAGAGGTTGATACAGGATGTACGGATGTAGATCCTTCCCTCTCCGCCACGCGACTGTTACGTGAGATACTCCATTTACGTAAATATGAGATCGCCTCAACAGAAGCTTGGGCGTCATCACGTTGACATCTCTCAACCAGTAGTGACATCCACCCCCCGACGCGCATCGACGCCGACGCAGCCATGGCCAAGATTGTGCCCCCAATGAACTTTGGCCTCGTCGAGGACGGTGCGTGTCCTTCTCACGCGCGGTCTGGCTAATTGCAGGATTTTACCGTTCCGCCCAGCCGACCGAGCTCAACTTCACCTTCATCGAGAAGCTTGGCCTCCGCAGTGTCATCTGGGTCGGCGCGGAAGAGCCCTCCGACGTCTTGTACGTCTGTCGCCCGAGTCCACTGACCCCAGCCTGTCATTCCTCGAGTCACAGGGCATCGTGCTGCACAATCTCGCGCCACAGGTTAGCTTGAATCCTCACTTTCCACCGCCGTACTGTGATGCTGGCGTCGTGCCGCTCAGTGGCCAGTGTGAGTCAAGTCGAAGCCGGCAAGAGAAGATCTTCCGCTCGCTCGAAGGGCGCGATCGTCCGCAGACCAGGCTAACAATAGACCACCTACCGCCGCTCCCACCACCAACGGAGCCGCTGATCATTCACGCACTCAGCCTCCTCTTGCAGCCAAGCACGTTTCCCACCCTCGTGTGCTGTAACATGGGCCGCCACCGCACGGGCACCGTCGTGGGGTGCTGGCGAAAGCTGCAACGCTGGGCACTGTCAAGTATCCTTGAAGAGTACCGACGGTACGCGGGGATGAAGGTGCGGGTATTGAACGAGCAGGTGCGTGGTGTGGTGTGCCGGGCAGTGTTGATGTTAGTTTATCGAACTATTCGACACGGACCTTGTGTCCATCAACGGAGAGGCCATCGCCGAATAGCAGCGCGAGGCTCACTAATGGGCATGAGGAGCGCGCACACCACACGCCGCGCAAGTATGCGCAGGCGGCTGCCGCGCCAACACCTGCCACCTTGTATTGTATCACTACGTGCATGTATCACCGGCCATTACGCTAGAACGAGACGACCTTCTTCTTCTTGGCCGCTGGCGGCGCCTGCTCATACCACCCCTCCTCGCCGGGCCGCTTAGCCGGCCCCCGCGCGCTGTTCTTGGCCGGCAAGTGCTTCGTGCGCTTACCCTTCGCCTCGCCGGGCGTTGCCGTACGGCGCGTGACCATGAAGTCGTCCTCGTCGGCTCCCGCACCCTCGCCCGTGCCGAGCACAAGCGCAGGCGCGCCACGAACCTTGACGGGCTCGTCGGGGCGCTGTGTCGGGCAGTCCTTTGCGCGGTGCGCGACACTGTGGCAGATCTTGCACGCCCCGCCGTTGACATACACGCCGCGCGGGTTCTTGGGGCACGCTGCTGACAGATGCCCCGAACCGAGGCAGACGAAGCAGGTCGCGAACGGCGTGGGGTTCCCGGGGTCCACCGGCGCCGGGCAGTTGTGCAGGTTATGCGTGGACGAGTTGCACCTGTTGTCAGCGCGGTCTCATAGTGACTCACCGGTAGCACTTGCCGCCCGTAATCTGCCCGCCGGTGAGCTTCTCCTTCGCGCCCTTCTCCTTTGCCTTTGCCTTGACCTTTCCCTTGCCCTTCTTCTCCTCCTCCCCTTCCTCATCGTCCTCCGCGCCCTCCTCATCTCCATCATCACCGCCCACCAACCCAACACTGCGCGCAAGCTGGTCGGCCTCGAGCATCGCCGCGCTGCCATTCGCGCCCTCCGCCGCCGCAAGGATATTAGGACAGTCGCGCGCCGCATGCCCGGTCCCACGACACGCGAAACACGTCGTGCCCGCATCCCGGTCCTCGGCGCGTTTGAACCGCCGTGCTTCCGTACGCTCAGCTCGTTCTGGAATCAGCCTCGGCCCCGAGCACCGAGCAGCACTCACTCGCGATCTCCGGATCCCGCCCCCAGCCCTTGCGCTCGCCGCCGGCATATGCCCCGCGCTTGCCGCCGCGCCCGCCGCGTGCCCCCCTCCCACCTCGCCCTCCTCGCCCGACAGGTGCGCCGCGCCCGCGTCCGGCCCACCCGCTGTCCTGGTGCCGCTCGGGCTGGCGGCTTGACTGTTCCTGTGCTGAAGACTGCACAAAGTCCTTGCGGTGCAGGCCGATGTTGGTGTAGCGCGCCATGGTGGATGTTGTTGACGGGAGCGAGAATCGCGGAAATCTTTGCCATGTTGCCGTGCCTGGGTGGCGATGTGGAGGTGGGGTGTGCCGCACCACACAGATGGCAAACAAGGGGCCGGGTGAGCACAAGTACCACACCCCCAACACACCGCTGTGGACATGTGGACACTCCCATGCACGTATGCACGCCGTCCCCGGAATTGAGGCCTCGACGATCCCTCACATTGAGCTCAAAGCCGATCGCCTCCTTCTCTCCGCAGCCAGCAAAAGATGTGCCCCCACTCAGAATCGAACTGAGGGCTAGAGATTATGAGACTCACGTGTTACCATTACACCATAGGGGCAGCTGGTTTCTTGAAATCTGGGTTGGCTCATGACGGCTGGACATACAATGGCCAAAGTTTGTCTCCCTCCCACTTCGCCCCCTCTTTACACCACCGCTTAGTCTACTCGATCCCATGCTCTGCACCGCCAGGTCCTGTCCTCAAGCCTCTACGCCTTGCCTTCAGAATGTCGTCGCGACATTCAAGATCCTCCACTTGCATACTCCTTCGAGTGGATTCTCCGAGGAAATTGCTCTCGCCCCGAATCTGCTTCCGTCTCTCCAGCCAACTTTTAACCCAGCTTTGCCATCGTTTCTCCCCATCGCTCTCTCCCTCACCAAAAGGTAAGCCTCCCCTCCCTCCTCCCAAGGAGCGCGAATGATGACACGATGACGAGACCTACGTGCCCCTCGCGCGCAGTCTGCCCACCCCTCGTCCCCGTGTGCAAAGCTCTTGGCCCCCACCACGTCCGTTTTGGCCGTGGCGGGTCGGGTGTGGCGTGCTCGGGACTCGGCGGGGGCGACGGCGGCTGTGCGCGGGCGGCAGGTTGACGATCCTCACTAGTTTGGCGACTTTATTCTGACGCGCTCCTCCCACTGTCTAAATGTACGGGAACTGACACCAGATGGCGCGCGACGACGCCTCAGACTTCAGCGAGGAGGAGGTCGCTACCGTCCTCCTTGCCCTGCCGGACGGGCCGATGGAGGAGGCGCCGTCCCATACCACTTCTTTCATCGGAGGATATCCCGCCTTCCCGGCTGTGCCGGCGGGTCCGTCCAGAAACCCAAAGGGCAAGGGCAAGGCCGTTGCGGCGACCTCGGCACCGGAGGAGGTGCGCTGCGGCGCATGCCACAAGGCCATGCCTCTCCTTTCTCAGGTTTATTGCCCGCTCGAAGGTGGCGAGAACGACCGCACGATTTATGTGTGGGCGTGTGCCCGCCCCGGGTGTCGGAGGCGCGAGGGTAGCGTGCGCGCATTCCGTGCGTCGGTGCGCAACGAGGAATATGTGGCGGACGTTGAAGCCAAGCGGGCTGAGGCAGAGCGCATCGCTGCCGAGGAGCGCGAGCGTGCACGGCAAAACCCGTTCACCGTCCAGCAGAATGCTGGCGCTGGCGCTGGCCTCTTCGGCGCACCGAAGCCGCTCTTCGGCGCCGCCGCCGCCAACCCCTTTGCCTCACCTTCAGCTCCTGCGGCCTCCCCACACCCCTCCTCCCCCAAGAAGGACGACGCCCCCACTGCCGCCGTCGCTTCGCTCTCTCTCTCCGACCCAGTAGTCCACACTCCCCCAATCCCCGCCTACCAGCCACCACAGTACATCACGACCGTCGATGAGTTCCTGCCCATTGCCGAGGACTCGGACGTGGATGTCTCCGAGGACGAAGACGAGGCGCCAGAACAAAAGGCCGAGTGGCGTGAGGACGGGTGGGACAAGCTTCTCCCTAAGAGTGTCGATGACATCTTCGAGCGCTTCGCCCGCCGCCTCGCTTCGGCCGAGGACGCAAGCAACCAGGTGTTGCGGTACGACTTCAACGCCGTGCCACTGCCATACAGCTCGTCGTCGCCGCTGTTCAAGAAGCTCTTCCCCGGCGCGCCTACCCGCGCCCCCTCGTCCGAGGAGGACGAGGTCAACCTCGCCGATTACTACACCACCAAGCCGGTGCCGGCGTGCACGCGCTGCGGCGCCGCGCGCGTCTTCGAGCTCCAGCTCGTGCCGCAGCTCATCAATGTCCTCCGTCCCTCGTCCCTTAGCACGACCGGCAAGCCTCCGGCGGGCAACGCCAAGGTGCAGACTGAGGAGGAGCGGCGCGCCGAGATCCTCCGCCTGGCCAAGGGCGAGGCACGGGGCGAGGGCGACGCAGGCGAGATGGAGTGGGGTACAGTCATGGTGTTTGGCTGCGAGGGCGACTGCATCGGCGTCGGCGAGGAGTGGGTCGGCGTCGAGTGGGAGGCTGCGCCGGAGGCATAGATCTTGAGACAGGTGTATTTTTTGTACATAGGTAACGCTGTATAATGCCATGTTGGACGCACGCGCACAGGCCTCTCGGATCACGGATCACACTGATGCAAGCAATAGCAGTATAGCAGTGCAGACGAGTCGTGTGAGCCACGCTGCTCACCACGCCGATGTGGCGGTGCAAACACGCTCTCCGGTATCACATGCCACACCCCTGTCTGCGGACTGACCTTGCAAGCTCGTGAGGCGTGTCGCCGCCGGCTGTTGAGGGCAGGAGCGACAGTGCGATGGGCCCCGAGTGATGCACGAAAAGCGTGCAGGGCGCGCCTTGGCCTGTGCCCGTGGCCCGCACGGCGCCGCCCTCGCTCACTGGACATGGCAAAGCACAGGCCGCCGCTGCCGCGTGCCAACGATGCCTGGCGGACGATCGGATGCCCTCCACACCGCACACCGGCCTCACGATCACACCAGGCCAAGCAATGCCCCGCGTCCACCCTAGTTCCTGCCACAACAAATGCCCCTCAGAAGCATGAGCTCGAGCATCGCTGGGATGAATTGGCTTGCGATGTCGAGCTCCATCTCTCTTTCTGACCACCCACACTCGTTTCGGCCCCGGCGGTCATCGTTCAGATCCATGTTCTATCCTACCTGGGTGTCTCCGCAAGCTGTGAGTGACGATACGCGGTAGTCGATGAGGTGATGGACGATTGGGCAGAGTGGCGGGCGGGAGTTGTGCCACTGCCACTCGTAGTTGACTGTGTTAGCGACATCACCTTCCCTCGACTTCTCGTGCACCTTTTTCTTCGTCCACCGCATCCATCTCATATCTCTCATTATCTCTCACTCTCTCCGTCATCCTTTGTTCCCCTCATCGCGCCTCTTGACTCCACGCACATCACTCGCTTACCCCAGGCCACCACCTTCACATTCGACGCCGACATCGACTACGGCGAGTGGCGCACTCTTGAGAGGTACATACTCGACTACATGCTCCAGGAGGGCTGTGAGTGGCGCCCTCATCTCTCCCTCCTCACCATCGCTTCTTCGCGATCACCCATTCATCCATCCTTTGTCCTCGCGTCGTGCCTAGCGCCAATATGCTGCATTCGCTCACGCCAGTGTGGCCTTCCCAAGCCGTGCGCCACTGCGGCAACGGCAGCACCTCCGTCACCGTTCACACTGGGGCCGAGTGGAGCGGGCGCTTCGAAGGCGACGTCTGCACACTTATCTACCAGGTTGTAGGCGAAATTGCGCACGTCCTCGTCCGAGCGCGCTGACGGCAGTATCAGTATCACGTACTCGCGCTAGGGCGGCTGAGCCGCCAAGTTCCCCATGCTTTCCAGACCTCCCTCCTCTCCTATTGCTCTCGTATCTGCCCCGGAGGCAGCGGGCTGGCCCCCATGCACCATGCACCAGTGGTGCTGCTTGCCACAGTTGAAGAGTGGATTGAGGGGGATTTAGCCTAAGCTTCCCCACTTTCCCCACACAAACAGCTGCATTCCATAGCCCACCTCACTGACGTCGCCTGTACTAATCATAGCTCGTCGTTGCCTCCTCTCACGGCGGTGCTACTCACTCATAACCACTCAACCCACTTGTGACTAGTACATATACACCACGATGCCCAAACTCCGCATCGCCCTCGCTCAGACCTCACCCGTCAGCGCTCCTCTGGGCGCCATACCGCCTGAGCCATTCGCAAACATCGAGGCCAACCTGCGCGACGTCGCATCTCGCGTCGCCGAGGCCAAGTCCAACGGCGCCGACGTCGTCGTGATCCCCGAGTATGGGACGCAGGGCATCTGCGATGGGCGGCAGGTACGTATCGCTGCGCGAGACCGACTGACAGGCAGTACGTAACATTTGCAGCCGAGCACATATTAGACTTTCTGCGTGAGCTTGCTCGTAAGCATTCAATCAGCCTCGTGGGCACGGTGGTGGTGGGAACACCACACGCACTGTCCTCGGCGCCGAGGCCCCACCGCTCCCCGTTCCGCCACCTCCTCGACAATGTGCCCACCCCGACGCCTGAGCAGATGGAGTGGGCAGAGTGGATGAAGGCCTACGTGCAGACAGAGGAGACACTCCCTGTCCTCACGAACGAGGCGTTCTTCATCGACGAGCACGGCGAGATGATCGGGCAATACACCAAGCGCAACTTGTGGCACCCTGAGCGGTAAGCTTTAAGCTGCCTGTAGCCCGAAGCAGACGCTGACGGGGAGCGCGTATCTCACGGCGGGGCAGCGCGCGAACAGCGCCTTCAACACCAAGTGGGGCAAAGCCGGCCTGCTGATCTGTACGTCGCCGACCCACTCCGCTAACACCAGGCTGGGACATGTCGCACCCGAGCGACGCACAAGCGCTGGCGGACCAAGGCGTGGACCTCATCTTCGTCCCGACGTACTGGACGGCGACGGACTCGCACCCGTACGTGCCCGCGCGTTGTCAGCTGACACAAGCCAACTGCTCGAGTTCGAGCACGAGCCCGACTACGAGCGCAACATGGTGACGTCGCTGTGTTTTGCGCGCGCGTGCGAGACCGAGACGATCTGGGCGATGTGCAACCCCGGCGGAGAGGGGGGATTGATGGGCGGCTCGGGGGTGTGGCAGCCTCTGCGGGGATGGGTTGGGGGCTTTAAGGCGTCCGAAGTGGGGGTCACTTATGCGGATGTCGACACGGACGACCTGCGCGCGGCGCGAGAGCTGTACAAGGTTCGCGAGGACTATGCGGCACGCACCACGATGGAGCGGCATGCAAAGTAGGTGCAAGGTGGACAGTGCGTTCCGTAAGCGGGAGTGCGGGCACATTTGCAGGAACCCGCATGGTGTGGATGGCGGCGGCATGTCTCGGAATTGTCCGAGCGAGAGCTTGGATGAGAGCCGACCAAGTATGGCTGTGGATGATGTGATGTGCTTCAGATGTGCTGTGCTGGCCACGCAAGGCAAGAAGGGTGTGCTCCTGCTCATCTACAGTACTACTCTCGACTCTCATGTCGGCTCTGGCAGCGGTCCGTGGTCGGCAGCGTCCGGCATGCCAAGCGGCATGTCACGGACACGAGTTTCAGGTGTCAAGCAGGAGGATGAGGGAAATTCTGAAATGCCAGGGACACGAGGAGAGGCTGATAGTGATAAGCGCAGGGTGCGACAAGGGCAAGGCACGTGGATACGCTGGAAACAAGGGTCCTACCCCGGCCACCCCGTGTCTCACAAGTTTAGCAGCCTCACCTTCCTTCTCTCCTTCCTCTGCGACCCCCGTCGACGACCACCGCCGCCCGCCATGCCCCGCCTTGGCCTTAGTCTTGGCTTTGAGCACAGACGCCGGCTAGCGACATGCTTTGCAGTTCTCGTTGCACCGTCGCTCACTCAGTGCAGTACGAAATGCTCGAGTCGCGGCGCACCCTCCATCTCTCGCTCGCGCTCAACGCCGTCCTCGTCGCCGGCGCCTGGCTCGCGTTCTGGTATCTGACAGGCGACGCGCAGCTGCTCTGCCGCCCGGGGTTGGAGGTGGCGGCGGTCGAGTCCTCCCCCGCACCGCAGGTGCCCGTGTCTTCGGCGCCGGTATCCCCTCAGGCTGGGCGGTGCGATGTGTGCGCGAGCGATGTCGGGCGGCGGCTGTGTAATGCGTACGGGTACGTCGTGGAAAGGTGCTCACTATGCGTGCTGACAGCAGTGCCGAGATCGTGGCGCGGACGATGGCCTTTACCCGTGCGTCCTACCGCATCCGACACGCGACGCGGCGGCGCTCTTCCCCGTTTAGCTAATGCCAGAGGGTAACACGCGACTGCAGCGCGTGCTGGCGAAATGGCGTGCCGGCAAGCCCGTCCGTCTCGGCGTGATCGGAGGCTCAAATAGCGCAGGGCAAGGCGTTTGGGCCGACAACCAAATGATGTACTCGCAGCTCAACATGCACGTGCAGCTCTTCAACTACCTGGACGCGCGGTTCCCGCAGCGCGGCAAGGTGATGGAGGCGACGGGCGGGGGCGACGAGAACAGCTTTGTCAACGGCGCAAAGTTCGGCCGCGGCACAGAGTACTTCACCATGTGCTCGGACGTGCACCTCCCCGAGGAGCTGGACCTTGTCGTCGTCGAGTTCGCCGTCAACGACCAGTACAACCTCGAGGCGACGGAGGCGTACGAGTTCCTTGTCCGATACCTCCTCGAGCGGCCCGGCTCGCCGGCCGTGCTCGAGCTCCAGACGTTCGGGTACGAGTTCGACAAGGTGTTGACTGGCGGCGGCAGTGTATGTGTCTTCGTCGACATGGCTGACCTAAGCACCTCGCCACCAACCTCTACTACAACATCCCGACGATTGCGCCGCGCACCCTGTTCTACGACGGCGCCCAGCACAACGTGACCAAGTTCTGGGACTGGTTCTACTGGTACAACCCCCACGAAGTGCCTGCCGACCTGCACGGCGTCGACCTGCGTCACGTATGTCCCCCCTACGTTCCTACCACTGACACCAGTTCGGGCCCGGCGGGCACCGCGTCTCCGCCGAGCTGATGGAAGCGTATATCGAGCAGCAGCTCTGCGAGATGGACTACACCGAGGAGCAAGCCGGCACGCGCGACATCGACACCCTCTACCCCGTGCAGCCGGTGCACCCGCTCTCGCTCATGTCGGCGTTCAGCCGCGACCACCCTGGCGCCGCCATGCGCCGCCTGGCGCCCAAGTGCCAGAGCATCGACTCGGACTCGCACCCGCTCACGCCGGTGCACAGCGACGGCTGGGAGCGGTGGACGTGGACGGGCGACAACGGCAAGACCAAGACGTATTTGCGCGCGACGCAGCCGGGCGCGACCGTCACATTCGACCTCGGCGCGGTTACGAGCCGCGTCGAGATCTTCTATCTGCGCTCCAAGGCGTTCGGGCTCGGCTCGCTCGAGTGCACGCTTAATGGCGAGCACGCGAAGACGATACATGGGTGGTGGGACAAGGCGGAGAATATCGGACAGTGAGTGGGCTGCGCAAGCCGCACGAGCGGCGAGGCGCGCTGACGGCAGGAGCACGAGGTGGCGCAATATCGAGGCGGGGGATTACAGGCTCGAGTGCGAGCTGTTGGGCGAGACCAAGGACCCGGGCGGCGGCACAGAGTTCCGCATCATGGCAGTCATGAGCATCTAGATTGGACACGAGCATTGGGCGAAACACAGCATGGTCTAGATGGGAGACATTCAAATGTAGATGTACATAGTCATAATAGAGGCAATCATTCATCGTCAATGGCAGAAGGCGACTCCAGCGTCACCTGCAACAACAATGACATAGCTCTATCACCCTCTATACGTCTACAAGCACAGGATCGTCCGCCGTCCCACTTCCCAGCCCCGACCCCATCTTCTCGCTCACGCTCTGCGCGTCGCCCGAGGCTCCCCCAGCCCGATGGATGCCCTCCTCCTCTAGCCGCTCGGCAATAATGCGCACAGTGGCCAGCCCGAGGTCGTAGAAGCCGTCGTTGTTCCGCGGGTTGAACATGCCCATGTGGGCATTCACCTCGTCCTTCGCGACCGTGTTGATGGCGGGCATCCAGTGCGTCGCAATCGCCTCGCTCGGCGAGGGGATGATCGCAAACGTCCGCCGGGTGAGGTGCGTCCCGCTCGCAGGAAGGCAGGTGTAGAAGCTGCCGTCAGCGCGCCCAATGTCTACTCACTTAGCGAAGGTGACGTTGCGCGAGTTCTGCAGCTCGGCAATGCGGTCCAGCCTGTCCCGCAGCGCCTTTGCATCCCACAAGTTGCGCACGAACGTCATATGCTCCGACCCCCACTTCCATCCCGTCGCGAGATCTTCGCGGCGAAAGTACGCCGCGCCCGCCGCGGCGCCGGCCACCGCGATCGCGCCGAGCCCGACCGCCGCCTTGCCCTGCCACCAGCTCGTCGGCTGGGGCTGCTGGCCCCGCGCGCGCGCCTCCTCGGCCTCCTTCTTCTGCCGCTCCTCGGCCTCCTTCGCCTTGCCCCACCCCAGCCCGGCAGCGACGGGCGAGAGCATCGCCAGCGCGCTCGCGGCCGTCCGCGCCGTCTCGACGTGTCCCGCGGCGGTCGAGAAGCCGTGTTTCTGAGTCAGCAGAGTCTGAGAGGAACTCACAAAGACGTGCGGGTGCAGACCCAAATACGGTGTGTCGAAGGCCAGCGTCGCCACGACGTTCGGCCACATCGGGTCCTCGATGCGTGTCGTCGCGGCTATCCGCGATGTAGCGTCGGCAATGAGGAGCCCACCCATACTGCCGTCAGCTGGCGCGATACCGTGGCTCACGAATGGCCCATGAGCACAACTCTGGCGCTCCCCGCCCCCCGCCCTCGGCCAGCACCGTTCTCGAGCTCAACGACCTTGGTCGCGAGCCACTCGACAAAGTTCTCCGTCGCGGCGCTCTGGTGTCAGCTGTGAACAGCGCGGACCTCACAAGCTCGCCACGCGTCTCGTACGCCGGGAAGACGTGAGACTGGACATGTAAAGAAGGGTGCGTGTCCTCGAGAATGCGCACGATACCTGTCGTCAGCTGCGAAAGAGCAAGCCATACGTGATGGGAAGCCCTCGAACGTCACTTCGTTACCCTTGAATCTAGGAGTTAGACGCACGCCAGCGGCTCTACTCACCCGTGGACCCAGACGAGCACGAGGAGATCCGGCTTGTAGCCTTCTGCGCCCTTTTCGTTCTGCATCGTGGAGGTAGCTGATGCGAGACGGAGGAGTGTGATGGGAACATTGCTGGAGCTATTTGCCACCCAATGTGGACGGCGATCATGCCACATGGCGGCGTAATCGAGCCTGCTGTTTAGATTTCTGATACTCTGCAACTTGCATTGTCGGCATCTGCTCTACACGCGTATCAATCATGTTCCAAGTCGCACGGATCCAGCCACCACCCCAGCCCCTCGATGAGATGGACGTCGATTTCGGCGAGGGACCCAGCAACTCGGTCGTCGCGCCCGGAGAGGTCATCGCCAGCGCAAAGGAGTACATGCGGTGAGTCGCCGTCACCGCCTCCCCCTCGTCCACCAGATACTCATTGGGCGCCTGCTGACATCAGTGGCCACGGCACATATGTCGACTCGGACTCGATCGTCTCCTCCGTCGCCGGCACCGTGCAGCGCGTGAACAAGCTCATCAGCGTCAAGCCGCTGCAGTCGCGCTACGTGCCCGAGGTGGGCGACCTGGTGATCGGGCGCATCGTCGACGTCGGCGCGCAACGGTGGCGCGTGGAAGCGAATGCGCGGCAAGACGCCGTGCTCATGCTCTCGTCCGTGAACCTGCCTGGCGGCGTGGTGCGGCGCAAGATCGAGAGTGACGCGCTCAAGATGCGCGAGTTCCTCGCGGAAGGAGATGTGCGTGTGCGTGCGGCGCGGCTGACACCAGCTCCTCGTCGCGGAAGTCCAAGCGTTTTTCGGGGACGGCGCCATGTCCCTGCACACCCGCTCGCTCAAGTACGGCAAGCTGCGTAATGGGCAGCTGGTGGTGATTCCGCCGCGGCTCGTGCGCCGCCTCAAGTCGCACTTTGTGCACATCCCCAAGCCGTGTGGGCCGAGCGGCGTGGATGTTATTGTGGGCATGAACGGGTTCGTGTGGGTGTCGCTTGGGACGAGCGCGACGGCGCGCGAGGGCGGCGAGGGCTTCGACTCGGAGGGCGTGTACCGCAACGACAATGATGTGAGTGTGGTTCGAGCACGACATTTGCTCATGACAGCCCATCTCTCCTGCTTCGCGGGAGGCTATCACCGCCGTTGCGGACGTGATTAGGACACTGGCGGCGCACGATGTGCCCCTTGCAGACGCGTTGATCAGCGAGGCGTACAACTGGGTGCAGGAGTCGGGGCTGGAGGCGCCCCTGAGTGAGGCGGACGGAGCGAGGCTGGTGGCGGACTTGGGACTCGTCTAGTTTTCTACAGTATTGTACAGCATGGATTGTTGGGACACGTTTGATCGATTGGGTGTGGGATCACGCTTCCACGGACTTGGACTCGGCATGGAGGTTGGACCACCTCGATGTTTACGCATCACACGCTCTGTGACGACCGGCCACCTCTCCTCTACATCACTCCATCACTCGTCCTTCCACGACCATCCACCCATTACTCCTCAACCCCACGACTCTATCACTCCATCACACTCCATCACCATTCCATCACTCCCACTCCATGTACATCACACCACCGGTCCAATCCAACCTCCCAAACCTCCGCCCCACCACGCCAAATGCACTACCTTACATCTCTATGTTCTCGCAGCCTAAGTATAACCCTCAATCGGGAAATAAGTGTGTGGGTTGACGGGAATCTCGAGGCCGCGCTTGGGGACCCACTTGCTGCCTCCGGCGCGCGACCCCGGCGGGGTTGGGGGGAGGCCCTCGCGCGCGGCGGTCTCGATGCCGCCGCCGACGAACGAGCGGCCGGTGGGCAGCTGCTCAATGACGGCGGTGAGTGCCGGGGCGTTCTCGGCCGTCACGACGGCGGTCGAGGCCGTGTCGACGCCCTCGGCGCCCTCGGACACGGCCTTGAGCGCAGGCGCGGCGATGAGCAGCGCGCTCAGCTCGGCCTGCGTCACCACCGACGTCTTCGGGTACGCGCGGCGCACGTCGCGGTTGTAGTATTGGTTGAAGGCGACGTCGGAGGCGGCTGTGGCCGGCGTCGCGTACCGCTCAGGACGCGAGGCGGGGGGCGGGTACCGGTGCTTGTCTTGCAGCGGGAGACCGGAGGAGATGAGGGGGTTGACGGCTACGACGTCGCCTGGGGTTAGTGGGTTCGGGAGGGTGGGATGGGGGGCGGGGGGCGGAGAGGCAAGGTCGAGGAGTGAGCGGAGCGGGCTGTTGTAGGAAGGAAGAAGGTTGATTCAGCGTCCTCCGCGCAGCACCACTCCCACACGCCTACTACCCCGCCTATCCTGCTTCCCTCGCGGCCGGTGCCGGCGCCGGCGACGTACGGAACTTCTTCCAGAAGCCCTGGGGTCAGCGCGCCCGCGCGATCACGTACAGTAGAGGCGAGGTGGTAGAGCGTCGGCTCGGCGGACATGGGCTTGGGCGTGCCGGCGCCCTTGGCGGCGTTCCTGAGGACTGCGGCGGCGCGCATGGTGCTGGTGGTGGAGACGGCGGCGACGACAACGACGACAGCGACGATAGCGACGGGATGGTGTCGGCTACGTCGGACGGGGGACGAATCCAGGCGCGGGTGATGGGCAGCGGCGGCGGCGTTTGCGGGTGTGGCGGGAGGCACGTGGCAGTGGGTGCCCTGCCCCACTTTGTTGAATGTCAGACAAATTTGTTCCTGCCCCACTTTCTGATCAAAAATCCTGCCCCAGTACCAGAATTCTCTCAGTGTCCCAACCCGGAGCCTAAATCTTGGCTGATGTTATCTGCCGTCGTATGCATCTCACGAACACAACCTCGTGTGAGCCGCACCTCTGCTCAGCATGCCCTCACCCTCACCCGCTGATCGGCTGATCGTGCATCCCCTGCGCCCACCCGTCGTCCACACTGGCGATTGACCCGATGCCCGAAGGCACAAATCATCCGACGAGCACCCGAGGCGCAGTCCACGACGAGCTCCACTTAATAAGCTGCGTTCCGCCATCCCTCGAGGCCTCGTGGCTTAAGGTATACAAGGTGTACATTGGTACATTGGCGAAATCAGGAGCTTAGGCGATCAGGCGATCAGGGAGGGCAGTGACTACCTTATACCTAGCCATGTCAGTGCCGCAGTTCAGCCTGCCTGACGCCTGTGTACGCCTGTACGCCTGCTCGCTGGTAGCTGGTAGTTGGTGACCTGACTCGAGTGCGACGACGGGTTTACGCTACGCTGGGTGCCGTCTCAGAGATCGGAGGACCGATGGCTGGGGGGCCACCAGTCAGCGTGATGACGTTTTGCTGATCGCTCCAGCACTGCTCTGCGACACCAATGCACATGCGAACGACTGTTGCCGGATGTGTGCAGAGTTGCGTGCACCCCGAAAATCTAGAGAAGCTACAAGCCAGGCCCCGCTCCTTATCTCCCTCGGCTCCGGCAAAGGCCAGTGCCAGGAATGAGCACGGCAACGGCATTCCAGCCGTTGGTCCTGTCATGGCACGGATGGCACATTGCCGCTGCCGTTATTCTGCCCACCCTCTCTTGTGATGTGACCGGTCGCGTCCTGCGCGTCCTGCACGCTACACTGTACAGTATGCCTCCTTCGTTCCGCTTCACCAGACGTGTGGCATGCACACCGACAACGGACAACAGTGGACGCAGAGTAGATGAAGATACGCTCTTCCGGAATGCTTCCGCGGGGCAGAGTTTCGGATGCAGAACGCGTCGCGTGTCGCGTGTCGCGTGCTGAGCCAAGAGGTGGGCCATAGGCCATGGGCCAGGTGGGCGATGCAAAGCGGAGACTCTCTCGAGCACACGACACATGACACGAAACGACGCGGCGCCACAATGGCGCCGGCATGGCGCCTACTAAACTGTGCAGGTGGAATTGATTCATCAGAATGTGGCTACAGCGTCACGCTTGTGCACCCGCTAGCCCTCTGGTGCGTGTGGAGTTC